AAAAAAAAAAAAAAAAAAAAAAAAAAAAAAAAAAAAACATTAAACAATATTAAACAATATACTGATCAGTGTTCTAAATTCCTGTAATTTTGCTTGGTCTACTAGAGATGTGGTCCGGTTCTCAAGATATCACGAAATATCCACAATGCTGGTGCCCAACACGGCCAAGATACCATGCAACAAGAAGCAGCGGACCCCCAGGATGCGCAATTGGAAGCATCTGAAGATGATCCGGTTCGTAGAAAGGTGCCCTTCTTTTCTTTTCCCTTTTCATCTTCTGACACTCATCAGGAAGCTCTCGTTCGAACAACGGACTCCAGCGCTTCTTTACAGGTAGAATATAGTGTCCTTCTTTCCCCAACATACCAGGTTCCCGTGCTGTATTTTATGTTGCGGTGTAACCATCAGGGACCGGTTGGCATAGACGCCGTCTACCAGAACCTGGTGCCAGACCAATACAGAAAAGAACTGAAGAATGTTGGTGTCATGGGCGGTATCAGTTTCGATGTATGTGCGCGTGCTCTTGAAACCAAACCGTATCAAAACTCATTTCGTAGTATCATCCAGGGTCTGGCGCTCCGACATTTTTTGTTCATCCTTGCAACACCGCAGATGCTATGAGGGATATCGCAGGACAGCGGGGTATCACACCCGACACCTACCTCCTCATCTGGCTTGGGTTGGTCGGCAATTGCGTGAACCTGCATATGCCGTGCGAGCTTTTTGCAACAAATAGTATGCAGGAAGATACCCCAATGCACCGTGGATAGGAGTTTTCTTCAAACACGCAGAGTCTAGCAAATTGTCTTTTCTTTCCTTCTCTACCCCCTCAACTGGCTCACGACTGGCCCAAATCGGTTAAGGTAACCTAATCTTCGTCCGATGAAGCCTCCATTGGCACATCGCTATCTTCATCCATTGGCGCCTCCTCTTCGTCACTTTCTTCCTCGCGAGGTCTTTTAACCCCATGCGCTTGTCCGTTGGCATCTGTGGCTGGTTTGGCGGGCAACGCTGCTGATCCAGGAGGGCCACTAAAGATGGATTTTTGAAGATCAGTAGAGGCGCCACCGATAGCCCCCGCAGATCCTGTTGTTGGTGCATTATAAGTGCCGCGGAGTCTCGCAAAAACATCTGAGGTGCCCTTGGCATAAACGATTTTCTATACCCATTACGTGAGCAAGGGGCGGTTGAATGACACGACAATTGGCGCATACCATTTCTTTCCCAAAGAATTCAAATCCCTGGAGCGCTCTCATTGCTTGCGTGCTGGCTTGAACGTCCTTGAAGACAACATGGGCCTGACCGCGCATTTTTTTGGTTTTCATGGCCACGACATCAAGAACAGTGCCGTAGGTGGAAAAAAGGGTATAAAGCGAGAGTCGCAAGTCGTACTTTCGGAGCTTATCTGGTAGGTTGGTACAATATAGTCTAGAGTATTGTCAGAGCTTTGTGGCGCTGCAATTGGAAAGAATGGAATGGGAACTGACGTTTGGTTCGGAGGTCCAGCAGTGGTGGATTTGCCCTGAGGACCTCCACGTGTAGGAACTACTTTTGTAGTCATAATTCAAAGTTTTAGGAGAGCAAGAAACACCTCACGCGTAAACAAAGGGGGAGAGTGTGAAAATTGTTATGCGGAAAAATGAAGCCTTGTTGCTTCGAGTTGCTTGCTCGCTTGAGCTTGAACGTGCCGTGTGGCCATGACTTCCGCCAGATCGAAAACTGTATGTAGTTGGGTCATGTGATAGTTATGTAATCGGGTTTCCGGCGTCGTCATCGGCGTCCGTCCCTGAGCCAGTTTCCCGCCAACATTCCGCGTTCTGGATTCACTTTATTCATAAATACCAAATACATAACAAGTGAACTCTGAACGGCAGTAGAGAGCTCCTCCTGTCGTCTAATCCACAATGGCAGCTCCCCAAGTTCACCACCTCTTTCACAATCCCATCGCCGACCACTCCTTCTCGTCTGATAAGCAGACGCTTGCTGTTGCGCGGGATAGCAATGTGGAGCTCTACCAGAACTCAGGCACCAAGTTCTCGTTGACCGATGAGTTGAAAGGCCACGAGAAAATTGTTACTTCGGTCGACATTGCCCCTAACAGTGGACGCATTGTGACTTGCTCTCAGGGTTCGTCTAGATGCATTATTTCCTATCAATCCGCCGACTGACTTAACCCCCGCGTTTTAGATCGTAATGCATATGTTTGGGAGCGCACTCCATCGGGCTGGAGGCCAACTTTGGTTCTTCTTCGAATCAACAGGGCTGCAACATTTGTGCGATGGTCCCCCTCCGAGCAAAAGTTCGCCGTTGGCTCAGGGGCCCGTGTTATCGCGGTATGCTACTTTGAAGAAGAAAATGACTGGTGGATTTCGAAGCACCTGAAGAAGCCAATCCGCAGTACCATCACGACCCTTGCGTGGCACCCAAACTCTGTTTTGCTGGCTGCTGGATCCACCGACTCCCACGCAAGAGTCTTGTCTAGCTTCATCAAGGGAGTTGATACTCGCCCGGAGCCAAGTGCGTGGGGCGAGCGTCTCCCCTTCAACACAATTTGTGGGGAGTTTTTGAATGACTCAGCTGGCTGGATTCACGGAGTTAGCTTCTCTCCCAGTGGCGATGCTCTTGCATTCTCCGGACATGATAGTAGCGTGACTGTTGTATACCCAAGTGCTCCAGAGCAGCCTCCTCGAGCGATGTTGAACATCTCAACTCGCTTCCTGCCATTCAACAGCCTAATCTGGAACGGAGAAAATGAAATTATTGCCGCCGGTCATGTAAGTATACTAATATACTTTGGTTGTTTTGCTGTGCTGATAGGGGTATGCAGGACTGCGAGCCATACCGCTTCCGTGGTGACGAGAGTGGGTGGCAGCTTACTGGGACAGTTGAAAACAAGGCAGGCTCGGGCGCTGGTAGTGTCCGCGAGGAGTCTGCCCTTAACCTGTTTCGGCAAATGGACCTCAAGGGACAAACCCAGGCTGATACACAGCTCAAGACAATCCACCAGAATACCATTAGTACGATGAGAGTGTATGAAGAAGCCGATGGTGCTGTCCGCAAGTTCAGCAGTAAGAAGCCTACCCCACCGGCCCCGCATCATCTGACAAACAGCTAATGACTTCAAATAGCAAGTGGAGTGGATGGTCGCGTGGTTATCTGGACCATTTAATCCCATGATGAATGGATGCTGCCTCCGGGTATGAGTTCGGCATGCATCACATCGAGGGTATTGAACACCGACTTTGAACGGCTGAGCTATACACTTGCGATGGCCTGTCTATAATAGAACAACACTATATTTCCTACTCTAGGAATTGTAATACAAATGCTGTTGTATATATTACTCCATATGTATGTGTCTACCTAGTACCTAGGTACCTAGGTAAGGTACTCCTGTTCTGTTGAACGAATGCACAATGCTCATTGGCTGGAGGCCTTGATCCACTTCCCATACTAGCCGTATTACCTAATCGATTCCCCCGGATTTTCTTCATCACCAACCCACATGACGAGATCCACATCTACAAAAGGGATGTCTGTCGCAGTCCAGCATCCCAGCAACACACCGCAGCAATGACCTCCAGAACCCGAGTTACCTAGCACCATGGCTTTTACAAATAACTTTACTCTTATCCTTCTGCTGTTTGTCATAGCGCAATTATTCCATTTCTCCGCCCCCCGCGTCGTCCCCGTAAACGAAGCAGGTTTTAACCCACGAGATGGCGGTGACCGCAATGTTTCGGGCGAGCTCTTCAACTCGCTCGAGGAATTAGCCCGCATTGTCGATATTTCCTACTGTGTCGGAAGCGTCGGGGTCAGCAAACCGTTCGAGTGTCTAAGTCATTGCAGTGATTTTCAGGGCTTTGAATTGGTAACCGTAAGGCAGAGCTATGCATTACAGAATTATAATAATGCCCGGTGCTGACATTCCTCCTGCAGACCTGGAACACAGGCCCTTTGCTCTCGGACTCATGTGGCTATATCGCTCTTTCTCATCCTCCCTTCCCAGAACGCATCATCGTCGCCTTTCGTGGAACCTATTCGATCGCAAACACAATAGTCGATCTGTCCGCATACCAGCAAGAGTACGCCCCATATACAGGTGACAAAGAAGGGGAAGGAACGCCAAGATGCCTGAACTGCACCGTTCATGCGGGGTTTTTGGCCTCATGGAACAATACCCGCTCGGTCGTTCTCAGTTACGTCACAGCGGCGCGGGAGCAGTATCCGGACTATGATGTAGTTCTGGTTGGTCACTCGTTAGGTGGAGCAGTAGCCACACTGGCTGGCCTTGAGATGCAGTTGAAAGGTTGGAAACCACAAGTGACGACATTCGGTGAACCCAGAGTTGGCAATGAGGGATTTGCCAAGTTCCTCGATAAAAGCTTCGGGCTCTCTGCTTTACATCATATGCCTGGTGATGAGCTCAGATTCCGCCGGGTAACTCACGTCCAAGACCCTATCCCGCTACTTCCTATGGAGGAATGGGGGTACAAGATGCATGCTGGCGAAATATTCATTTCCAAGCAGAGTCTTTCCCCTTCCATCTATGATCTCCAACTTTGTGACGGCAACCAAGATGAAAACTGCATTTCAGGGTCTGAATCTCCACTGAGGGAAATGCTCAATGAGCTGAGTTATATCGACGCCTTTGAAAAAGAACGCCGTCTTTCTGACGACAATCATGACGACCCAGGAGAGCAAACCGTGCTCATGGATCAGGAACAACTTCGACCAGCAGCGAACTGTCAAAACGAGCCTTTTCAAATGACCTCATCACCGTTTAGCCTGTCCTGGAACCCTATCCCCCCAAGATACAGGCTCTGGGAACTGTTCTTTGCGCATCGTGATTACTTTTGGCGATTAGGCCTCTGTTTTCCTGGGGGTGATCCATCAGTGTTCGATTTCCCTACCCCTCAGTCGGCTGTGAATGAACCATTCTTTGACCAAGTTTGATGGCGTGAAATTGTTAAGATCATGTGTATTGTTTTTCTTATATACCCCAGGCTGCTTTTGCTCGTCTTCTTTCCGTTAGCCACTCCTTCATTTCCCAGTTCTTTTTATTTTATTTTTATTTATTTATTTTTTTCCATGAGATGAAGCCTATTTCATAATCCTTTAAGCGTTATCCTGAATATTCAGAATTACGCACCCAATGGAATTCATAGGAAAACGTGCTAGGCTAGAATTAACCAAATCGGCAGAATGTATCTTGTTTAATATTGATTAGCGGAAAGTAAATAAGATAAGATAAAAGATACGATAATTGGTATACTAGCTATGAAACTGAATTACCAACTTGAAAATACAATTAAAAGCAAAGCAACCAGGCTCAGCGCTAAGAATAACATGAGGCATAGGGTAAGATCCACATCATCAATGTGAAACAAAACGGATGGGCAATGAGAACAAGTATTAAGAAGATAGTCCGATCCCACGAGATATGAAAGAGAATCAATCATTTCCCATGTGGCAGGCTAGGAACAATGACTGGCCCGTATTTGACAACATTGCCATATGTTCCATCACCCTGGACCATGAAGTCCACAGCAAGGTTCAGCTTGCCGCTTCCCAGAGTTGGCTGGCCGTATGGTGCACTGGTGACCTCTGGGTCATACGCAACGATAGCAGCGTAGTTTCTACGGCCCATTAGCTTTCGATGCTCGCGTGCTTGGCCAGTGACATCGGTTTGGAAAATCTCCATCATGTCTTCCTTGGTGTCAGTGGGTTGCGAGGGAGTGGAGCGGTGGCCGTTGGCAGGGATATAGATGGGTTTGTTATTTCCATGGAGAACTTTGATGACATAGGAAGGAGGTGGACTGTTCACGACCGATGATGAGATAAGTTGATACATGGTCTTGTGGTCTGAAGGATGGCCTGGGTCGTGTACTAAGCCTGCACCACAGACATTGACCGCACCGGATAGGAATGTCATGCGAAGAGACTTCTGATGCGCAATACCCTGAAGAGTGCGGATGAGGTATGTTCGCTCAAGGTCCTGTATTGGCAATCGTGGTTAGCATACTTCATATACTGATGGAAAGTAAACGACAATTTACAGCTTCACATACCTTTGATTCATGAGTCCACTGGTCTCGCAATTCGTCAAGGAGATCAAATTCCCCAAAAGGGCTCAATATCCCACCCATAAGGCCGGACTTGCCCACAGCTCGCTTGACTGAATCGAACCCGGAACCGACCATATCCTTTGCACCAACTACGCCGGCCACAGAGCTAGTGACCTTCCCAAGAACATTGTACGCACCAGTCACAGCTTTCTTCCCCGTAGCGACAGTGTTTGCGATATGCTCTGCAGTTTCCAACCGTGGGTAGATAATCGGCACGGACAGCATCCACAGACAGTGCTGCACTGAGGGTGGCAGCATTGCTACCCTAGGGAAGATACCCTGATATGTTGGCCCAGCTAAGACTTGATATGGATTCCTCTCTGATCGACAATCGGGGCCAACGACAGCAACCGCCGGTCCCAAGAACTTGACAAAATGCCAGCCCGTCCCCGTGATAGTGAATAAGTCTACATCATTATTGACATTGCGGAGGATGTCCAACGTCGTATGATGCTGAAAGAGCAGATACATCTCGATGCCAAGCCGGCCAATATTCTTGAACATGTTCGAGAATTGCATATGTTCGGGATATGAACCGAATCCATCAAAGCTGCACACATTAGCGATTTTCATAATCGGCGCCAGGAAGAAAAACTCACATGTCATGATCATCGATCTGGCAGACGTAAGGAATTTGAGCAAATGCTTCCCGCAGGTAGGGCTGGTCAAAGTGGCTCGTATAGTAGTGGAAGTAGGCATGGGAGACATCCTCCTCATGGGCTGCAGTCCAGGGTGTGGTCTTTCTGGCCTCCTTTCCTCTGATCGTCAGCCACTGTCTTAGAGACGGAATCTCCTTCCACATCCGATCCGCGTAGATTTGACCTCCCAAAGACAATTGTGTATGGAATCCTCCGATCTCATTATGCTTCTGCATGATATCCTTCCACATAAAGCCCACCCCTCCGAGACGGGCGCGGTCGTTAGCATTCACATTGAGAGAAAAGTCGTTCCCAGACGTCGAGATGAAGCGCCAGTTGGTCTCATATCGACCGGCGACCAAGAACTCATAGCGGGTACAGCCAAGGTGTGACGTGATAGCATAAGTCCATTTGGCAGGGCCGGACTCGTCCATTTTCAAGTCAATCTCATACTTGTAGAAAGTCCATCGTTGATGGACTGCGATGTTAGTTGCTTTCAGTTGCCGGGGGCTGGGTGACAGATCAACACTTTGATGGATATGTATTGTTGGGGGTTGTGCAGCATCGGTCACCAAGAGAATAGAGCCCAGCCAGAGACCACGTTCTAAATCCATATTGGTATACCGAAGATACGGGCCAAAGTAAACACCATTTGTCGGGGCAACCTTATACAGATCGACTCCGCTACTAGGCGGGGGACCACTAAATCCCGCTACTATAGGGGATTGTAAACTCTCATAGCCTGGTGTCACGGGGTATCCAGGTGTCATTGGCATACCAGGGGACACCAGAGGTTTGCCAAACGCAGACAGGCCGGGGGAGGATAGAGGGTGGCTGCTATATACACTTCCCACTGGCGACAGAGGTGTGTCATTGAGGTTCAAGGGCGTAGGGCCCTTGGGAAATTCCCATTGAGTTGATTGAGTGGGAAGGTGTATATAGTAGTATTGGCCCGAGTTGGGGTCAAGATGCGCTATCCAGCCTTCTGGAAGGGGAGGAGGAGAGGCCGGAGGAATCCCTGAGGGTGCGGGTGATGCACTAACTTGTATATGCTGGAAGGTTGGCTGTGCACTCTGAGCAACAGTTTGCGGTGACTGTACAGATGAAAGCTGCTGTCTAGGGTCGTTTGCGAAGGCAGGATGAACTTGGGGTGAAGTCACCGGCGCAGGAGAGGCAGCAGCAGCGGCTGCAACAGAACTAGCGGCACCACCGGCAGCAATCCCGTTCGTTGGGGCCATCGCAGGATGTCCAGCCATTGGTCCTGACGGTGCCATTTGTGCTGCAGGGCGTTGCTTCTCATTTGGAAATCCCTGCGAAGCAGCCGGCCCAGATACGCTGGAATATGCCGGGGGTGGCGAAGAGCTAATTCGCATTCTCTCGATATCTTGTTCCAGAGCATTCTGTGGGATTCGAGACTGCTGCTGAGGCTGGATGTGCTGGGGAGGGGTGGCAACAGGCTGAGGAGGAAGGGCAGTTGCTGGTGGATTGTCGGAGGTCACGACATTGGGACCTTGATAAACGGTAGGTGGCCCATGGGGCTGTGTTCCGGGCTGTTCGGTAGGGGTCCATGGACGACGCACGGGTAGTTGTTCCTGTTCCTGTTGCCGCAGTTGCTGCGGTTGCGGCTGCGGCTGCCTTGGCTGTTGACCAACATATTGCTCTGCTCTTCTCTGCGCTGCAGCGCTTTGTGACTGTAAGCCCGCCAGTGTGGAAGTGCCTGCAATTCCCGCGGCGGCGTACCGGGCCTCGATATCTGAGCCAGGCTGTTGACCAGGACCAACCACTGGAGTTTCCGGTGGCGGCGGGGACCCCCGCTGGGCTCGTGTAGTTGAGGTTGAGGCGGTCGAGCTGATGCGATTGATGGCGCTGTTGGGCGGTTGTAGACCCTGCGACGGTGTCGCGGAAGCCGGTCGTGCGGCAGGTGAAGGTTGAGGAGGTGGCCAATACTGCTGGCGATAATCTTTATACCCACTGCTATCCGGCTGGGAGTTGCTATTCAAGGGAGCCGGGGGTGCCGGCACCCGTTGATACTTCCTGGCGAACAACCCTTCTCTATCAGGGGAATCAGGACCGGGGGACTCGGGCAGCGGTTTGGGGGCATTCCCCCGCCTCTCTGCCAATGTAGCTGGTTTCGGTTCACGGCCATCCCGCGGCCGCAAGGCGGGAGGATAATCAGATGGTCTCCATGCGCCGGAGCCAGCCGGCGTTGAAGACTGATTGTTCTGGGCTGGAGAGCCTATTCTTCCACCATCTACCGTCGGGCTCGACCCATTGGAGCCCGAGCTCTGATGGAGCCTAGGTCGGTCATCTGGGTATGGAAGAACATTATGCTGTGCTGGTGAAGGAGTATTCTCTCTTTTTCCGATGCGCAAAGGTTCAACGATCGGCGGTTCGGCTGGTGTGGGAGATGGTTGTAGAAACAGTTCGTCCTCAGTGTTGCCCTGACGGCTACCACTGGGATTCATGGCGAGAGAATATAATATGGCTTTGCCCAAGTATTTCCTTCTAAAAAAGAAAATCGAGACTGTAAGCCACAGAATTGCAGAAGAATGGAGCAAATGCTGGACACGAACCCAAGAAGTATGTGTGCTCTGACCTTATTTTTGGACTGCCCGGTGGAGTGACAATGAGGGGTAAGGATCGGAGCTGAGTACTATTATCTAGCACCGAAGAAGCTTCAATAAAGTACTCGAGAGAAAGTTGGGCCGAAGAATAACCAGGATAATTGAGAAGAGCGAAAAAGAACCAAAGAACAGGCAACCATGAGAAGATGTACTGCTCATGATCTCTCAGGAGAGAAGAAAACCAGGATCAGGGAGGCCGAGAGGAGTGACGATGCTGAATAGCCGCCGGCCTTGTTCGTCAAAACCAGACCCCACAACCATCATTGGCCCAACAGCGGATGGCAGTTTGGCGCCACCAGCAGTGGAGTCTGTAGGAGACATCTAGTGGGAGGCTGGAAAAAAAATAATAGCTGCAGAGATCGGCTGCATCGGATGTACGGAGCATGTGGATATGCAGTGTTGCTTCCATCGAGGAGAATATTTGAAAGGAGGAAAAAAAAAAAAAAAAAACAATCCTCATTGTCTCTCTGGTTCGGCCCGCAATGGTTTATCCATGGAAACAAAACGAAGAGAGGGGGAAAAAAAAAGTCGATATCATTCATTTCTACCACTTTATTATTGTTGTATCAATTGGTTATTATTACTATAATATTCGACAATGCTGATAATCGCATACATAAATTAATAAATAGTAAATACATGACTCATGAGAGAAGAATAATCATCCAAAATTAACCACCTGGAGATCATGTTGATCCATGATATCCACCCAGTCCACATTTAATGCATGGCCCGCGCTCATCAGTCGCTGTGCTTGTTGTTCATACACCACCTGCAGGATATATCGCGTTGTCGCCGCATTGTACCCCATCTCTTCCCTGGTCATATTTGATAGTAGCTCCATCGCTACCATCTTTTGCTCATGAGAAGTGGTGACAGCACCGGCCAGGAAAAGGGGGAAGGTGACAAATCGTTGGCCAGCCCCTCCAGCTTCAGCGATCGCACTTTCAGCGATCTGCAAGATAGCCGTAACGTGAGGATAAATGTTATCTTCAGGAAAAGCCTCTGGTCCAAGGTGTTGTCCAGGCCACATGCTCGTATGGGAGAAGAGAAGCGCAGTATGCAACAATGCGGATGACTAAAATTCCGAAAGAGTTAACGACATATATACCAAACAAATGGGCTCTGGCAGATGGTGCCTAAACTAACCTGTTGCAAGATATCCTTTGATCTTTTGGGTAGATCTGTCTGAAGCAAGTATTGTATGTTTGGCGATTCCCACAGCCCCCTGAACGCTTCTTGTATCCCCGAAATCTCCCTTTGCTGCCGATCAGAGGGAATGAACATAAACGACGACTGTTTTATACTTCGTCGAATCTCTGCACCCAAAAACCCTAGCTGAAAAGATAGTATAAATGTGTCATGGTACAGGCGCAATAAGATGGGTAGGCTATCATTCTCTTGTGGGTAGATCACGCTGTACCCCCCATTTCCAGCTGGATAGAGAAGAGACCCTGCTTCAGGCAGCAGATGGTTCTCTATCATTGCCCCAATAAACTCGCCCGTCCCTGCTCCGCTAAGCAGTGCGTACAGGTCGATATTACAAACCCACCATATCACAAAGGAGTATCGTTCTGCTCCAAGCGTTGATCTCCTCAGTATCGAGATATGAAGTAGCCGGGAGATATGGTGTGACCAGAGGTTTGAACCACTGGGTTCAGCAGCTGCAATCTATGTCATGGCAAGTCAGTGCTCTTCCTGTGCAGAAAAGGGGGAAAGCAAGATGCCTACCTCGTATACGAGAAGCAAAAAATGCGTAAGGAAGAGACCATCCGACAAAAGGTCTTCGCTGCTACGAATGCTATTTTGCAACGAGGGAAAGGCCTGTTGATAGTATTGCAAGGCATCCATATTTTGGCTACCATCTTGATGGGCTAGACTGAGAGCAGATACTGCCATCATAGCATGGAAAAGCTGAAGACAAAACCGTCAGATTCTCGGCCAGTAAAGCACAAATATAGCAATAATTACTTACGGGGGGAAACTCTGCAGCTTCTCGCTCAAAAACCTCTGCGCTTAAACTGTGGTCACCCAGGTTGTCGTGCAAAGGCTCGCCCGGGAATAATTGCTTCCATACCACTTGTCGGAAATGTTGAAGCAAAGTCGCTTCTTGACTTACATCTTCGACGAATTGACCTGGTAAATGCATTTGGTGGTCTTGCATGACGTCCTGAGAAGTGATATAGGACTCGATAGTCGGCGATAGAGAGCCTAGCATGTCGGACGTTGGGGATAGAGTTGAGCTTCTGCAATGAGAAGAAGGGCGCCGTGGTGTGTCCTGGAATTCATCGACAATTACCACATTGGTATCTTCTTCGTTTGCACAAGAACGATCTTTGTCTTCAACAGCCTGGCTGACTGAGGGAGCGGCAACAGAATCTCTGGGGCCTCTATCAGAGCTGCCTTGGGAATATTCTGGGAGGCTAGAGAAACTCTCTGGAACGAGAACGACGTGGTAGGTGCCTGGCATTGAAGTTTCTGCCTTCCTCTCTCGTTCTTCATCCGATTTAAGTAGCGAAAATGAAGGAAGCGGGTCGTTTGTTTCTAAGATGGCGATGCTGTTCTCACTACGGAAAGTTGACTTAGCTGGCAACAGAGCACACATGCTAGTTAGCACATGACGCCGGCAAAAGCACCAAAGAAAAGACTGGGAAGAAGCCTTACGATCCCAGACTACGTTTCCTGCTGTATTGACCTCCGACATTCGTCTTATGGTGCGACGGGTATCGTCTTTGAACGACAGTCGGGGCTGATAGTCGCAGACATGGCCCAGTCGAGTACATTGCTGAAACACTTCGAGTCAGTCGCAATCATCGCTAAGCCACCAAGAAAATGTTGCAATACATCACAATAAGGATGGCCTTCATCACATTTGACTATAGAGCAACGGAAGAAAAGGTTCCAGTCAATCAAACGATGCTACGGGCAGGAGTAGAGACAGGAAAAGAAAAAGAAGAGACACCTACCTTTGCGACTCTGCAATTTCAGCAAAGAGACACACGTCAGCAAACCGCAACTACCCCGACAAGGATCAGCGAGGAAAAAGAAAAGCGGCTCACTCTACATGTCCTAGGGAAAATTCATGTGAGACTCTTGGAAGCAGACTGGTGGAATGAATCAATACAACCTACCAGCACCCGGTTCGAGATCGTGGGGGCAAACGGACTCGAGGCCGTGGAACAGAAACCGAAGCTGTTATCTCAGTAGCATGAAGATGCGAATCGATGGGAATGTCATCCTTGGGAGCGATGATGGGCAAACGCAGAGGATGCTTCCCCGGCTGTCTTCCCCGTCGGGAGGGCATCACAACGCTGACGACAGACATGAGAGTTTCTTGTAATGAAAGGTAGGGGAGAAGTCAGATGTGAGATGGGGAGAACAAAGAAAAGGCATAAAGACAGCAGCGAGGAGATTCAAGAGTACATGACTCAATAATAGTAAGAGCGGAAAGAAACCATGCTGTAGGCCCAGAAATTGAGGATATGTCAAGACATAATAATGGGCAATCCTTTTTTTTTCTTTTTCTTTTTCTTGGTTTTGTTCTTCTCAACCAGCCAGCCCTGTCACTGCGGAAGAAAAGCGGAATAAAAGAAGATGGGATGGGATGGGATATGATAGGAGGGATACGGGATTTGATTAGTGTCTGGGGAAAAAGCAAACCTCAGCAAAAACTGTGCGAACCATGTGGGATGTAAGGGAAACAAAAGTCCAGGAATGAAGGAAGAAAGAGAAGCAGAAACAGAGACAGAAATGGATGGAAAAGCATCGGATCCGAAAAAAAAAAAGAGGCAGCTAATAATAACACAAAGACCCGGCCAGGCCGTTCTGGATTCTCACCAGGAACAGCAGACTATTGATTGCCGGTTCATATACAAAACATGATGCTAATCCCAAGGCATGATGGATGTCTCAATGTATTCATTCATCTTTAGCGAGTGGCGTTTTTCCTAGTTATTTTAGACTAGGAGTGATTTATTAAAAAAAAAAAAAAAAAAAAAAAAAAAAAAAAAAAAACATCACAACCTAGAACGAAAGCCTCTCAAGCTAAAGTCCCATCATTATCATCATCACCACCACCACCACCATAATCTGCCATCCATGCTAAAAATTCCAAATATGCTCTTATAAACTAACATAAACTTTGATCTACCACGTGGATGGATATGATGCTCAGATCTCACTGTGGTATGAGCTTTGCCAGTGCCTGGTCCAGAAAATGCTGCACTGTCCCCGATCTCTCTCCATCTCTCCAGGCCTTGATCGATTCTTGTAATTGTTCGCTCACCCCGAACCCTGTCTGCTGACCTAGAGTCACGTATGCAGCCGCCGCCTGTGCGTGTTCCTTACGGATGGCTTCCACGGATGTGTCTATCTCACGACAGAGTAGCCCATCCGCTAGCGCCGCCAAGGGCTCTTGCAGTTTACTATCCGGTTGTGATATCCACTCAGCTAGCCTTGTAAAAAGAATCCGCAGTTCTTCGTATAGTGTTGTCTGCACATTGCGCCCTCCGTTCTTTAGCGCCTTGCTGGCCACCGGGGTCATATCTGCCAGGTACGTGTTCATGGCTGTGTCTCGAGTCAGTGTCCGGTCCAGATGATGGCTACAAGGGGGACTAACCTCCAGATTCATGGGCCGCGGGGTTGATGCATTGCATAAGACATTTGATGCAGGCTGCCAATGTATCGTCTAGACTGTTTCCACAGCATGATCAGTTTAGATTTTGAATTAAAAGAAAAAACAAAAAGGCTTTGTAGACATACCCCGATTTGTGACCGCTACCAGAGTCGATATCCATCCGGTCTCCGTCATCTTCGAGGACCTCAGCTAACACTCGAGTCACAATGCTCAGCGCATCTGGCATGAGATCAAGATCCTTGCGCGCTTGTGCGATTCCCCCTAACCCAGTGAGGGCAAATGGCCGATAGGCGGCATTGTTCCGTTTCGCCTCCCGGATTGCAATAACCTTGATCGAATCAATCAGTGTGTCAACGACAGAGGAACAAAAAGAAAGTAAACATACCTTCATCAAATCACCAATCTGTGGCTTTTCATGCCACAGTTTCTTGGCTTGTCCCGCAAACTTCACAAACGCTTTGAGCACAACCTCCTTACCGTCCCATGTCTTTCCAGCCAAGGCTTTCTCCAGAGTCGGCCAGACTTTCTCGCTGGTTGCTAAATCGATCTCAGGGTCTAGCGACATGATCGCGTTGGCGATTGCATGCGCAGCTGTATGCTTAATAGCCCAACGCGGCGATTCCAGATTGACCGATACAAGCCCGAGGATCTCCTTGATATACAGTGATACCGCACGCGATCCACCCACGTTTTCCTGCCAGGTCTTCTCAAACACCTCTCTTACGTGTTCGTCAGTATCATACTTGGAAACGAAGACAAAAGGCAACGCGGTAGTAGCGAATGACATAAACCGGTCGTTGGAGAGTTTTGCAGTCGAATGAAGTATTTCTGCTGATATAACTCGCTGATTGGCTTCTTCAGCCGTCATGTAAAGGTTCTTTGCGTATTCAATCGTCTTCAGAACCCGATCGTCGGAAGCTAGGCGGATGAGATAGCCGATGGATGTACAGTAAGATGCGCTGACAGTGTCATTTCGATCGACAACATATTTACTAAGGACCTGGATGAAACGATCCGCATAAGGACGGAACAGCACTGTCCTCATGCTGAGGAGAACCAACACACGGCTACACCCAACTTTCGTGGGGAGCCCGACAGCAGAACGCAGCACGCCCTCCAACTTGATCGCAAATTCCTTAGTACTGTCATCGTCCAGAATATCAATCAGGTACCGCTCAATCACCTCCATCATAGGCGATGTCCGGATACTCGACAACCTCATCTTGTCGATTTCCTGACCAGTCATTCCATACTTATCAGCGTTAAGATGGACGTAATTGACGGCCTGCGGCTCCAGAGAGCTGAGAGAGTTGAGAAATTGCTCCAACACGTGAGGCACAAATGGGCGTAGCGACCTGCTGGGACTCTTCTTAATCATCTGCACTAAAGCTCCAATAGCGAATCCCTGAACCTCTTGAACGCCGGATTCCATTCCCTTGTCGCTGAGTAGAAACGGTATCACAGTTCCCAACATGGTGTTCGCTCGTTTGGTTTCCGTGTCACTAATTTCCAGAATGCGGATAACTGCGTTCGTGATCGTCTGACAAAGTCGAAGAGCTGCCACTCGGACTGTCTCTTTGATATCATCTAACAATTTGAATGCCTTCGTAAAGATCTCATCCATGTATTGGGTGTATTTTTCCGGCTGGCGGCCCTGGATCAGGTCCGAGATAGCAGCACAGCTTGCCTGTCGCACTCGCCACTCCCGGCCCGACAGCATACTCTTCAACAGGTCTCCCATGATTTCGCCGTAATGAGTATCAACCACCACCGTAGGATCCTTGACCAAAGTATGCCAAATTGTGTTCATGGATCGCTGCACATTGGGATTCGGGTCAAATCGATAACGGAACAATTTTGGATAGATTTTGGGGTTCTTGGCTAGATAGCCATTGACACTCGAATCAGAGAAAATGTTACTGATACCTAATTTGCTAAAAGCCGCACGGTTCGACCAGATGGCGTTGTTGGAAGCTAAGGACATGAAACGATACACTAGCGTGGGATCACCAGCTTCGGCAGCAAGGTTCATGATATCTTTATAGGTGTTGACGGAAGAACCTTCTCCGGTTGGCAGGGCCCCAGGCTCAAAGAGCTCGGTATCGTCGTTTACCCTACCTCCTCTGAGACCAGAGTTGTTTCCTGTGAAAGAGTTAACCAAGTCGCGCACAAGGTCATCTTTTAGTTCCCGATCTCCCATCTCATAGACAAGGCCAAGCCCTTGAGCTCCAGATTCCTGTACCACTTCATCCCTATCTCCAAGTAGACCCGCGAAGGCCGCCTGGCACTTTCGTAGACGATCTTGCATTTCTTGTGCGTGGCCACAATTCTTGACCAGACATAATAGCCAGATGGCGGAAGCTTTTCTGAGAGAGGGCTTGGATGCTCTGCAGTCAGCGATGATCTTGTCAGCCATATCGGCCAGGACCGTGGTCGATATGGTTGACTTGGGGTATTCTTCATCAATGTCGAGCTCTCGAATAAGTGACTTAGAGCCCCATCCAATTGCAGCATCACCCAATGCTTCACCGACTGAAAAATGAACTTCTGGGCTGCGGATCTCATGTAACCCATATAGTGCATTCAAAATCTCTTGAAACTGCGTATCATTGGGATTATCCCGTGAAAAGGTCAGAGAAAGATATCCCATTGCTATAATCGGCACCTCGCTCTCTGTCTTGGCATCCTGTGTCAGCTTATCTTTGATGGTCTTCCAGCCAGTTTCGGGGAGAACAGTTTGAGACAAGATTCCTGAAAGACTGAGTTGACCGATTGCGACGTGTGCAGTCCGTCGGAGAAGGGAATCGCGTGCGACTTCAATTATATCAAAGATCGTGCCAATGAACTGCTTTACTTGCGTTTCAGGAACTTTGTGCAGTGCTTTGCGGAAAGCAAGCCTGCTAAATAAATATGACTCTGCTAGAATTGCTCCTCGGACCCGGAGTACAGCCTCACCAATAGCTGTATTCCACAAAGTGACGGAATTGGATAATTCCCCAATAAAAGCTGCGAGGTCCCCTTCGGCAAATGCAGGATGGGAGGCAAGTATTCCGATCGCTCGCGCAGCTGTGTTTTGCATTTCTGGATCATTGCTGCTCAAGGGAGTCTTCAATGCGAGTGTGCGTGGGACAATTGCCCCGACTATATCATTCGATGCCAAAGAGCAAATGCTAACAAAATGTGCACCACATTGTTGCAGACCCTCTTGATTCTCATAAACAATGCCACTCAAAGCACTTTTCAAAAGTATAAATACAGCTTCCTTATCAGAGACCTGGATATATTGCTTTAAGGCAGATCGTGCTTGTTCGTCGGTTGTAAGCAGCACGTCGAGTCTATCCTCCCAGTCTTGTTCTATCTCAGCGGTGACCCCAAACTTTGAATATGATTCCCAGAGAAGGATGTTTCGAAGGAATGCAATTGCAGGCGCGAGGGCCTTCTTATAAGGTCCCGATAATATGTCTGATGCAGACAGCCCCTCCACCGTGGAAGCCCCAGTAGAACCTGATGAGCCAAGCAAAAACCGAGTGGCTTCGGAGAAGGTCGGGAATTTGTACCATGAGGTATGCTCTGAAACATCTGATGGGGAATAAATCCACTGCTTGTCCTTAGTGGGGTTGAGAAGTCGGTACCAGTAAGGGTGAAGTCCTTTCTTGCCTTCCTCCACAACCTCTTGTCGCCTTTCCGACCCACGTGCAACAGCTATAAGGTCGATCCAGCGAGCTGAAACATCGTTATAGGGTAAGAATCTATTGGCAAACCGCACAGCGGCATATTGAGGGCTTCGAGCAATTCTAAACCCTGATATGGAGTCTTCTTGTCCGGGTTCACTGTTCATCTGATGAACTAAGAATGGCCGAATCTGCTCTTGGAACCTTGTATCCCAGCTATCCAGCGAGGAGTTGAGAATGCTTCCCAAGGCTTGCTCGACGCTTACAAATATCTGAGGACTCGAATCATCAGAGCTCAAAGACGTGAAAAGCCATTGGATAAGCTGGATTTCCGAGAACTCCTGGTTTTGATCTTGCACCTGGAAGTCAACTTTAGGAACCAGAATACCAATGCTCTCGTAAGCAAGTCCTCGCAGACTAATATCTGTTGCAGGTAGCCTCTGTCCGCTTGCCGCGGGACTCGGCCAGCCTTGAGACTGGATAAAATCCTTCAGACCTGCGATGACTTTCGGAGCCATTTGTTTTAGGTCAGAAGGAGAGCCCATTCGAACCACCCATGTAGTAAACGTAAAGATCTGGCTTCTTAATTTGGATGCTTGCAGTCCCTGTGATGACCTTGCGGCGTCTGATAGAAGGCCTTCTTCGATCAATCGAATGATCTTTCCAGTATCCGTTGTCGCTTTGACTGATTTACCAAGAAAGACTAAGAGTCTCACCTGCAAAGAAGGTCGGGCAGGAGGTGCGCCATCAGGCCCTTCACTTCCGAGATATAGGTTGTACAATTGCAGGACAACATTGGGGTCTTCTAGATTTGGAATAAACCGTTTTAGAATCTCTTCACCAAGATCAGACAGGCGATAATTCGCATCTGCAGATGCAATAAGAGCCGGGAGAAACCGTTCTGAATCAGTAAAGGCCCCACTGGCGATAAATCTCAAGGCATTAACCTTGGTCTCGGTAAGATTCAGCCCGCCATTTGCAGAGGGATTCCATGTTTCAGCTATAGGAGCGTCCTTGTTTAAAAAGGTATAAGCTTCTGAAGACAGTCCAGGACAGGTTGCTGAGTTCTTGTCGGCGGGTAAGAGAAGAAGTAACTTTTCGAACCACGAAGATAAAAACTCGGTATCCCGATCGGAAAGACCAAGCCGAGACTTAAGCTGTACATCATCTTCACTTCCCTTTGGCGGTAGCTTTAACAGGGGCAGAAGTCGCAGGACCAGATTGAAAACGATGGCACCTTGGTTGACCGACGTGCCAATCTCCGAAATTCCCTGAAGCAAAGGAAGCAGAATCTCGATTCTTGCACTCGAACCGAGACGGTCGATGCCTTGCTGCAAATAAACCAAATCAAAATGTCTGATGAGCTGTGATTTTTGCTCCTTGAACTGCTTCAGCAAGGCTGCAACAGGCAGTTGAATCGACGGGGCTTGAACTCGTGTGTTGATGTGCTGACACACGGCGATTATTTTGTTGCGCACCGCAAGGCTTTCGGACCCAAGCTTCAACAGTAAAGGAGCCAAATAAGTGTGAAGAAGAGTTTGAAGCTTCTCATCCGTATCAGCCAGAGCAATTCTTAGCTCAACTTTGGATATTAAACTGAGCTCGCGGGCCTCGGGACTCGCTGACGTGGCGTCTGAAGCCATAACAAGACTTAATTTGTGAAACAAAGATGATTGATTCTACACATCTATACTGCAAAAAGTTGAAGATGAAGGGAAGAGAGGGGGAAATCAGCAAAAGAGAGATGGGGGTGATTCAATCTCCCCTGGTCTGCAGGCAGTGATACTCCGCGTCACTGGCCCAAAGTGGATACGATGATACTATCCCGATTGGGAGGTGTCTGTTGATTAGTAATCACATGTGACATGACCTGGCATTCTTGGTCTTTCAAGCTACGCTGGCTGGGATAACAAGAATCAAACGAGGATTAAGATAAGAGAATTGCATGGATTCATCATCATATATAGTCAGAGCAATAAATCAAAGTCCACCACATCCATACCCCGATAGCACACCAAGACCGGCTTCTATATGGTATCCTGATCGATCACGAGGTAGGAGCTTCTCGCCTTTTTTCTGCTGCTTCGCCTCTCAGAAATCGATGGACATCGCCTTCAGCACTATTTTCCTTTTGCCTCTGATTGGGGTTTCCGAAGAGACATTGCCAAAGATCATCTTTCTTGACAAGTTCACCGCCCGATGCACCCCCCGCCATCAGCTTGGACAGTGCTGCATCTTCTATTTCCATCGAATTTGCTGAGTCGATGGCTGTCTCAGTAATATTTTCGATCATAGTCTCTTTATTGCCATGTTTCTCCAAGGAGCGAGCGTCTTTTTCCTTTTCCTTTTGGATGATATGTTCTAGACGGCGGGACACTGATAGGTCGTAAATCGATTGTTCGACTGTGTCGGAAACAAGATACATCCAAACAGTAGTGGGCTGATGTTGGCCAATCCGATGCACACGAGCAATAGCCTGAAGTTCGATAGCAGTATTGATGAGTGGCTCACAGAGGAACACATGGGTTGCATTGACCAAGTTTAGCCCGGAGGAATGGGCCTTCGCGTGCAAAAGAAAGCATTCAACCTAAAAACTGATAAGCATTTGACCAAAGAGCCGGGGAGCGGTACGATAAACTTACTGCAGGATCACTCTTGAAGCTTTCTATACCGTCTTTATTATCGATGCTGCTGTATCCAATTTTAAAGTGGGAGAATGCACTGCCCAAAACTTCGAGAAAGTTCTTATACTGAGAGAAAACAACCGATTGAGCACCAGGGTCATGATCACGTAGCCACAAAATATGACGTGCTAAGGTATCGACTTTGGTGCCAAAAGAGCCGGTAAGGTCGATGTTTTTGATCTCTTTCAGAAGCCCGGAGCTTATATCCGTATATATGTGGCTATTGGAAGAGCGTTCATGCTCTATCTTGGCTGGTGTTTTCTCCTCTTGCACAACAAAATCCTGGGGCTTATAGGTAATTTGATGAAAGTCATTCGCTTTTAGACGTTTCTTGCACGTAGGACAGGTCCGGTGTTGGCGCCACCATAGGCGCAAGCAATCCTTGCAGTACTTGTGACCACAAATTGTCAAGACACCTACATTATTATGTTAGAAAGTCTATGGGTACGCATTGACAGCCTGGAAAGAAACGAGGACTTACCAGTTTCAAAGCCCATCTGACAAATGACACATATTCTCGAGGACTCATCTGACCCTGAATCATCCCTGATGTGAATAAGATAACGACGTTTTGCCTTTAGGGCAGAAATCTTTCCATCTATGACACCTTCCTTTCTCAATCTGTCATCAAAGAGTTCGTCATCCAAGGGCTTCCCAACGCTCTCTTCGTCATATGGTGCAACTGTATCCGAGATCTGTTGCAACTGACGATAATATTCAAGACGGTTGTTCATCGTATCCCGAAACATTTCTACTTCCCTTTCTAGGCCTGAAGCAACCTTAGCTTGCTCAGAAGCTATTTGGCTTGTGGTATTGAGCACCATATTGACAAGTTCGGATTCGGCGCGTGCTCTCGCACTTCCCCCACTTCCTTGCCACTCAAGTGAAGTCGAAAGGCTGCGAAGCTCGCTGATGATTCCGCGGAGGGAGCCAAGTTCGGGGTCAGGAATAAATTCGCTGCGTGTATTCATAACTGACAGAAAAAGCGTCGGGGAAGGACCCTCGCCTTTTTGAGCCTGTATAGTACCCCTTTTGACCTCGTGGGCAATGAGGACATTCTTCTGGCCGGTCAGAGCATCATGCCGGTCGGCAAACATTGCACGCAGGGCTTCCATGTAGACGTACATCTCTTCCTGGTGTTTAGTTGACTTTTCGTACTCATTTCCTTCAAGCTCTGAGTTCTCTTCTTGGTCTATCAGAGACTGGGACAGTAGCTTGATCATGATGTTGCGCCATTCGTTGTACTGATCAGCATGTCGGTTCATAGCCTCGCAAAAGCCTTCAAGCTTGTCAAGTACACGGCGTGACTCGAGACCTTTATTGTAAAGATGAGTTTTTATCAGAGGAATGTGCACGAATTCTTTTCTTTGGTCTTTGTTCTTAATAGCCATCATATACCGGTCAACCTTCTGAGAAATTTCGGCTAACATCTCTTTTCGAATCAATTTTGCGGCTTCGTACGCCTCCTCTTCACGTTTTTCAAGGGCTTTGAATTCTTCCGAGCCAGGAGCAGTAAGTTCCGAGTCAGTTTTAATCTGATAATATGCGTTTCCCGTAAAGAATATACAAATGTGTTCAATCTCAAGAGCAGCGCGTAGTCTCTGACGGTATGTCCCTATGCGACTATTTTTGTCCGGTTCTTCGACATCATTATAGCCACTACTGTCGACTGACGCTGTGTCTTGGTCCGATCCAGTGGCAGCCATTCGTTGCTGAGTGCGCTCTTTACGCAGCTGGCTTCGACATTCTTTAACGATTTCACTAGCGCGCTCTAACGAAGCCATCCACAAAGCGAGAGCTTCTCGGCCACGAGTGGCATTTTCTAGTAGTTGACCCCGTCTTAGTTGTGAAAGCAGAAGGGCACGCTCTTCAGTGCGTATGAGTGTGTCATTTTGATCAATCATTACTTCCAGAACTTCAGCCACAGAGCGTAGCGGACCGTCTCCAGTGCCTAGGGCTCGACGATTGCTTCCGGAAACTTCAGGGTGTAGGCAGGTCTGACGAAGTCGCGTTAGCCAGATTCGCATCTTCTCGGTAATGGCGTCATTTGGTTTCCAGTTAGGAATGAGTGGTGCACCTGAAATATCAAGGCCACAGTCCGCAGACATTTCTTCGTGCAACTGTGCATAGTGTTGTTCTTCAACCGCGTTAAATGGAACAGTAATGACTACTCTCTTCTGGGGTGGGAGGCTGAGTTCGCTGCGAACATGGTCTTTGCTATGTCGAAGTGCAATGGTATTGACAATGTGTGACAATACGGACGAAAATCCACATAGCCTCTCCCAAGCATCACAAAGTGGCCAGCAGTGGAGGAATAGTAAAAGGCCATAGAGGTCACTAATATCTTTGCGAAGAGGCGTCCCGGTAACGGCCCACGAAATTTGACGGGGAATCAGGCGAGCAACCTTCGCCGCATTACTAACACCATTTTCAATCATCTGAGCTTCATCGAGACAGACTCGCCACCACGATATTCGAACAAGAGGCGTCTTCCGGGCCTCAAACCTCTTTTCGTGGCGCAAATTCCGCTTCGGGGCATCGCTGGCATAGTGGATCTCCCGCGAGATTACATTATATGTAGTGAGCACAACGTCGTAATTAGCAAGCAGCTCGATAAGCTTTTCGTCCGATAGTTCCTGGTGACGCTGGATGCCGGTATAGTGTAATACATGGAGTCCTGGTGCGTGTAGCTCAAATTCTTGCTTCCATTGCTCGAGGATCGCAGGTGGCGTAATTATCAATGTTGCGCCTGATGGCCTCGGATTCGAGCCATCGCTATCGATACCTGGATCCTGGGCTTCCAACAAGAGTGATCGACGGTTCAAAGATATCAAGCTGATCATTTCGACGGTCTTACCCAGTCCCATTTCTTCGGCAAGAATTCCACCCTTCAGAGATTTCTCTGCATCATACCAGCCGGATATATCAGTAGCGATGACCAAAAAAAGATGGCTCGCAAAATACACTCGCCCATCTGCATCCGTGAACCGTTGGAAAGACACAGGGAGACGATCATCCAGTCTTCTTTCAACCGGTATTACTCTTCCATCCGGTTGGATTTCCATGTTCTCTCTTTGCAAGAGCCACCTGACCGCTCTTCTTTGGAAAGGATAGAGTTGACATTTAATGGTATCGCACTTTATCTGCGCCGATGAACGAGATGTATCATGTGGGACATGGACGTTATCATAGAAATCTCGAGGCGACCAGTACTTCTCAGGTGTTCTCAGATATTCATATCGTTGGCTACGAGGAAGATGATACCTCAGATTCTTTTCTGGCTCCTGCAGCACGTATCTTGAGAATAAAATCAAGACGTTCAGATCTAGTTTGTTGAAACTTGGGATTTCCAATGAATCCTGCCATAGAATGACAGTTTCCAAGTGGAAGGATTTATTATCCGATAGGAGATAGAGAGTAGCCTGATGACACACTGGCGGGACCCTGGCGTGATAGCGATCAGCGCATACAAATCGTTGGGCGAATCCAAGATTGTTGCCAAATTCTATTATTTCTGGATCTGTAGATCTTTCACTGAGTATGACATTTCTCTTTGGCAATATACCTAGCTCCAGGTTGAAGCGATCATATGGAGTAGTATCAACTGAGTGGCTTGGGTAGCGGGAAGAAGAATCTCGAATGTTTTTGGTACCGTCCAGAAGGACAGGTAGGGGATCAGATAAATCAGTGGCGCTGCTTGAAGGTTCCCCTAGGGCAGGGTTTGCCTCTGCAAATTTCTTACAAAGAACGGTCAGTTAGATCATCCGTGGGTGGCTGTTAGTGAGACATACCACGCGGAGATTAAAGCGTGCCAGAGGAATATAGCCACGAGGGATTCCCGTGTCAGTAACTCCATTTTCGAATCGAAGACTCTTAGGTCCCGATGGTGTTACCTTGCGACGTTTGTTTGGAATGCCCTCAAGGCCAGTCGCTTCATTTTGCGCGAAAACGGTGGCCAGAGAATCAGGCACAGCGCCTAGAACACGAGCATATAAGTAACTGGCCTTTAGACTTAAGGTACGAGATCGTGCCTCTTACCTGGATAGAAAACTTCCGCCTGTACCACTGCCATTGTAGTATCTCTCCCCCTGTCAAATCCTGTATAACGTAGGGTGTGGTAGGTGTCAGAACAAAGAAGAGTAATCGACAGGACTATATGCATCCATCTTATCGCGCTCGGTCACGTGGTGATAACTTGTTTTTGGTTGATCAAAAGCTGGATTATCATTTGCCCGGGTTCAGGCATCATAAAAGAATTAGAATGGAATGGCAAATGGGGTACACACTTCTTAGGCTTATATACATTATTGTCAACAAGCCGCTCTAGCATTCGCTTCGCTCACAGCGGCTTTAGGAAGGGGGCTCGGGCTTACGCCCTTGCCACCTTTATTTAAAAATTTTAGTCTATATCCAAGCACTATATTGTTACGGCACCCTTATCAGTGACCGTACCAGGCAGAATCAAGCGGCCAGAGAAATGGATATTCTTATTATGTAAATTTGTGGTTAAAATATATTAGATATCTAGGGGTCAAATAGGTGGGCAGGGGTCAGATACGTGGTGTATCAGGGGGTGGGCGGGATTTCGCGCGAGATTTCGTGGGCCTTGATATATCTTAGTATACCCCGCGCATACCATTTAAAGGACTTTCTGAAGTACCATAGACATTCAGGAAGGATATATAAGGACACTTATTTCATGTACTTAGATAGTTCTTCATGATTAATAAAAGTCATAAACCTACAGCTACCCTTCATCATTCACCCTAATCATTCTATATACACTTGTTAGCATATCTCTTGCTTAATTAAAGAAGTATACATACTTCTTTGGCCTTGCTTCTCTCCTTGACTACCTTACCATATTATCAAGCACCCTCAGCTCATAGGAGCACCCCAGTTACTGTTAACATCCTTAGATTAGGGTCACAGGTTAGTATTTCCAGGCTTAACTCGCAGATTGACAGTTCGGTACCATTACAAGATCCCAGGGTGTGACATATATTTAGTTAAGATCAATTAATTTTTTTAGATAGGGGAGTAGGTAGTGATGTATTTAATCTTATATAATAATTAAGAATTAAATGCGGGCGCGTAATTAAGTTATAGGAAGTGAAATCACTATAAGGGCTTAGACTTCCTAGAAAAGAGGCTGTAAGTAAGTGATTATATAGGTAGAATGACTAAAAGAACTCACTTAATAGGTGTTATATATTTAACTATAGACTGAAAATGCCTGTAGTGGTTATTAATGCTCATAAATTTAATAATAGGGGGGAGAGAAAGGGAAAGGATCTATATAAAAAAGTGATTAGAGGTGTGTATAGAAATGTAGTAGGGATTTTTTTATAGCTATAAATACTACATAGGGTTTTCTTTTATAGCTATAAAAGGGGTAAAAACTGGGTGGCAGACGATGATATATTTTATCTTACATAATAATCAACAATTAACAGCTGAATTTATCCGACTAATCACGGCCAAGACCCACCCTTATTTTCATGACAACGAGAGATATAATTCAGTATTACCCTAATTTTGCAAAAGCCCAGGCCCTCTCCCTAGAATACTTCTGATACTGTCTCGTCCCACGGAATGTGAAGCACTCTGAGATACAAGCAATGGATGGGTTACGTCACTTGAATTTGTATCGAGAACCACACTTCCATCAATTGCTCGGACAGACCTACGGTATGAGCTTCCTTCTGTATTGCTTTCAAATCGGTCAAAAGTATCGCCCGAAGAGGTTGAATTCCCGCCTGTGATCGACTTGTAATGCGCCCTGCCCCATTGTTCTGTATGCAAACGCGAAGCTCCAGAAGTGAGGGTATAGGTTGAAATACCGGTCACCCCAGTTGCCTCGATATCGAGGCCCCTTTTCATCGAAGCATCGATAGTAAACTCCTTGCTTGCATCGGTGCCACCATAGGTAGTGTTCACAACCAAAGGGTATTCGAAAGTGATATCGTCCGATTCCTCGTCGTTCCCAAGTCGCATGGATGAAATGTTTCCAATAGTACTTTGGCTGTTTGCCTGACTTGTGCCTTGTTGATTGATGAGACCGAAATTGGAATACGAGAGGACCTGGCTCCATGAGAAGTCAGACGAGCTAACATTAAATGTCCGTTCGGCGATCACGGAGTATGAAAGGGACTCATTCTTTCCACTCTGGTCTTTAACGAGATTCCGTGTGACAGTAAATTTGGGTGCCGGTGCAAAAATGCTAGGTATGTCATTGCTAGTGTCTCTGGTCACCGAATATGATGCATCCTTGGCCAGATACAGAAAGATATTTCCGGTGACAACCCAGTATGAACCAACAAAGTCGGAAAGAACCGCCGTCCCATCGGCAGAGGTATCCAGGCCAGCAACCCTGATTTCAAATGAATGATCATGACCATCAGTCAGCAATGGAAGAAATGGAGAGATGTCGATTTCTGGCTGTCGAAGATCAAATGCATCGATTCCAACAATAGGACGCCAGAAACCCGGAGCGACGCCTCCAGTAAAGATAACGGGAAAGGGCCAGACGACTCCGGCAAGAATTCCATCGATGAACAGCTGAATCTCACGGAAAGGCGAATGCCCATACAGGTCACCAGCCACGCTGTTGAAAGATTTTGTGTCCGTAGATAAAACATTTGACCACCAGAATTCTTCTTCAGATTGTCCGCATGCTGAAATTGATACCACGGCACGGGAAGCTGTAGGAGGGAATTGATAGAGCACAGTCGTGTTGTCAGAGGGAACAGTAAAAGCACTTGATGAATTGGATGCTGATTTCCGCGCAGTTATCGGCAAAATGATGTCGGCTGTCTTAACATTTTGGTTGTGAGAGAAATAAGCAGTCAGCGTAATATTGAAACTACCAGTATAAGTGTTGTCGATCAAGTTTCCGAGTTCAAATATCAATTTTTGCTGTTCCTTCCACAGCGTGTTATACTGGGACATTTCTTTGATATAAGTCCAAACTATCCCATTAGTTGTTGGCTCGGCTGTCGATGTTCGGAAGACCTCTGTGTCTCCCAGATACATCGATGCGAGTCGATCAAACTGCCGTCCTCTCGAGGTGACCGTGAGGTTGATTCGGACAGTATCAAAATCACAGTCCGGCGGCTCATAAATGCCTGAAAACTGATCAGATCAACATGGAATAGGTAGCTAGATATCTGTACTTGATCTCTGCTCACCAATAAACGGTTTGCCATAGCTGTAGCCAAATACATGGTCCATAAGGAGAACATCTCGATTGCAGCCAATACTTCCATTTGCTTTATTTGGAATAGGCTGGTATACCTGGAAGACATCCACCAGACTGTTTGCATTGGATACTTGAGATTGCTGGTGGGAAATCCCAGATAACCTGGCAGCTGAGAGCGCTGTCGGGAGATACCCAAGCCATAGAAGGATGCAACAAGAGACAGAAAACACGGCCATGATGACTGGTCTAAAGGTCCTTCGCAGAAATACTTCTTGGTACAGACTGCTTTTTACTCTGGGTTCAAATTCAACCTCGGTCTCTTGGGACTTCTCGTTGTTTGGTGAAGATAGAAACCGCGAGAACCTGAAAGTCCTCGCAACAGCCCGTATAATGAGCGCCAGAAGTAGTACTGCGACAAGAAATTTTGGCCAGGAATCCCACGAGGGACTATCTGTGGGCATGACGTGTTGTCGAGATATGCCCCCTTGAAGAGTGCCTCCCCCCGGACTTTCCGATAATGTAGTAGAGGGCCGCTGCTCCATTTCCAATAGTTACACCACTAAGTTTTCGTTGTCCTTAATCGATGGTGAATGTGATTTGGCTTATAGAATCTTAGCTAGTTTGATGAAGAGGAAATGTTGTTTCCCCCTCTCAGTTGATTGTGATTAATTGTGTAATTGGTGAGATCACCTGCAGTAGTGCCACATTGTTGATTTCTTGGAGAATGTAACGTGGGCGGAGTCCCGTAGGTGATCAACAGGCGACACATATATTGATTCAAAATAAGATTTTAAGAACAGGTTTATTGTCGTTTTATAAGCAGAGTAATTTATCAATCTCAAATTACTACGGTATGAAGCTCTGGTAAAGTAAAGTGGTATTACTTGATAGTAGTTCAAACAGATCATCTTTAGGGCCTGGTTTCCAGACTTTCCTGTCTTTCCTGTCATACATGCTATTTTGCCTAAGGTAAAAATGTCATAATGCTTATTTATTTTCAAGGGCTTTTGATCTTCCGTGTGAACATTGCTATCTCAAGCAAACGTTTTAGTATATGGGTACAGTGGTTTCCACTGACGAATCTCATTAGGCAAAACTAGCACCCTTGTCTAGTCCACAGCCATAGAGGAGATATGCCTTGCATGTTAAAATAAAGTAAATAAAAAAAAATAAAAAACAAAGGTGGAATAGTGCCTCTTGCTTTGGTCTTATCGAACAGAAGCAGATGGCAAGCGAGAAGTTATTGTACAATCAAGGGAGAATCCCAAGAACACTGATGGAAGTCTCACAAAAATGATCTCCAGCATACCGGTCTTGAAACCTAGACACTCACATAAAAAGACGCCAGGCACCAAGAATCAGTGCTGCAGTACCGGTACAAACACCCCTGGAAGATAAGTTAGTACAGAGTGACAGCAAAAAGAGATTGTCAAGGAGTCATACATCAGCCACTGCAGTGTAGAAAATTTAACAGCTTCTACTCGTTCTCTCAGCCCCGCAACTTCTTGTTCGATTCTGGTTTCTGTCTCTTTGATACGCATTTCCTGGCCATTGGCCTCTTCGCGAATCCTGCCTTTCTCAAGGTTCAAGTCCAAGCGGACGGATGCTTGCGTGCGCCCAATCTCATCCCGAAGACGTGAGTTAAGCTTCGCAAGATCCGCGGCGATTTTTTCATGCGAAGAGTGTGTCAGTTGCGCTTCAGTCGAGTCTGCGTTGAGGAGTTCAGAGCGAAGTTTGGCAAAATCAACCTTTTGCGTGTATGTTGATCTTTCAGAGTCTAGGCGTAGGTGTTAAACTAGGACAATCTGTTGGTTGGTACACGACTAGGAGCAACTAACCTTCCTTGAGAACCATTGTCCGAGTCAAGTTCTGGATCGACTCTTGGATAACATCATTCAAAACCCTCATCATAGCGACGGCTTGTTCCTCGCTGAAACCTTCATCCTTTAAGCGTTGAACGAACTTTAGCGTGTCGAAGTGGTGATCCCGCTCCCGAGCAGCTGAAGCATGGAAAGCACGCCGGGCTGACTTGAACACAGCAACGTACACGCCATTGTATCGGACCGGATTACTAAGAGGCTCGACAGAAGGACGGTAGGAAGTAGTGTGCGACGATGTGGATGAACGCCTAGCGATCGTAGATGTCGAGTTTGTGTCCTGGGGTGTTGTAAAGAAGGGAGATGAGCGAGGAGAGAACGCTAGAGTATTAAGTTGATGTCTTGCAGGATACCAGCCCTGTACATGCTGCTGCCGCTTCTGCTGTCGTTTTCTTGATAATGCGGAGGGCTGGGGTGGAGTGACGGTAGTCCGGGGAGAGGAGCCATTCCAGGTCAGGCGAGGGAGGATGGAACGCGGCACCTCCGTGACGTTCTTTGATGGCGCCATCCTTATTGCGTAGAAGAATGGCTGTACATGGGCGGGGAGAGGGTATGGTAATAGACCACTCTCGCTATTGCGTCGAGTATGTCAAGCTTCTGTAATAATGGAGTGAAGGTGAATGGAGTTGAGAAATACCGATGACTAAGTTGCAGACTGATTTTGCTCCGATTCGGCGAAGCGACGCGGAGGCGGAAGCACCCGAGTGCATGGATGGTATTTTTAATGCATACACGAGATGAGATGATGTAGTCGGTCGATCAAAATAAAATTTACTAATACTGTGGTTATAGTTAACCCTGGAGCCTGAATCAGCTGGAAGCAAACATTTGTAATATTATTGAATATTTAGCGTTATATAGGTTTATCTTGTTTTTGTTTTCTGAAATTTCCTTCTACATTATTGTTCATCATAGAGCATTAGTTTCTAAACAAGATCAAACTGGACCCATGCGGCTGGCCACTTCATTTATAGGTGGAAGATTTCCTTCAGCTGCTTGATGGTGTCCTCGGGGCCGGTCACTGCGTGTCCGATTGTTCTAGAGTCGGCGTAGATCTCGTGGTCGTTACCACCAGGGAACGACTTGTCTCCGAAGAAGTGGATAGTAGTGTATTCGGTGCCCGAGATACCCTTCTCCGCCTCGACATGTTGTAGGCAGTAAGTCTTGTCCCAGCCAGTGGGGAAGACATCGAAGGAGATCTGACCGCCAATGGAAAAACTGGTGCCAAGAGAGAGATGTTAGAAACATAGCCAAAAGAAACAGCCTCGGGGCTATAACTCACGTCAGTCCATAGTCGGGGAATTCCTTCTTCAAAGCTTCAACAAGGGTCTTTCTGATGTTGTGCACCTTGTCGTATCTGCAAAGAGCGTCAGTCAATCTATTCGATCACCAAACCTTCCGCTCGAAGAAACTGGCATCTGCAGCTATGCGAGACAGCCAGGAGATATACATACGCTTCAAATTCGTGTCTCTCATCGACGCTGGCATTGCGTCCAATGGGACTAATGTTAACCATTCCGTTGCGAAATTCAACGAAAGTACCCCGCTTCTTAGGCAGCTTCAAGTCTGCAATGTATTTGAGGCAGAAGTTAACCAGGTTCTGGTACTTCTCCTCCCCAAGCCATTGGATAAAGCTGTTGCTAGCAAGAGGCTTGCCCAAACGAATCGCGGTCAATCCGTTCTCGGCAAAGCAGAAGTCGAAGAGAGTAGTGACATTGATGGAAGCTGTGCCGAGTTGCTCTTGCTGCTTAGGAAGATCGGAACCACCAACCTGAGCCGCATGAGAATTATACCGAGAATTTGGGAGAGGAAGAAGACTAACAAATCCAATGGCACACTTGTGACGCAATTGAGAGAGCAGTTCGAGCATCTCAGGGGAGACACTCTGTACAACAGGGGAAATTGTTAGCTGTTGTAATTCTATCTCATGATTGAAGATATGCATGACAATTGCCACGGGTATCCCAGGATAGAGACAAACATACCCTCCTTGCAGGTGTCAAAGTACCGTCGACATCGAACAGGCAGATTGTGTTCTTCACAGGACGGTTCTCCAAGGCTGGATAGACACTGGCGGCTTCGGTGGCCATGATGCTGAATTATTCCAAAGAGTGTATAAGATAATATACCGAAATATCACAGGGTCACGAAGTCACAAGAAGGAAATAATAATGACTCGATCCAGGGACCACGGGCTATTAATACCCCCACCGGGACGTGTCCTGACCGCAAGCGGTGAGACGAGGGGCCGGTGGGGTTGTTTTTGGGTGTCCAGACTCCAGGCACCAAGGCCACCAGGCCAAAGGCGGTCAGTTGCTGGGACTGGGGATCGTCGTGGGTCTTTGGAGAAGGCTTATCGATAACCTAAACGGCAAGAGGAAAACATCCAATGATCCGAGGGTGCTTCTGCTTCACATGAATCATTGTAAAGTGGACTATGTGATGCTATTGAACCTAGATATCCAAACCAACATTTGGACTGATTTTTGTCAGTGACTGGGGTGTTAGGAATCTATCAAATTGCATAGGAATATTAGCGGATCCATACGTACATACATAGGTACCTACCTTGGTACGGAGTACATATGTACCAATAAACCTTCATATACTGAACCAGCTTCAGAGTTTCAATCTAGTCCATAGATTATAAAAAATCACTATTCAGCAGACAACACTGTCTGTTAGTCTAGGAACTCAATATCTGCCAGCTTATTGTCCATATACATCAATGCCCATATGACAAAACCTCATTCAACCAAACATTACGCCGTATGTATATTTGAAACCAAATTCAATCTATAGCCCAAACATCTCACATAATCTGTAAATCAGGATATAGAATATGTTCAATGTCCCATGGCAGACTGAAAGACCTTGGTCGCCAATTCACTCAACAGCCGAGCCCGGTCCTGCTGCGGTAATTGAAGAAACACCTCGTAGACACTTTTACCCTTGGCATCTCGGACAGCACCGAGTCGGTTCCCTGCCACGGCGCCAGCAAAGGCTCCAGGAACGTTGCCCACAATGAAACCCAGTGCACCACCGCTAACTCCACCAACAAGGGACCAAAATCGGGAAGTAGGCCGAGTGCGAGTTCGCCCTTGGCCATCGCTATCTTCATTCGCAAGTCCTTCTTCTCGCAACATTTCTTCAAAAACAGAACCGAACTGTTCAGACGCACGCTCTTCGCGATCTGCTGCACCTGCGCCAAATCCAAAGGAGGACCATGGGAAGCCACCCGCACCACCCGGGGGCACTTCTGGTCCTCCTTCCTCTGCCTCTTCAAAGGCCCGTGCTGTGTCATATTCTTGTCGGCGTGATGGGTCGGACAATGTAAAATAGGCATCGTTGATTTCTTGAAATTTGCGGGTGCGGGCAGGTCTTTCAGGGGAGTCTGCAGCTACACGATCGGGATGCGATTTTAATGATTCCCTGTCAGGTAGTGTTAGCAAGTATCAACCTGATTCAGATAGATATGCGTGCCTTTTGTAAGCACTACGGATTTGCTGTTGTGTTGCGTCCTCATGGACTCCCAGAACCTTGTCTGTATTCAAGTCAAAATGAGCCCCAAGAAAGAAAAAATCAATTTAAGACAAAGCTTACAATAGTCCAGCTTTCCTATCATGCAAGTTAGACTGGCTATGGCTTAGTACATAAGAAGTCTGCATAGACTTACTTGACATGATGATGTGATTTGCGTGATGGACTAAATAAGTTGTTGCTTGATACCTAGATCACTCTATCCTTGAATATTCGTCGCAGTATCCCACGTAACTTGAGCTTCCTCTAATCACAAAAGAAGAGAGAAGCCGGTCGCAGTCCAACGATGACAGCCTGAACATCTGGCCAAGAAGATGACGTCGGCAATAAATTGCAGCCTCAGGCACCCACAACCTTCCTCCCGTTTGTCTTACTGTACATAGTAAAACCGCCCTTGGGCAGCAGCGCCAATGAGGATCGATCAATGGACCAGCCACCCACAATTTGTCCACAATAGCTGAACTGCTGGAGGCTGGAGCTCCCCTTTCTCAGCTGCGGCTGCGACTGCTCAGATGGAGGTATTCTCACCTCTCTCTCCTGTCTATCTCTCTGGAATCTCTCGTTTCATCTCTCCTGTAACCCTCGGCTGAATTGGGGGTGAATTCTATCCTCTGCATCATTGCGATTGGGTCATTGTTTATTTGTTAAGACATTTCGTGTTTTGAATCTACAGTGGACACAGGTCACAGCGTCTTTTTGACAGCGATTTGTGGAGACGGTCAATGCAACAGAACGCCTAGAATTGGAATTATTGTGTGCATCTGCAGAGAGCCGCTTCTGGACTTTTCTTTTTTAATTTGCTCTATACTGTGCCGATTACACACAGAAAAATCTCAGACCAACAGACCAAATAATTTGAAGAAGCAGTTCACCACAGCTGTACTTCGAATCGACAAGTCCTAGCCAGACCCCCAAAGGCACAATACCACCAGCTACCAACAATCCAAGTCTTTTCTTAAGCTGCTGTTTAACAGGGTAACTGGATAATCAAAATGGGCTGGTTTGATGGACCATCATCGTCTGTTGTTTCTTCAAGCTCAAATACCCGCCGACGCTCTCCATCCCGGCGATCAACGTATTCGACGCATCACCCCCGAGGCTCGGCGCCATCAATCTTCAGTTTCGGCGCCGGTGGTGGTGGCAGCCGTGTTGGGGGCAGCCATGTTGGAGGCAGGTCAAGCCCTTCGGTGTTTTCCACATCCTCATCGTCGCGACGTGCACGGCCTCGCAAAGGCTTCGTCCAGCGTGTGGTCCGCTACATCAAGCGGGTACTGCGTGACATCTACGATTACGCCCGTCAGCACCCAGTCAAAGTTTTCATACTCGTTATTGTGCCTTTAGTGACAAGCGGCGTGTTGCAGAAGCTTCTGTCCATGGTTGGAATTCGTCTGCCCAAGAGTATTTTCGGTAACATGGCCAAACCCGGAGAGGCCGGGATGAAGGAAGGTCTGAATGGAATTATGAACATTGCAAAGATGTTCCTATAACCATTGTGTTTTGCGATGACGGTTTTTCACCTACTGATGGATGGTTAGAATATCAACCCCAATAACACACCTTGAGAAAGGAAGGCGAGGATGGCGAGGAAAAGAAAAAGGAAACCCCCATACCAATGTTATACCAAGACAAGCTCACGACTACCACGACGATATTGACGATGTATGCTCAACTTCATTCATTTTGCTTCCTAGTTACCCTGTTCTCTGATGAATTTCAAGAGCTGTCACGATATGTGCCAAGTGTTGGCGAATAGTTCCATTCTGCTTTTTGTTTAATGGAAATGCAATTTTTCTTGATCATCCTTTTTCCAACTGCAAAGGAACTTCTGCACAGCACCGTAAATCATGAAACAACTTGGGTTGTAGTTGTAGGAAGGAGAGAATTCAATTGACATATATAGCCAGTTAGGAAGTAGTAATGGGAAAAACTGGAGGGAGCCCCCTATCTAACCGAATAAAGGCTTCTCACCGCAATGAATTTAATTGATATCGGCGATGGAATAAAGAATACTTCATATTAAATCCCAGCCTCCTATGGGTCTATAAGACATGTTGGGCATAATGTATGTCTGCCTGACTAGCGGTGATCAAGGCCAAACCCCGGGTATCATCAATCGAAGTCAAGTGGAGAAAATCGGGTTTCTAGTAGTGATAATGACGATTGTAATGATATGGTGATGTGAGACTATCAGAGTGGAGATCTGTTAAAAAGCTCATCTCTTTTGCTATTCTCTTTTGTACTGAACGATGTATTTATACACTGTTTTTGTGCCTCCATTCTGCAAGAATAATTGTGGAGGCGGACTCTGAAACCACGGGTCTGCATCCGCCAACTGCTCATGACTTTTGAGAGCGCTTCTTTCTTTTTTTGGAAGGACCACCGTTTGAGGTCACTGCGGAGCTGCTGGCTTCCTCAGCTGCTGGCACCGCGGCCTCCACGACCTCTTCTTCAGAGTCGACCACATCGTCCTCCGCGTTGGATGGTGCGGTAAGACGGCCCACGGTCTTTTGGAAGCACCAAATGGGGACCCGGAACACCATTGTGTCACGCACGGTTGGGCGATGGATTTCCTCAATGTCAAGCAGGAACTCTGCCTTCTCGCCTTCTTCAGTCTCTTCCTCAAGGAAGACGTTGCCAGTGGAATCCACAATCAACACCTTGCCATTCTCTGCAACCACCCGTTTTCTCTCTCCAGTGGGGCTGATGGACTCTGTTGTCGGTGTAGAGGTACCTGAGCTGCGGGAAGTTGTCTTGGGTCCTTTCTTTTCCTTCTTGTTCTCTCTGTCCATCATACGCTTCTGGCGGCGGTTCATAGGCAGGGCGCTCGCTTCACCTTCGTCAGGGGTGGGAACAGGGGCGCTTGCGTTGGGGTCGATACCAGGGATGCCACGGACGCCCGTTTCATCTCCCCAGGCAGCCCTTCTGGCCTGGCGGATGTACCGATCAACAAACTCCCGCTGGCGTTTCCAACTAAGAACAAGAGCTCCATAATGGGCACCACCACCAAAGACGAGAAAAAGACCGATCAGCACAGATCCCAGGCCGGGACGGAACCGTGAGTAATAGTAGCCAGTACCCTTCCACTTGGGGAACCCGTTTTTGAGGAAATGATCGTACCGCTCGCGAGACGGGCCACGAAGAATGTTGGCAACAGTGTTGAGGCGAGCAGATCGTTCATGCGCTTCCTTGACGGCGGCGGAGATATCACGCTGCGAGGGACCCTTGTTGACATTGACGCCGTTCTGGGTTTTGCCCCTGCTCTTGTCCTTAGAGCTATTGGCAATGAAAGACCGTCTAACCTTATCCGGGTGAAGGAGCTTCGATTTCTTGCGGTACGCCTTGTTGATCTCATCCTGTTTGGCATTGGGGCGAATTCCGAGGAAGTCTGAATGGGATCAAAATATCAGTGGGGGCTGACGTTGACATCGAAGGCGTGGGGAAATTGGGGAGAAACGAACCGTAGAAGGTTACATTATGGCCTTCCTTTGCCATAACCTCGTCGTTGATACTAAAGATTTCATAGTCTAGAGGAGACAGTTGTTAGCCAAATGCTTGAATATGGAGGTGAGATTGGTCGAATTGACTGACCCTCCTTGGTCCAGGCCGCCGTAAGAACAAACAAGACGGCGAACAAGATCAGACGGAGTGCAAATGGCTTCATCTTGAGCCGGAGGGAGAGCAGTCACTACCACTGGCCCCAACAATGGTAAACAGTAGCAATCACGCACTACCAAAGAAGATGGAGTATTATCTAGGATTCGAGGGCGAGAGATCAAGGGAATTGAACACCTTTTTTCAGTTGGTCTCACGTGATACTGTGGCCGTGCCGCTGTGAATCGATCTTCATGGCCCCTTATTTAGTGCTTATCTATTTACCTCGAGGTTGTTGTGTATTATTGATATGGATTTATTCTACTGAATATTGATCTGGAATTATTTCTGTTCGGATGACTTCTAGGCAGTGTTGTTCTGACTTGAAGTAACCACCGAGTACATACTCGACCTCGACTGGGTAACCCATATCAAGATAGCGTCGGGTGTGGCATTCGTAAGGCTAAAAGATGCATTGGATGGAGTATTTCTATTTGATGCAAGTTTCAATATCTCGGGTAAATCTTCATGGCTCTCTTCTATCCAATCTTCCACTATGGTTACATTGAAGCAAACAATACTGCATGGCTTGGTCTATTCCTATGACTGACTTTGGATGATCGTGAAAGTAACTCACTGAAAAGAGCTGCAACCGTCTTCGAAACAGCAGCAACGTCAGTTCCATTCCAAACAAACTTGAATACAACGGAAGATGATACCCATCCGCATTAGGCCAGATCCGAACCTCCTTCAGTAAGGCATCAAAAATTGCATACATAGTATGATCTGTATGATCTGTCCAACAGAGGGCGGTCTGACTGGTCCACTTCGCATCTGCAAACGACGTGGACCAATGATGCCAATTGATTTCATCCATCAAACAGGGACAATTGGGTTCATAAATGAGTAATAAATGAAAAAGAGGAAGTGTCCATGCTCTGGGAGGGTTAATAAACCCCCCCCCTCCCCAATATCTCCAGTTTTTGTTGTTTGTGATCTTCTTCTATTATTCCGGATGAACTGAGATATGGGGTAAAGCCGCCCCCGTCAATGACCACGAGCCACGATACGCTCGTTGTTTTCCATATTTAACCAGACCGTCTGAAGATATCAAAAAATTATTCCTTCAAATCAAACGATTCCCTTGTACCCTCATCCCTCATCTTATATCACCCTGCCTAATTTCCGAGGCTGCTGTTCTGCACCCACAAAAGGGAAAGACACCGTTGCTATTATTAGTGATCGCCCTCGTCTCCAAGAAACGCCAGTGATTCGGACAGTCGAATCATCATCGGTTTTATCCTGTTGACTGATCACCAAAAGCAAAGAGGAAGAGAGGCCGAAAAGACCAGATCTCCTTAACTGTTCTTTGTTGATAAGCGGTCGTGGGTGATACTGTTGTTGCCCCCTGATTGTTGTGGCAGCCAAACAAAACGGGACGAGGGAAAAAAAAAAGCCTCGTCGGGCCAACTAAGCCTGTTCCTGTCCGCCATCGTGACTGCTCAGCCTCTGTCACTTCACTCTGGACTTAATTCCTTTTATTCCTCCCACACCCTTTTTCCTTCCTTCAAACTCTTTATTTTCATCTTTGTTTGATATTTGATCTCAACCCTCATCTCCACATCTCCTTTGATTACCTTCGTATCCTCACCACGTCTCCATACCTCCACAATGGCCATCCAGATTCCTATCGACGCGATCACCTCGCGATTCGGCGAGCGCTTCAACAGCGTCCGCGCCCAAGGCCTCGGATCGCGCTTTGCCAACCTCAAGCCGGTCAATGAGTTTCTGGATTTCAAGCGTCTATCCAAGCCCGCCAATTTCGGTGAGGTCCAGAGCCGCGTCAACTACAACCTGTCCTACTTCTCCAGCAACTACGCCGTCGTCTTTGTTATGCTCAGCATCTACAGCCTGTTGACCAACTTCCTCCTCCTCTTTGTCATCCTTATTGTCACTGGTGGTCTGTATGGTATCGGAAAGCTCGAGGGCCGCGATCTGGAATTGGGCTTTGCCCGTTTCAACACTTCCCAGCTCTACACTGGTCTGTTGATCGTCGCGGTTCCTCTTGGTATCTGGGCTTCCCCTATTTCCACAGTGCTCTGGCTGATCGGAGCTACCGGCGTGACCGTGTTTGGTCATGCTTCCTTGATGGATAAACCCATTGAGAATGCTTTTTCCGAGGAGGCGGTCTAGGTGGTCGGCCGCGAGCTCCTTACGATATGCCCCGATGGGGAAGACCACCGGGGGCACGACTGGGGAGACCAATCTGGAGACAGGCAGGACAGTGGGAACAGGATGAGTTACAAGTTGATGCTATGAGCAGTGGGGAGGGTGATAGGTATATGTTACGGGAGAGTCGTTCGCTTTATCCCCAGCAACTGGTGCCTGGCATGGACGTTGATGGAAGAAGCGGATGGTGGAGGAAAAACTTGGGTTACGATGAGTATGCCTATGAGACAGGACCCGTCGACGGGGTGGACTATGACCTGTCTGATGGCACCGACAGCAGGGTGGCTTATGCGGTGCAGCTCGCCATGAAGGATGAGGAGGAGTGGTTGGTGGACAAGGCACTGGAACGGATCCGGCACGCACAGGATCTGGGTCAAAAGAACGTGCGATTGTCAAAGCGAGAGGTGGAGGCCTTGGAGCGCAAGCGGGCGCAGAAGAGCAACTCGGATGATCCCTGGAGAAAGAAGGGCATCGCAAAGGCGCCTTCTGTGGATGATAGGCGGACCAGACAAACAGATAACGGGATCGCGGGGAAGACCAGATCACAGCGGAGCGGGTCTGGGGCGTCGCCAGACAGGCCTTCTTCTTTTCTCGCAGACAGTGCCTGGATACAATCGTCTCAGCGGCCGCGGACGCCTACGACCCCGGGCCCTCGTCCCAAACACTCTAGTCCGTCGCTACGCCCTCCGCTGCCGCCGCAGTATGCCCCCGAACGCTTTTATTCCGCCCCCGCTATCAGCCCCCAATCATCTCCGAGAAAACAACCGTTCATGCGTTCCTATGCGGAATCTCAATGGATGTCCCCGTATCCGAATCTGTCGCCTGTGGCACCCTATCCAATGGACCAACCTCCATACCCGACCCATATGGTTGGGCCCCAGAGTCATACGTTGTCTTACAAGCCCAGCCATCAATCGCTCCATGACGAGCGCCTCTACAGCAACGCGCCAGATGCCAATTCTCCCCGTCGCGCTCTTCTGGGATCCGCTCTGCACGATTCCAACGGGGACAAAAAAGATGGTTCGAAAGATAGTGGTGATGAAGTACCGATCGTGGACGTGGTGCAACGGAAAGTGCCTATTGGTTCTCCGACCCGGAGCAATGTGGGAAGAGGTCTTCAACGGGTCAATCGTCGTTAAAAAAAGAAAGAGGGAAAAAAAGCAACAAAAAAAAAAAGCCTCCCAGTGTTTCCTGTTCATTTGCTCTTCTATCTCGATTCTCGCATGGTTGAAAAAATTCATGTTTAGTCTCTTCCACAACTCAACGTGGCTTATGCAGAAAAAGACGTAACGGAGTTCTTGTGTAGACCGGGTTTGATAAATGGGCATTTAATAATAATAATTTTGATTCTATCCAGGTTCCAGGACAGCCGTAGAGTAGATAGGCATCTATCTATCTACTCGTACTATTCTTAGGCGTCATGACGTGCATCCCACCAACAACCTAATACATCGTACGACTAACCCCAATGCATAACATGAATAATCTGTATGCCTGCTGCTAATAAAAAAAAGAAATGGCGGAGGATCTTCACGAGGCTTGGACTGTCATGCTTTGTGGATGACGTCGACGGGCGGCAGGTGAAGTCACTGCAACAGCAGGAGTCGAAGATTATTCCTGCTCCACGCAGCAACCAACTTTTCCTCGCTCGCTCAGCCTGCTTGATCGATCTGTTATTATTTGCTCGGTGGCGTGGATCTTGTCTCTCGTGCCATTGAGTCTCTTAACTTTCTTTTTTTTATTCTTCTCTGGTTCCCCGAAATCTACCAACCTCTTTTTTTCTCTCCCTCTCCTTCCTCCTCTCTACACTCCAGATCCCCTGTAAAATATCCAAACCCCCCCCCTCCATCCGAGAGAGTGTTCACTGGGGAGCTGCGGTTGACAGCTGTGTATTATCTCAGTCAACCGACATACACGAGATCCATTGCAAAGTCGCATGTTGGAGCCACGGGGAATTTAATTTGTTCCAACCAAGGGCACTTGATCGTGAGTCTAAGCCACTTCCGCCATTCCCGGCGCATCCCTACGCCATCGTTGGAGGTTTCTAATCACATATCAACTGCAGTCAGCCTTTTCCGTCGCTCTTTTTATTTGACATATTTCACTCGGTCGTTCTTTCATTTCAATTGCCGACATCTTCGTATCCCTTTTCTTTTTGTTGAGCGAGTGCTGGTGAAGGCAAGATGTGGATCATTTCATTCTGGGTATTTCCGGTCATATCGGCCTTCATGTGGTTAGGTAGGCTTCGCTCATGGTCATTATCTGGAGATCACCTCAACTAACGATTCTTATCTAGCGATGTTGATCGCTATGCTGGTCATTTGGTCCGCCGTGGATGGGTCGCCTAAATATCCAAGTATGGAAGAAGGACAGACCATTGCGTAAGTCTTACCCCTGTCGCATCGCAGTGCTTCCTTTTCTACTATTCCTCCAGAAGCTAATAACTGGGGCTCTAGGTACATTTCCGACGTTGGAGCACAGCATTTGAAGCCTCTTTTCATCGGCGGGTGTGTCGTCACCGTCGTCTTCCTTGATCTAGCTTTCCTCGCTGAACGATGGCTGCGACACGCTGGCCAACTGGTGCCAAACAAAGGACTCTTTGACAAAACCTGCGCTATATTGTCCATTTTCTTCTCTATTGCCGGTGCTTTGGGACTCATTCTCTTGTCCATTTTCGACACCCTCCGTCATTCTAATCTGCATACTGGGTTTTTGGCCTTGTTCATGTAAGTCCCTGGCGATCACTGAAGAAAGTGATGTGTGCTAATAAACTCGATATCAGTGCTGGATATGTCATTAGCGCCATATTTATCTGCGCCGAATATCTTCGATTGGGTCTCTTCTACCGCTCGCAGCATAAAATCCTGTTTGCTAGCTTCGTGATCAAAATGTGCTTCGTGGTGATCGAAGTTGCTCTTGCCATTGCCTTTGGTGTCTGTGGCAAGCACCAGGACAAGAGAAATGCAGCCGCGGTCCTTGAATGGGGTATGTTCAATGATCCCTTACCTCCTTTGATGCAGAATACTGATTCTCCTCTCCAGCCATTGCGTTCGTATTCACCTTCTATGTTCTCTCCTTCATCGTCGATTTGCTGCCTTCGGTCCGTACGCGCCGCCATGTCCCTCAAGGCGAGAAGCGGATCGAGATGGCGCATTCTGGACCCGGTGCTCCTCATCCCGAGGAACAAATCACCTACGAAGAGCCCTTGACGATGGATTCTACCGGACCGAATGCCGGTTATTATCGCGGCCAGCACATCTAATGGCAATGACTTGCCTCAATATATAGTGGTGCGTGCTGAAATTCATCTCTTTTTGTTCTCTCTGTTTTGATATCCATGATATACAAGGACTTGGTGTATTGGGTGTGTTCGATAAAGATACCTCGGGACTTGTCTTGTTTAATCTGTTTATAGGTTTGCTTTTTGCTTGATACCTTTCTCTGTGACTTGTTTTTGCATAATGCCTTTTTTAGTACTAATTGCTTGAGAGATGACTATTTATTGAGAACGCGTAATCCCAAACACCGTGGCAAATATAAATGCAGCTTCTTGCATTCGAGTCATTATCATTAATACATATACACCTAATCGATACAGTCTTTCGTCTTCAGTATGCAGTGTATCAAAAAGCCCAATCCCATCAAAAATTACAGTGCAAAATAAAAAGAAAGAAAGAAACCGAGTCGAGGAGAGGGCAGTCTATGCCAGCAACTTCCGTCGGACCATCTCTTGTTTCTCGCGATCAATCCCAATCGAGAGTAAATAACCCTCAACACCCCCATATTTGGAATCCAGGTGGGCTTTGATCTCGCTCGTAAATCCCGGCGGACACCGGGTATAATCCTCTGACAACCCAATCATACGAATCTCCTTCATACGCTCCTCAAACTCCAGCACTAGCTCGGGCTCCGACTTGACATAGTCGGTCGCGATGGCGTCCTCGGGTACCAGACCCGTGAGTAGGAGAAGGAGTAAAACCATGAGTCCTGTGCGATCTTTGCCTTGGGTGCAGTGCACGATGGCCGGGTAGGTTTCTTCCTTGGCGAAGAGTTCGAAGAGTTCTTTCATTTCTGCTGTGCTGCTGTCCAACGTGTCCTGGCCCAATCCGATTAGGCCACGCGGAGACATGACTTGTTGGCCGACGATGACGACGGCATCGGGTCGGTATCCGGATGCAGCCAGTGCTAAGACTTTTCTATCGGATATTAGCTGGTCTTCCAGGTAAAAAATAAAAATAACCTAAGTCAGACGAACAAAAAATTATACCAATCCAATTTCCACAACAAGCTCCGCTCAAACGCCTTGCCAGTCAAACTAATCAGTTCTCGTCGCACACCACCCAGCTGCACGAGATGCTCTTCTGCCTTGGGCAAGGCTGCCTGCTCGACAGGCAGACCATTTTCAGCCCGTCGCTTTTTGGTGGCGATTTGGTGTTCTGTGCTGGCTGGGGTATTAGCATCACTAGTTAGGATGGAAACACTATAACGAAGCACGGACATACCTGGATCGGAGATCGATCACGGTGGAAATGTGCAATTCATCGGTGAGACGGCGTTTATCTCTTTCAGAGGCATCATCTAGCTGTACTTCATCAGCAGATATTCAACTGAATTAAAATCCATCAAGATCTTTACCCTTGCGCTGCGAAAGAGAACACCCTCCTTCAAAACACTAACCACCGAAAAACAAGATCAGCCGCAAAACATCATCCCAAAATGGACAAATTGCACATATATAGATAATCGAGAAACAAGAACATACCGAGAACCAAGACAGTCGTTAATAGAGCTGGCGACGTCGCGAAAGTTGATGATATTGTCAAAGGGGCGGTCGGCCGAGTCTAGATCGATGCTAGACTGGCGAGGATGGTCATGAGATGAAGCCATGAGACTCTTGATCTTCTGAGAAGCAACGAAGAAACGATGGTGGTTGAAAAAGAAAGAAAGCAGAGGGAGAAAAATGATGGGGAGGGGGGGGGTTGACAACACTAAAAGGCGACCAGCCAGTTAATAATATTAAGACAAACGAACAAAAGTACAGACACAAATAATACAAAGAAGAAAAGACAGACAGAAAAAGGAAATGAAAAGAAGAAAAAAAAATGAATAGAGAAAGAAATGAAAGGATAAAAAACGGGACAAACAAGATTAAATACTGCTAGTACTTGTCTAGTAGATTATCAGATGCAAGCTCCAGAGAATTTAGACTGTCAGCAAATGCAGATCCAGAATGGCGGTGACTGACGTGGATGCATGAGATATCATTTCCAGTCAAACCACGCTGCTTGATGGAATGATCGTCATTGGCTGGGATCGATTCTCCATGATTTGATATCTGTACAACTGTACAAGTGTTCAGAAATGCCCCTCGTACTATCTTCTTCATGCATATGTGCCCCGGTCCTCCTTCCAGCCCGGCTGCAGATATCCCCAGTCTTGATTGAAATCAAACCCACTGCGATATTTTGCATAGGCCACCAACTCCACTCGCTCCAGCCTCGCCCCCGCATCCGTTAATGCCCACATGCTAATCACCAGCTTGTTCTCTCCCCGGTTGTTGATCACTCCCGGTGGGAAGGGGAATGTCGTCTGCGGTCCAATATGCGGGAGGTAGTGGCCGAATTGATATCCATTCATGAAGATCTGGATCACCGCTTCTGTGCCTTCGGGAGCACCTACCCGTAGCCCGATTGGCACATCCAGGTCGCGGTCGAGATCTAATTTGAAGCTGGTCGTGTAGAATCGACCTTCAGCTCCCAACACCCCGTCTAGAGGACTGCTATCCCAGGCCGACTCGGGTGGTGTGTATCCGGGCAAGTGCCAGCCCATCCGCTCGCCATATAATCCACCCTCATTCATCGGTCCACGGACTGGGTCAATGTTCTGTTCCCCGCCTGCGTTGCCTTGGAGCCGCCATGATGTGAAGTTGCCTCCTCCTACCAGCGTCGCTCCCATAATTCCACGCGGGTTCTGCGTCCCCAAAGGCTTTTGGCTATTCTGATCGTGGCCGGTATAGTCCGCTACGACGGTAAGAATATTACCGTATGGTTTGAGGGTCGAACGGTCGAAGTCAAGAACGTCCCAGGTTGCCACAAGTCTAGAATCCCCGGCGGAACCCCCGACGTACTTTCCATTCAACCAAGCTGCCCACCCTGCTGCAACGCCATTTTGAACAGTGACGTTAGCACCAGTGGCATTTGTCCCGTCGAATCGCCCTCGATATATCTTAGTCCCGGCATGGTACCCGTAATCGCCAGAGTACAGCACGGGAAGAGACAGTGGGCTGATGGAGTTGACCGATTTGGACTTGTTACACCAGGTCCACCTTGAATCGTCATACTCGGGTTGGGTTTCAGGGAGTGTATCTTGAGCCTTCCATGGTCCAAGCGTGGGCAACGAAATATCCACATCCTCCGCTCCCGGTGCCTTACTAACCAAACTGCCATAAGGGGTCTTTGTGGTCTGGATCTCGTTTCCATTCCACTTCACTTTTTGTACATTCGCATCGCCCGTATATACCCTGAGAGAATCAGTTATATTCCAAAATGAACAAGGTGTGGGGTGACTAACTCGAGAGACGTGGTGTTGGCATTATCACCTGTGATCTCTACAGTATCACGATCAATCGAAACTCCACGAACGAGATACGGTCCTAGAACAAAGATATGCTCCTCTGGATTCACCTTTGGATTCGATATGGTCGGAGGTGCAAAGAAATTCCACGCGGATTTTTGGTCGAGAAGATAGACTAGCACTCCATTTGAGAATTTCACCACTGTTGCACCCTCAGTCTGAGTGTATGCATACTGTGACCCATGGCTAGTCTCAGAGGTGCTGACGTTGGAGCTGCCATAGGTCTTGAATTCCAGATCTGATGGCGCATCTTTAAATGCAAACACGCCCTTCTGTCCCACATTCAAATAAAAAACAACAACCTTCACGTCGAGAATCGCATATGTCAAGACTTCCGCCGAGGAATACAATAGCGTTGTGCTATTCCCAACCCGATAGTCTGTCACAATGATCTTGCTTTGGCGGCCGTCTAGTTCGATATCTGAGATTAAAATTGCCCCTACAACCAGTCAGTCTGTAGTTAAATTTCGTCGGATGCGTCTCTTACCAGTGGAGGTATTGGCATTCAAACTGAATTTAGTTACCTCCCGAGATGAGCTGGTGTCATGTGCAACAACATAGAATCCAGCATTCGTATCTGGGTTCCGTAGAGCCCAGGTGTAGATGCTCTCGTCGCTGGTGTAGCTGGTACCGTTACCTTCCATGTCTGTCTTGACGAGATCGGTCGATACCCGTGTGAAAAGACCTATCAGCTTGGTCTGCTTCAGCTTGTCTCTAATTTCTCGGGTCTCACGAAGCGGTGCACTATAGTCATACGATGTATAGACCACTGGCGCTGCACTGTGGCCCCAGTTAGTACCCCCGAAGACCATATAAAGGTTCTGCAGCGTGATCCGCGACCCGATATTGTTCTTGTAATAGACATCTGCGAACTCGGGCGACAATTCCGCTGCGCAGCTGTCGTAGAATGAGCCACCCCAAGGCTGGAACCAGCCTCCTTCAAACTCCGGCACGTACTCGGGTTGCGTAAAGGAGTAATTCTGAAACCACTGGTAGTACGTCCGGACCAGGTTGAATCCAGAATTAGGGTTTGTACAAGACATTCCGCCCGGATACGAATCAAGCCCATAAACATTGACGGCGCCGCCGACATTGTGATAATCCGTGGACCAGCTAACAGCACGCATGCCCTTTTCATTGTGGCTGCTGGGAACCACGACACCGGCATCATCAAACGCATCCGCGATCTGCTCCATGTACTTGACCAGCGTGTTGTCAGAGTCATATACCGTCTCCTGGAGCTCATTCTCGTGCTGATTCAAAATGACAGGACCCCCGTTGGTGATCTGGTTGTCGGCAATGATCTTTCCTACCTTCAAGATCCACGGATGCCACTCTTCGTAGTAGGCCTCGTCGCTCGTCCGTTCGCTGCCCATCTGCCCATTTGCGGCCCAAAGAGCAAACCCTCCAGCCGAGGTCTCCGCGTTGCAGTAAGGGCCTGCTCGGGCGATCACGTAGAGACCCGCTTCTTTGGCATAGTCAAACAAACGCTGTATATCATGCGCACCGGTTTCAAAGTCGAATTCGTCTTCGGAGGCGCTGTGGAAGCTCCAAAAGAAGTAAACTAGACACACAATGTCAGATGTCAGGCAAAATAAATACTATCATGACAGAAAACGTACCCGAGATCGCATTGAAGCCATTCGCACGTAGCTTCTGAAAGACATCCAACCATAACTCAGGCACAGGGAGTCTTTGATAGTGGAACTCGCCAGAGAAAACAAACAGTCTCTCCCCTTTGACGGAAAGACTGTATTTATCCCAAGTCACGTCGGTCGTCTTGCCATTGTCAGTCCCTGACACTGACGCCAGGATCTCCAGCAGGGTCAAACAGAGGAAGCCGAGAATCCGCATGTTTGTCTCCTCGTTCCACCAAAATCCTGTAACTCTGGCCGCATTTCGATCGACATTCTCATGGCGCTATTTCAATAAAAAGCTCCTTGTTTGGACGATACTGCTTCCCCTCGGTTCTCGCGGGAGAAATACCCCAGTGATGCCTAGGGATTGGTGGATGATTTCTCTTGAGAATGGCTGCGTTGATTCTTCGTCTGCCAAGACTGGTAATATATTTTTGGGCGCACGATTGGATGGTGGATGGTTGTTGATTCTCAGACTCCGATGTGGGGGAGGGGGAAACGAAATGGCCCCGGTAGTTTCGCATGGCCTAGTCATTCATATTTGCACAATAAAGCATCATTACAATCCACAGTGTTCATGGACACATGGTAAATTAAGGTACCCTGGGATGCATATATCAAGCAATAGATTCTAGATAGTACGATGTTTCTAGATCTACATTATGACAGCCATGTTCATTGACTACCACACTAAAAGAAAGACTAAAAGTAAAGAATCAATGTACTAATTAAGTTGCTAGGCCATACATACTCGAGAAATTAAAGGATTGACATCGAAAACGTAAAGAAAAGCCAAAGCTTTTCAGATCGTACGATCAGCGTGAAAAAAAGATGGACGACACCAGCGAAACCCATGATTACCAAGTTCACATATGTACTGAAGAAAATAACGCCTGGATCCGAGAAGAAACAGCAGCCAGGGCATCTCAATCAACCAAATTCCAGACTTGGAAACCAGTCAGTCCTAAGCGCCAGAGAAACCAGAGACCCTTCGCGGAAGAAAGACGGGGAGCAAAGAAGAAAAGTTATGAAACAACAGAAACAAGAAAGAAAAATTCATAAAAAATTCAGACATGACATAAAAAGCAATAAGATTCATCAGAGATCCTCGGAAAACCTAGATCCCCGAGCTGTGCTATTGCTAGTTCGTTTTGCCATATCAGGAGGCACAGGCAGGCCTTGTTCGGTGGCACTCTCACGCAGGTCTTCCCTCTCGGCTGCTGTTGAACGCTGCACATCAGGGGGGCCGTGCTCTGCCCCTTCTACGGCCTTAGAACCGCGTCTAGAAGTGTTTTCCTGACCCGAAGTACCGTTCGTCTTGGGCTCTTGCGAGTTTTTGGAGACAATCTTCATGAAGCTAGACCTCAGACGAGAGCGTCTCTGCTCACCGTTTGTCCCCGACTTTTCCTTGGTGGCTTGCTGACCTACTTGGTCCTCGGTAGTTCTTGCTTGCTCAAGACCACCACCTTCACCAAAGGATGCTCTCTGCATCTCATTAAGATCAGTTCCTGTAATGGGATGAGAGCTGAGTGCCGCTCCTCGAGAATCATTCACGTTGGCCAAAGCTGCACCTCCCGCGAAGCTTGGTACTCTTCCGTTTTCTTCTTCCGTTTCACCTAGGGTCTCACGCGCGTTGGCACTAGATCGGCGGCCTAATCGACCTCGGAACCAGTTCCTCAGCTTTGACTCTGTTCGAGGAGATGTTGGAGGGGATGCGGCATTCAAATCGGCTGCCGCAGCACCAGAGGCGGCAACAGCATTATCCTCCTCAACAGCCTCTGGGAGGGTAGTTTCGGCAGAAGGTTGCTCAGGTTCGCCCACAACGTGGCCATCTGGTGCACCATCCTTTTCAACGGGAGCTTCCTTATCGCGACTTCGCTTTGACTTCCTTCGCCACAATCGTGACTTTTCTTCTTTCTCTTTCGCCTCTTGTTTTTCTGCCTCTATTTACGGCAGATAGGGTTAGAATCATTGTCCAAAGAGCCATCATCCAGAGTAGTAATACTAACCAATTTGTCGTTTTTCTTCAGCCCTCGTATCAGCCTCCCGTTGACGCTCAATGTCTTCACGTCTTTTTCTTTCATCCTCGTCCAGACGTGCCTCCAAGTCTTTAGCTCTCTGCTGGTCTGCACGGTCAGTAATTTCGTCAATGGTAGGCTGGACCCTAGAACGAGCCACGGCCTGCACATCAGCCATGTCCATGTACTGCTCTGCACCAATGTTGACCCTATCAGGGGCGGTGTATTGCGACTCGATCTCTTGTAATTCCCTTTGCGCATGTTCATACGCTGCATCTTCCCACTCCTTCTGCTTGGAGGGCGGAGCGCGGCCTGTCTCCGCGTAGACTCTCAACTCCATGTCGTGAATTGCGGCATCAACGTTTCTCCTTGCGGCTTCCATGAGAAGAAGTCGGTCTCTCTGCCTCTGTTCGTCTACCGCATTGACCTTTGTCCGCAAGCTCGACATTTGATTTCTGATTTCCACGGATCGTTCCACATCAAAGTTAGAAATATCTGTGTCGACCGATGTTCTCCTTTTGCGAACCAAGCTTGAACGTGCAGCAGCTTGAGGCCCAGTGCCATAGTAATTCTGATAAGCCGCGGTTTCATCATGCATAAGAGCTAGTTTCTCTGCTGCACGTTTCTGCGCGGCTTCCTGGAGACTCATTGCTCGCTGCAGGGCGCTTGGATCTGGTTTGGTGACGGATCTCTGGGAACGCGTGCGACTATGTCCTTTCTGGGCTGCAGAAACAGCAGCACCAGGCGTTTGCGCATCGCGGCTTTCTGCAATATTGTACATATCACGCGCCATAGAGACCGCTGCCGCACGCAGCACATTCTTCTTGTTCTGCTCCTCCGTCTCAACTGCAACAGGCGGAGATGCGGTGTACAGACGAGCGTTGGCATTCGCGATGTGGTGTATCCTGCTAGCTTCATTCGCACTGTCCAGGTGTTCGAGGGGCTCTTCCTCCGTGGCCGAAGTGATATTGGGCGCATCATACTGAGCAGTGGGCTTGCTTGGTGAGGAATCGGCTCTCTGTCTGTTGCTACGGAAAGCTCCTGTCGCTGCCAGGATCGCTTTGTCGTGTTCACTTGGTCTGCGACTTCCATCTGCAGCGGTCTGGTCCGTGGCAGAAGCATCCTGGTTTAAGGCTGCCGATGCTCGACGGTCTCTAATAGCAGACATGGCAGCTTTGTATCCTTCAGGACTCGACTCGCTCGTAAGGGAAATCTCCGGAGCACGGTAGTCTTGGACATGATAGGCGGCCTTCTCTGCGGCGGGGAGCTTCCCAGGTCTCCAGATTTCGAATGGCTTGCTTTTGGCGTGGGCGAGAACGGCCCCTGCGGACGCATGACTGAGGTGGGGTGTAGGTTTGGTATCTTCTATTGTCACAAGATGAATAGTCAGTATCCATGCGAGATTAAAAATCCAATAAGAAAGAAAATAGATTAGGTTTTCTTACTAAAGAGCTGTGTCTCTGCTGCCGCAGGCTCGCGAACAGATAATCTGCGATCAGGGCGTGTAACGTAGAGGGCTGCTGTAGCGGCTATGTTGGACAAGAATAAAATTAGAAAATAGTGCCCTCAATTGCAGCGATGTCAGTAAAATAATATCAAATTCTCACCTTGGTCAGCTAGCCGGGCAGATCGGGAACGCGTGATCGCGTTAACACGATCTCGAGGCTGTTCAATGGTCGCCATGATACGATAGTATACGGTCTGCAGAGTATCGCAGAAAGTAAGGGATGACAACGACAACAGGCATATCCTGGACGGAGCAAAGAGGGGAAGAAGAAGAAAAGGCGATCCAGTCGGGGAAGAAAAGGGATGGGAGCGAGGAGGAGGGGGGGGAAGAGGTGGATGGGGATGAACACTGGGATGGAAGTCCGGAAGCTTGGAGATCTGTGACGTCGTCGGTTGCAGAGGGGCGATCCACGGATGCTACGATCTGCCCTTAGGGTGAGACCTAGCAACATAAGGTTGAGGAGGTGAAGAGCTGCTCATTATAGTGGTATTATCGAGTCACTGATGTCATGATGTCGATGGGGATGATGATTCTTCTTGTTTGGTTTATGTTGCAGTTGGTTCCTGATGATCATCGTTGATCTACGCTGCTTCAGTTGGGTGGTGATTCTTCCACCATGCAGGATGGAGTCTCTCCTTTCCGTTTTCGACTGATCAGACAGGATATTTTCTTAAGCTTACAGGATTCTACTGTCCATCATGAGGTTGCTTCAAGCTCTCCGGGCGGGTCAGACCGGATGGTTCAAGAGTTCCTACGATCCCTTTCTGAACCCTGGTGAAGATTTGCAGATCTTGATTGCAGATCATCTATAGCTGAATTATTATCGACCAACTTGGCCATCATCAACATTCAATCATAAACGCGATTGCTCTCATTTATATATAAATTTCCTTATCACCAGAGATGCAGTATTTTCAAAATGTCCCAACGGTTGAAGAAAAAGCGATTCCATTTCCCCCAAACATCTAAATTTAAACAATCAGGTCAGCAGCTGATAAAATATTCAACATAAAAATAGATACTCACACATAGGAATGCTCAAGAGACAAAGGCCCATTTGGATGCTGGCTATTGCCATAAATGCAGGCTTGATCCCGTTCGACACAAGCCAGTCATATGCGTAAAACGTCAAAACAAAGCTGAACATATTTTTAAATATGAGCAGGCATGTGAACGCTTCGATGGCAATTTGACCTGCGGAAATTAGCGGTGTGATCGCCCCAATTTTTAAGTAGTCAATAACTTACGGTGTGCATCCACAATATATAGCGAGCTGGAAACTGCGCCCATGACCATCCCGATAATCACAAACGCAATGAAAACGTCTACCACAAGCCATCCATATCTCGCAACATCGTTGGCCACAATACCAAACCCGTACAATCCAGCTCCACTGAATATCAATTGGAAGGCGACGAGAAGGATGCGGAACTCGGGCTCGTACTTTCCTTTGTTGAGCTTGATCATCACCTTGTTGATCGAATCGGACAGTAGACCTGAAAAGATCAAGCCCAAAATGGAGCCGATAAAGGCGCCAGTGTAAAGGTATCCAGTTTGAACTTCATTGAACCATAGGGGTGGCCCCAAGAAGATGGCAGCCAGGACAACTCCAATAAAGACAGTCCAGCCGATGAGAACACCTTGGATCAAGCAAGCCTGTAACAGTCAGACAAAGCGAAGGAAGTATACAGTGGTGTGAATCTTACCCAGAGAATTCCAGGGTGGAAGAACAAAGGAAATGGCCTCAGAAAAAGCTTTAAGAAGTTCTCATCAGACTTGCGCCCGTTGAAGAGCCTTAGTGTCTTCAGGTACGAGTCCTTCCTGGAAGATTCCTGGGGATTATCAGTTCTTCCCCTATTATGAATAAACGAAGACTGCTTCTGTTCTTCAAAGACTGGGTGTTCTTCGGAAGTTTCCCTAAGTGGCCACTGCGAATCAACCACACTCTCACTTTGACGTGTGGAGTCACTTTCGAAATCAGTGTTCAAGTATTCTGGACGTCTGAATGCCGTCTCGGGGATAAGAAAGAACGTCAACGGCAGAGCTGCCGCTGTGAAAATGGCCACGAGGTAGAAAGTCCACTCCCAACTTAGACTGTGCGTTATCTTGCCAGCCAAAACCGGCGTCAAAAAGGCAGCTCCAAACAGAGCGACGTTCGAAAGCGCCATTCTCTTTCCACGTTCCTGGTCCCTAGTTAACATCGATCTAATCTATATGAGGCGCGAACAAGAACCATACGTGGACGAAGAATAGGTCACCGACACATGCATTCACCAGAGCTTCAAAGGGAGCCAATGCGACACCCTGAAAGATGCGAGCCCATAAAAGGCTGGAATAGTTCGAGCCACTCCCCCCTGCCCAAGCACAGCTAACCACCATCAAGATATTCCCCAGGACAAACAGATGACGTTTGCCCCATACCCGTGCTGTTGGGACGATCAAGATCCCCGCAACCCCCACACCGCAGAGGTGGTATCCAGTGAGAAGAGCGACAGAGGTGAAGTCTTTCCCGTAGTAGAGGGCAATTGTCACGGTGTTGGCAGCCATAAGGGAGCTAGTCGTTGAGCAGAGCACTGCAACGAAGGAGAGGGCAGCTAGGATGACATCGCGCCTCCATAATGGCCAATTCTGTGTCGAATGACTCTATCAGAACAGAGTCCCCAATTGCAGTGGTTCGTAAAATTTCTGAGGGCATACCAATGGATCATTGGGGTCGTCACTTGGCTGAGGAACGAGGACGGTGGGAGCTGAGCCTGAAAGATCATGCTTGAGGCTTGAGGCGGCACTATCTGAGTGGTTCTCTTCTAAAATATAGGAGGAACCTAGACGATAATAAGCATATACCTTGCATCTATTACAAAAAAACTCACCAGGAACATGTGGGACATTGGGAACCTCCAACACACCAAGTCCCATATTGAAAATTGGAAAAAATAGAGATAGCCCACTAGGTAAATATGGAATATATCGAGGATAATAAGAAAGATGACAATTAAAAAACAATCAACGGGTAGTCGATGGCGGGATTAGAGTCTGGACCGCCTGACGCAGGGTGAAGGCATCAAGTATAACCACTGGATGGTTTATTAGATAGACCACCAGACACTTTCAAACTGATTGGACCTGTAGTTTCAGTTGGAATATCCATTTTTGAGGCACTCAAAACACACCCAGGGAAGAGTGCCTCTGAGTGCGGAGAAAAAGATGTCATCTCCATCTTGTGATTGAGGATCGTCCCGCGGTTGTACAAACTGGGTTTCTCTGGATACACAAGATTAATTACAGTTACTCTTACAGTGCATCTTCAGATTCAAGGAGATTACTTGATGATAAACAGCGAGGGTCTGTTATTGTGTTGCCTGCATAAGCTGTATTTCATCTGTTACACTGTCAATGAATAGCATCATGGTTGTGTACAGTACCTCGTCCAACTAGAATCAGAAGGTTTCTCTGCTGGGCAATTTATTTCCTATATGCATAGAAGCTAGGTGACTTTATTATTATTCCATATTGATCTGTCAAAAAAAACCTTCCAGTTATTTGTCAATGGGATTAGGGACATCAAGAGAACCTCTGCCCTCTCCTCCTTTGAATAGACGAATCGATGAAGCAAAGTAGATACAGAGACAGTGAAGAGCAAAGATTATAAAAAACGAGAAGAGATAAATCTTCATCTTCAATCCTCCTTTTCTCAATGACAGGAAAATAAAATACAATGACCAAGCCAAAGTGGCTGACCACAAGGTTTGATGGCTGGGGGATCTGCAGTGAATTGGCGGGGAGGGCCAGGCTGGTGAAGCTGTGAAACACCAGCCCAAGTGGCCAACATTCGACACGAAAATGGTTCGACTGGGCTTGAAAACTTGAAAAAAGATTCTTTTCATGTATTAAGAAATTGTTTAATTCTCAGATATCGATCCGTATGGTGATTCAATAATGACGGTCCTTGATACGAGTAATACGATGATGGATCATCGTGACCTCGGCTCTCAGCATCGATACCAAGAACAGCATCTAAGATTCAGGCAATGATAGTCTCCAATACGCCAATCAGCTTTATAAATCGCACAGTCGACCTTGATGGTGGAGTACAGTATTCATGTGTTTGAAACTCCGAGTGGCCTGGATATTCAACCCACGGTAATCACCATGTTGTGATGGCGTCGGAATACATGACCGCGAGGCAAGGCGTGGAAACAAGCTCCCTCGCAGTGTCACCCTGAGTGGGGGAAGCTCTTGATTCTTTTTCTTCTTCCTCTTCTTCATATTTTATCGAGATCGGACATATTTTTCTTCTTCTTTCCTTCATTCTTTGTTCAAATACATTCTCTGCCGCCTGACCTATTAGTACACCTCACCATCTATTATCAGAAGACATTCACCATGAAGCTCCAATATACTTCTTTCGCCCTCACTGCCTGTTTGAGCACTGCTGCTGCAATGGGTCTGTCTGACCTTCCCGCTTGTGCTGTATGTATTTTAAATCGCGATTCCATGATCACTAACGCCTAGGTTGAATGCGTCGAACTAAACCAATATACAGAAAGACTGCGCGACTGGCTCGATCCCCTCGCATTGCAATTCCATTGACGCCAAGTGTATTTGCTCCGATAAATCATTCATCTCGAGTATCTCCTGCTGTGTTGCCAGTAAATGTTCAAAGACAGAGCAGGCCGGTATGCATTGCCCACAATTTCTCTCAAACAATTATCACTTGATAATATTTCGCACTAGGTGTAATTAAATTCGCGGACCAAATCTGCAGCGGCGTTGGCGTTGGTGACCTCCCCACTTCTGCTAGCTGTGCAAGTGGAAGTACAGCGACAGCCACCTCAAAGACAGAATCGACCGCTACTGGAACATCGATGTCGACAACTGGTGTTGGTGCTGGCGCTGCTTCATCGACAATCACGTCGGCTGCCAGTACTGCCACTAGTACCGGTGGCGCAGCGCTGGTAGCTCAGAATAAGGATGCCACTCTCTATGCGGCCATGGGAGTCGCTGCAATGGCGTTCCTGGCATAGGAATGGAAATTTTGTTTCACCATTCGAAGGCGATGTTATGGTAAGAATAATGAAGGAATGTCAGGTAGAGAGGTAGCTCCTTTTTTCGTTAGTAGAAAGTGGGGTTTTGATCATTGAGATAATAATTGCGCGTGATGGAAAGAGTCATAGTATAGTAATAAAACCAACGAACCTTTGGCCTTCTATATCTGACTGGTGTATGGCCTGCTGTAAGTTTTATCTCAGTGTCACATGGCCATTCGTTGACCCTATACTTGCCTCTAAAAGTAGCGAAACGACAAAAATCTATTCAATTTTGGATGCCTCTATTAGTATACATTTTGTCCGCATGTACTCCGGCCTGAAATATGCAAGTCGAGAGAGAGATCTACTGATCACGCTCTGCCAGGCGATTAGCTGCCTCTTGGCGTTCGTCGCGAAGGGTCAGGTAAATCTATCCGTGTCAGCAACCCAAATTCCAAAGGGCAAGAGAATAACACACCCAAAGCCAGAACATCATTTCCATAAACCCATATGTAAAAACCACCCGGTTCTTCAAATGATCCAATGCTGAAATAGCCTCGTCCCCACCAAATGACGATGTGCCAATACCCCAAACACCCGGTTTACTCTGGTAGATGAAAAACGACACGGCAAAGAAAAGACAGAAGCGCGACGCGGAGAGCAGCGTCCAAATCTCCGAGTAGAGACTCGCGAGACGCGCCATGAACGGGTTCAAGCGCATGGCACCCGCCACAGGGATAGAGGATGCACGTCTAGATACTTCGGCTATGGCGAGAATCTCGTTGAGTTGGGGTACCTTGGTCACGATGATGAGGTCGACGAGGGCGTCCGCGATAAGGAGGATGCCGCACATTGCAAAGGGAGATTGAGGGCGGGCAAAGGGAGGGGATGCATCCTTTTCGCTGTCAGTATGAAAGATTATAGATGGATATGCATCATGCATCATGAACGTACTATCTGCAGAACCTCGCCCACCATAAAAACCACATCCGAATCGGTGATGACCTCGGGGGATTTGGTCAGGTACACGGCCATCACAAACAAAAACAAGGCATGGGCCTTGATGAGGGTTTTGGATGAGAACAGCCCCATTGTTGCCAATTATATTCAATACCACGGGCCGTATATAGTGGTTGTAATGCTCAAAAAGAATTGAGCATGAAAGATGGAAGAGATGGTGTTGATCGCCTTGCTGTTGGCTCTCCTGGGGTCTCGACCTTTTTTTGGATCATCGCGTGGCGGTGACAAAGCCGCGGCTGCTAGTAAGGAAATAGGGACAAAGGATATTGACAATAATGATAAAATTTTCAATAAGAATTACAAGGATAATATTTTGTATTACATAGTTTATTTCAATTTAGACATACAGAATACTGATCCAATGATTGCAATAAGAGCAGTCCGCAACTGACGACCTCAAATTGCTATGCTTTCCCTCTCGCCTTGATCTAGCAGCTAGCAGCTTTTTCTGTCTTTGAACTCCTTTCTTGCTCTTGCTCTTTTAACTTCCTTTATTAGGTAAATAAGTGCCTTCTTGAATTTTGCGTGGCCCTTTTGAAGTTTTATTCATGGTAAAATCGCTTTGTTGTCTCTGCCATTTCGAATCAATGCCTCGACATATATTCTGGCTGGGTATATCCTTCTAGCGCTTTGACGATATCAACCCCCCCCCCCCTTCAAATTCCCCACGCAGTCATCAAAAGAACTTCGGCAATTGTTGACTACAAAGATGTAAGATGAATCACATTATCTTACTGAGTTAGACTTGGCAATCACTTCTTGCTCTTCCAATCCTGCGCGTCTTTATTCCTTATTCTAGGCCATTGCTTTATCTGGTGTCTACCAGTTTCTGCCCTCGATGCTGAGTAATGCACTCTGCAATAATGGTGATACAGAATTCGAGACCACTGGACCAATAATCCCCTTGTTCGGGTTCTCCAAATAGCATCGCCTTTATAGTTTAACATAGCGGACTCATCTGATCGGCGCAATAGAGAAAGTACTACGTCTTGAATGAGAAAAGAGATATAGAAACTGAAGTGAATTCACTAAACAGAGATTCAAGATATGAGCAACGTCCAACCATCTGAAGCCATAACCTGCATTGGCCGAGCCTTCACGGAGTGTACCTATATACATCAGAGTTGGTACGATCAGCAGCTGATAGTGTCAGGGTTGCAAAATTTGCCACATCAACGCCCGGGTGGTCTAGTGGTATGATTCTCGCTTTGTAAGTTCGCACAGGCAGCCAAAATCAAAGTACTTCAACTAACAGCAACTCAAGGGGTTCACCATCCGATATGCGAGAGGCCCCGGGTTCAAATCCCGGCTCGGGCCCATTTCTTTTCTTTCTTTTTCTTTTCGTCTCATATCAGTATGGTGATTTTGCAAGGGAAAAATTAATAGATAAAAAACAAATAAAAAAACCCACTCAAATATACACACACACAACTACTTATTTTTTAAATCATAAAATAAAGACGGAACTGAACCACCCTAAATTATATTTCTACAAATAATGGGTGGCTGTGGGCAGAGTCTTGATCAAGAGGGTGGCAGAAATAACTTATAAGGCGGTAAACAGTGAGATATGGAGGTACAGTGCATGCCAATTTATAAGGAGTTTTCCTTTTCCCTTTGAGGCCTGATATCTCTTTGTTGAAAGAATATCTGTCACTCAAGCCTGGGTGGTCTAGTGGTATGATTCTCGCTTTGTAAGTTCAGCAATTTGCCGTATCGCAAATGTACACCACTAACATTCACTCAAGGGGTTCACCATCCGATATGCGAGAGGCCCCGGGTTCAAATCCCGGCTCGGGCCCAAATTTTTTTTTTGTGTTGGTTTACATAGTTTCTAATTTCGCATTGTGCAGTCTATGTATAAATAACCTAAACAAACAAATATTTATGCCACCAGGCTGTATAAGATAGCATTGGAGTCTCTCATCTCGGTTATTTTGATACTCAAGACCGCTTACAGGCGTCATAGTAGGGAACTAGGCTGACGGCGACCATGTGGGGTTAGAGCCGTTGTTAACTCCGATAAGAACCCGCCCGCAAAATAATGAAGATGGGATCGATCATAAGGTGATGAAACTCCCCCACGACCAGACGACAGATGATTCCATGAACGCTGATTATTAGCATCCTTGTGGTTTATTTTTTTCTTTCCTGTCATATTTGATATCTCCTTCCGCAACTGGACGACGCTTCAAACCTCCGACTCTCGATCCGACATGATGGCCGACGAAGCCATTTTCCACAAAGAACGTCACGTCAAATACTACCTGCGATGTCTCAAAACATTCTTGCCAAGCCTTTATACCTCCAATGACTCCAACCGTATGCTTCTCGCCTTTTTCACGGTCGCTGGGCTGGACCTCCTAGGCGTGTTGCAGGAAAAGACCTCCCCCGCAGAAAGAAAATCGTACATCGAATGGGTCTACCACTGCCAGGTGCCATCGGGTGGATTTCGCGGGTTTACAGGGACAGATTTTGGCTCGGAGAGACGCACGCCCGAGAACGAAAGCTGGGATCCGGCCAATGTCCCTGCGACGTTCTTTGCAATCGTGGTGCTCATCCTACTGGGGGATGACCTCTCGAGGGTGAAACGGACAGAGTGTTTACAGTGGCTACCAAAGCTGCAACGTAAAGATGGAAGCTTTGGAGAGGTCCTCGGCCCAGGTGGAGAAATCGAAGGAGGACGTGATTTAAGATATTGCTGCTGCGCAGCTGGTACCCGGTATATGCTGAGAGGGAAGAATGGCCAGGGGGTTGAAGAGGTGAAAGATATAAATGTGGGCAAGTTGGTGGAATTTATTGAAGCTTGTCAGGTAAGCATGGTTTGCTATGGTCTTGCCTCATCGCATTGACTGACGCGATATCAAGACCTACGACGGTGGAATGTCAGAGGCGCCCTTTTGCGAGTCTCACGGTATGTACTTTTTGCGTTTCATATATATAGCGATATATTCTCACACACTATAGCCGGTCTGACGTATTGTGCCGTTGGTGCTCTATCCTTCCTCGGTCGACTCTCAAATGACACACAATCGGCTAGGCTTCTCTCACCAGGCACGGAAGAATTCGAATCCCTGGTCAGATGGCTCGTTTCGAGACAAACATCCGTACTTGGTGAGGAGGAGGAATCTGATTCGGAAGAAAACGATAGCTCCGAGATACAGGAGCTACAGCAAGGCGTACAAAAACTCGGCTTCGATGGGAAGATTGCCACCTTGGCTGATATAAAGCCACCTACAGAAGAATCTTTATACTGGGCAGGCTTTAATGGGCGGTGTAACAAGATCGCTGATACATGCTACTCATTTTGGGACACAGCAACGTTGGCGGTAAGAGTCATTGGCTGCCACTAAATCTACAAACTAATTTGAGATATAGATGATGGATCGACTGTCTCTGGTGGATGCAGCTCGCAACCGACGATACCTTCTCGAAAAGACACAACATCTCGTCGGTGGTTTTGGGAAAGGCGTAGGAGAGCCACCAGGTAAGCTGGATCCTCTTGTGTAGGCCGATGATTTCCTAATCAAATATGTAGATCTTCTACACTCGTACTTTGGCATGGTGTCTCTTGCGTTCCAGGGTGAACTGGGCCTTGACCGTGTAGACCCAGCCCTGTGTACCAGTCAACGGGCAGCTCAACATCTCCAATCGCTTCCTTGGTGGCAGGGAAAATAACACGACGCTATGGCCAGTTTGACATTTTGACCGAAGACCGATATACCGTAGAATTCAGTCACGATAATTATAGAACGAAGATGCGCTTATTTTATTGACTGCGATAAAAGCCAAAGCTGGAGGGTTCATGTTGTTATTTTGATAGATCATGTCGAATATCCCAAAGGAATAGGTTCATGATGCTATCAATACCCCGAAGATTCAGTGACGTGATATAAAAGTGGCTCTTTTGTTCTAAAATAGACTCAGGGGCTGCCAATGCTTTTATCCACCAGAAATAACAAAGTAACGAAGGAGAAATGTGACAACCGAATTGAATCAAATAATATATTAGAATCATATTAGAATCAATGAAAAGATAGGAAGAAAGAAGGAAAGAAGAAGGAGAAAAAAGAAAAAAAAAAACGATTTCTTCAAACCTGTATGGAGTAGAATTTCCAATAATTCAGGTGTCGGGCTGTTTGATACATATTTCCCCCCTTGTACACAGTTGAAACAGCCCACGTTCGCATTATTTTCTAAGCTTCATGCTTAAATCAGCCATCATAAATAACTTCATGTCTTGAATAAATCATGAGTGCATATCATTCCCCCCCCCCCCCCCCCCCCCCCCTGCCGTTGGTGATGATAATCGTCACCATTAATTATTAGTGTTAGTGTTATATTATTGCATTGCATGATATCCACCGTCCACCATCGCCCGTCGTCTTTTCTCTCTTCCAACCCCTCGAGTCTGTGTCTGCATCATCTCTTGGTATGCGACTTCTGCTTCACCAACCATCTTTTTTCTCATTGACACAAGCGGATTCACTAGCCATCCCCTAAACCTCGCTAATCATCTAGACTCCAGATTGTCATCCCCCCCCAGTTACGTAGCCAAGTTTCCAAGGTTGCCGTCCCGTCCGTTTCTTCTTTGACCGAAGAAAAGACCCAGTTATTCCGCGACCTCGGGGAAAGCTGTCGTCTGTCGTCGCGGTTTTTTATTCCTTCACCTTCGATTATTATTCCTGTTCGCTTGTCTCTTATCTTCCATCGATCGCTCTCGTCTCCTTATGCGAACCTCGACTCTGTCGCTTATCGTTCCAACCGCGTCCACTCCTTGATTCTCAGTCTTGCTGGTCTCCGTCCGACCTCCGTGGTCTCGCAGTCATCGTCATCGTCCTATCGTCATTTTCATTCACTTTGTTGAATGGCAACCGCAGGCGACCAACGGCTCCTCAAAAACTCGTTATACCAACTCATCACGCGCGCATTATAACTCTGGCCCGCGGGACTGATCGAAACGGCCGGAGATCATCGTAACACATGCCGCCTGTCAGGACAAAAGCGGAGGTTCAAGCCCAAAAACAAAAGGAAAAGGTCCGTTCTTCCTCTCCTTGATACATCACAAACCGGGATCTATCAGAAAATACATATACCCCACCCCCGTCGGTCATGCTCTTTCTTCTCTCTTTCTTTCTTTTTCCTACGTCATGCCTGGAATATCTGACCTAGCGACTTTCTTTCTTTCTTTTTTTTCTTTCTTTTCTTTTTTTTTTTTTTTAAAAATTATCAGATGGGATTTTTTGGCTGACCTAAGATTATGCTGTTATAGCTCGCCAGCTCCTACAATGAGCTACTGCAGTAAGAAAACACCTACCTTGCTCAACCTTATACCGACGCTGATGTTTTTTCTACTCCCAGAGAGTTTTCGTCCAAGGATCTCCGAAGCGTAGGAAACTATACCTTGGGAAGACTAATTGGGAAGGGTTCCTTTGGGAAGGTCTACCTCGCCTCTCACAAGCTCACCAATGGATCCAAGGTGCGAACACACATTTTAGACCCTTGAACGGTGCGAACAAACATCTAATCCGCTTCCCCATAGGTCGTGCTCAAGTCGTCCAGTAAGGACGACCCCAACCTCGCCCGTGAAATCCACCACCATCGCCAGTTCCTCCATCCCCACATCGCTCGGCTCTACGAGGTTATTGTAACAGAAAAGTTGGTGTGGCTTGCACTAGAATACTGCCCTGGTACGATAAATTGATCAATATCGCGATTATATGATGCTGACCGATGGGTCAAGGTGACGAACTTTATAACTATCTCCTCCGCCACGGCCCGCTGCCCGTTGAAAAGGTCAAGAGAATTTTTACGCAGCTGGTCGGCGCTGTCGCATATGTTCACAGCAAGTCGTGTGTTCATCGGGACCTCAAGTTGGAGAATATCCTGCTCGACAAGAATGAAAACGTCAAACTCTGCGATTTTGGTTTTACTCGAGAGTATGAGGGCAAGGCGAGCTACCTACAGACATTTTGCGGGACCATCTGCTATAGTGCCCCGGAAATGCTCAAAGCTGAAAAGTATGCTGGGGAAAAGGTTGATGTTTGGAGTCTAGGCATTATTCTCTATGCACTCCTGGCGGGGGAGCTACCATTTGACGAGGATGATGATCAAGTTACCAAGGCCAGGATTCTCTCGGAAGAGCCCGTGTACAACGACAAATTCCCGGAGGATGCCAAGGGACTCATCAATCTACTTCTATCGAAAAGACCGCTTATCCGACCCAGTCTACAGGAGATCATGGCCCATTCGTTCCTTGCGGAGCACGCTCCAGAACAGCTTGCGATCTTAAAAATCCCTCGGCCATCGGCCTTCACCACGCCGTTAGAGAAGACCACCTTGCAACGGATGAAAAGCGCAGGAGTCAACATCGATGAAGTGATTGAAAGTGTCCTCGCCCAACGATGTGATCCGCTCGCCGGCTGGTGGGCGCTGTTGATTGAAAAGGAGCAGCGAAAAGAGCAAAAAAGGGAGCGCAAGCGGAGAGAACGGGAAGCAGAAGCGAAGAACCTGCGTCGGCTGAGTGCGGCCAGTAGCCGCCTGGAAAAAATATCGGCTGCTTTAGTGGAGGTTGATGAAGAGGGCCATGCTTCGGGCACACCGGTGCAGGATCGCGGAAGGAGGGACAGGCGAAGTTTGCCTTGTGAGTTGGAATTTCATGCCCTATGCCCCGAAAGGTTGTCTAATGAGTGTTTCTTTGATTTAGCCCAGCTTGTAGTACCTGAACTACCCATTCTGCCCGAACCAGTTCCCACGCAGCCCATCGAGGTCAGCACTCCACCACCTCCGCCAGTCGATAAGGATTCCATCCGATCTGCCAGCTCTACTAGGCGTCGTCCCTTGCCACCACCAAAGGATGGTAAGAGGCGGCGTCAGAGCACGCTGCACGTCAGCGCTTCCCAGCCAGAGTTAATGCAGCGCGATGGGATATTCAGACGTCGCACTGGCCGTCGCCACCAATACCCGATTATCAGTCAACTAGCATCGCTGAAGCACTGGTTCGTCGAGTCTGCGAAAAGGGCCAAATCTCCCCACGGCAAAGCTTCTGGTGGATCAGGGACACATCGAAAGTTTCTTCCGGACAAGCTAAGTCCTGCAAAGGGACAGGAGGCTGGAAAAAAGCCAATGGCACCTTCTTCGCCCACTGCTGACCCCAGCAACTTGGCAACACCAACGCAGATTAAACGTGCATCTAATGCCAGCAGCCTTGCTCCCAGCAGCGCTTCCTATCCCAACCACCGCCATTCGTTCCCTCGCCAGCCACGGCCCCTGAGTACAAGCCATGCGGGCCACCGCAATTCGCTATCACCGTCACCCATTACGCCACGGGGCTCCTACCGACGCTCTTCAGCCGGGTTGCGAGGTCGCAAGTCAACTTCCTCTTCTGTTTCTTCTATCCGGAGCATTCACCACACTCACACCCATTCGAAAGCTTCCTCCATCTCATCAAATAGCATTGGATCTGTGTCGACCCCAACCGCTCGCACTTCGAAGTCCCCACACTCGTCACTTAAGGTCTTACCGACCACTCCCGGTGCATCAGCCCGCTTCCCTAGTAATATTCGCCTTGTACGAGGGCCGAACAATGGATACAAGGAACCAAATGACAACAATGGGAAGATCCAGACAATGTTCAATGAGGCAGCCCCGGCACCGTTGCTCTACTCACCCTCGTCGAGCTTGGTTTTTGCTCGACGCAAGCGATCAGCGTTCAAGGGTCCTATGATCCATACGGCCAATCTCATGGTGTCTGGCGGAATGGCTGCACCAGAATTCCCAAACGGTGGAGTTAGCACGGGTGAGCCCAGCGCGGCTGCGGGGCGGCAACCACGGAAGAGCCAGATCATCGAGGAAGAAGAAGATATGGAGGACGAGGATATTGAGGAAGTGGACACTTTTGGAGGCCCAGAGGATCAAGACATCGGGGATCCAGGCTCGCCGGTTGAAATAGTCAAATCTGAAGATACTTCAAAGATTGACATTACTTCTGGACTGGCCCCTGCTCCTGACCTCGACACGAGCCCGCTTCGCCCTCCCCGTTCTTCATCCCTGCGAGTTTCGAAAGATGAGGCTGCAGCAGAATCTGCTCAGCAGGATACTCCTGACAAAAACAGCACTGCTCATGCCTCCCCCAACTCGGTAGCTTCTGCCAAATGACTTGGGGTTGCAATGGCCCAACGCTGAAGGACTCCAGAAACAACATTGTGTTATGATGCCAATGCAGAATCTGGTTAGATGATATTCCGATTCATTGCTTGTCTATTTTTATTGTATATCTTTTTTTTTTTAATCCTTATACCCCTTCTTGCGGCTACATGGCGCTTGTTTTCATTTGGATTTTATTTAGGATGCATTTCTGGATTGGGCAAAAGATGTGATGGTTTTGATGTTTCGACCTTCCTACTCGCCTTTTTCCGGCAACACTCACTTATGTCTTTTTTTTTTTTTCTTTTTGTGTCCAAATTCCCGCTTATACGCATATCCCTCCCTTTTTCGACCTTTCATTCTGTATATCTTGTTATACCATCTTTCTTTATAATGTTGCTTCAACTGATCATTCTATTGTTGGCCTGCGTGTCGTCACACGCCGCCAATTTTTCCTTTCATCTGTGTTATCCATGTTAGAAAAGTGTTTGACAGGGCTGGTTCCTGGACCCAGACACTAAGGAATGATATCCAGCGATCAACAAAGCATGTCTCCCTCTGTTTGATATTGATAATTGGTGATTTGGTTCTTTTCCTTGCATTGCATTGCATGCGTGTCATATACATAGAGTAAGCGCAGTTTGTTCTTGGATTAGTTACCAAACCATTTTATATATATAGAATCAATAAACTGCTTGATGTATTTTACGTGGACCCATTTAAATATCATGATGTCGTAACTTTTCCCACATCAAACAGCTTCTGCTTCATTCTTCTGTACACGAACCCCTTCGGATTTTTCCATATCATGAGAGACACTGCCGGATCCGGATTTGGGGCTTCCATCATTCAGAAGACCAATGCTACTTGATGTAACTGTGTCGATTGTTTCTTTATACGAGGGGACGACGTTGACAGCGAGACCGTACGTCCAAGCGACGACCAAGAACTGTTGTTATCAGTTAACGGATATTCCTCAGACTGGACAAGAAGAGAAGAGAAGAGAGGGAGAAGGGAGAAGAGAGAAGGTGTATACATACCATAGTAGGAACGACCATAGCAAATCCGGTATTATTTCGGCTATCAGCCACGGCACCAAGGATAGGAGGTACGACAGCACCACCACAGACAGCACCAATGATGAGTCCTGCACCAGTTTTGTAGTGACGTCCTAAACCGCGGATACCGAGTGCCAGGATGGTGGGGAAACAGATGGATTCGAAGAACATAGCGATGAACAACATTGCTATACCGGTGCTGCCTCGTTGGGTGATGGATGCAGCCAGAAAAGCAACCATCAATGAAATGTAGCCAAAGAAGACAAAGCGTGGTTTGATAAATCTCATCAAGAAGGCGCCGATGAACCGGGCAACGGCAATGCCGCCTTCAGCGCCGGACAGGAGCTTGGAGGCCGTGGCGCTGGAGGTCCCAGGCGAGGCATCGGTGCAGTAGTTGATGAAGTAGCTTGCGATGGCGACTGGATATTGTCAGTGGAATTGTCCTATAACTATATGTGACATGAGGGTGTGTACCTTGACAACCGGTATAACCGAACTGAGCCACGGTGGCATGGAACAGATTGTAATGTTTCCGGAACGGTACTTCCTGTTCACCAATTTGCGTCTCCGCAACCTGGAGGGCCATGTCCTCGTCTGTGACCTCGGGGATGTTGGATAAGAAAAACACGCCGGCAAGAGCAAAGGCGAAGACTCCAATAGCGAGGTAGACCCATTGTACGCGCTCAAGAGCTTGCACACCATCTCCAGTCGAACTGAAGAACACAAATGAGGCCAATGCCGGTGCGACGCAGCTTCCGATACCGTTGAACGCTTGGGCAAGGTTGATTCGGATTTCCGAGTACCGTGGGGGACCGCAGACTGCACACGTGTCAGCGAAAGCTGATATTGGGGACAAGATTCCAATAGCCAATCGCTCTCACCAGAAATGTATGGATTCGCTGCTGTCTCTAGACTTCCCAGTCCCGAACCGATGACAAAGGTGCACGCGCAAAAGCCACCAAAGCTTCTGTTCAGACCCGCGGGCCACATGCAGAGAGCTCCAATGCCATAGAGCGTCAATCCGAAAATGAAGACGGCTTTGTATCCAAAGTGGCGGAGAATCCAATTGGCATAGCCTAACGAGGCGAGAGGGTATGCTCTAGTTCCGTCAGGTGTGTTCACGCATGCATTTGCTGCACAATGCAAGGGACATACCCGAAATACGCAGCTTGAAGGCCCGATGACCGAGTTCGAGTGATGTGGAGAGTATTTTGGAAATGTTTATTCAAAGTATCCAGCAAACCGTAGGAAAATCCCTACATGTACGGAAATTGTTAGTTAGCATGTTATCGTCAATCGGAAGAGGGCCATCCTTGGTGTCTCAGCACATACCCACAGAAAGAAAAGAGTCGTAACGAGGATGAGGGGCCAAAGACTCTGGCGTAAAGTGAGAGTCGCTGCCGATGTAGTTTTTGTATTATCCACCCGCAGCCCTCCACGGCTTTTCAGAAAATTTAAAAATCCCATGCTAGCGGGAAGAGGTGTGAAAAAAGACAGACAGCTATCAATCGGAAGATGAGATGCTTTTCTTTTCAGAAACCCCCCACCTCGCATGAGCTAAAAGCCGAAGAAGGATGGCGAAAAGTTAGGAACTCCCCATTGCTGGAGATTTGTTCCACATCGCGGTATCACAAACATGATCTTGACCCAATGCCTGCAGATTATTCCCACGTTTATGACAGGAACCAGTTTTCCTTGCTCATTGTAGTAACATGATTCGTAGATTCAAACGAACAGACGGACAGAAACCACCCGGCCCACGGAAAAGATCGTCGGAAAGAGGTACACTAGAAACGTACACTCATTTCAGCCCCGCGGTTAGCCCGAATAGCTGAATTTTGCCCACTCAGCAACGAGAGGAACAAATATGCGCAGTACGCCAGAGCAAATCCTTGTATTGAGAATGGAACCTTTTGAGCGGGCGGGATAATTGTTGCTTGGCATCTCTGGGGTTTTTGCTCATTGTACCGCATGGATTATGGATACTACCCAGCAGTGGGGTAAGAGACAATCCACTCCATAGCTAGCCGGGTTGACTTATCCTGTATCGATAAAGAGGACATGGTTAGCATGTTCTGTTGCTCACCGAGCGTCTCATTGAGTATGCGTGTCATTGCATGGGGGTATCTCAATACTCAATAGGCATTCTGATTCACTGACTATCTAGGCACTCAAGGCTCACCGGAGAGTCCAATAATGAAACAAAGTATCATCATGCGAGACCACTTATTTTCCATATCGCTGGAGTCTTCGGTTTCAGTACACCTCAAAGCCCACTGGATTGAACAAGAATAAAACAAAACCAAAACCTTTACGTTGGTTGAATACCATGGCGAGGATAATTAATGGTGTCGAAAGGAAGAAGTTTCCTTCCCCGTGACACTGCGGCTCTAGGTTAAGAACAGAGTGGGAAACAGTCTAATCACGAGAAAAGCTACCCATTGATTTTGGAATAGTAAATTCATACAGTATAGGACATATAATATGCTGTCTAGCTCCCAACACACTATGAAAAAAGAAATGCATACATAATTCAAAGGGTCGATGTTTGTCTATTTATGAAACATGCCCGTTGAAAGTCTAGTCGTCACTGCATCATCCTATCTCTATGCCTTCTTGGGCTTCGAGGCAGCGGTTTCAGCGGGAAGGGTGTAGAGACGACGCTCCATGACCTTTAGAACCTCATCGATCAATCTATTATCAAGTTAGCAAAGTCCGGTTATTTAGTTGGCGTCAAGCGGGAAGCTTACATGACAGGGGCGCTGATTGCCAGGACAGCCTTCCACTCTACCCAGTCCAAGGGAAGAATAGAGAACAATCCTTGCAAGAAAGGAATGTACAGGATGGCAAAATGGAGAGACATGGAAAGGATGATGGCGTAAACGAGCATCATGTTGTTCCAGAGAGCAAAAGTAACCAGGGATTCGCTGGACGAAAGGGCGTTCATGGCGTTCAGCATCTCAATGACCACGAGGATGGAGAGAGACACCGTGGATGCCGATCTCGACATGTCGTTCGAGAACATCTCGCAACCAATTTCGGGAAACTGGGCAGAGCACTTGTGGAAGTGAGACTAAAGGAGGTATTAGTGAATATTCAATATTGAAAACTTAGGTAACTCGATTTACTTACCAGTTGCCAGAAGGAGATCTGGGGTCCCTCAGGGTTGTAGAGGAACCACCAAACATAACCAAAGACGGTGGCAGCACCGACGTATGTGCCAATAACCATGTATCTGAACAAGAGCCAGCCGCCAACCAAAGGCTCATCACGCTTTCTAGGAGCACGTCTCATCACATCGTGATCGGGAGGGTTGAACGACAAGGCGGTTGCGGGCAAGCCGTCAGTCACAAGGTTAACCCAAAGGAGTTGCACAGGGACCAAAGCCTCGGGCATGCCCAGTGCGGCGGTCAGGAAAATCGAGACCACCTCACCAATGTTTGACGAGATCAGGTATCGGATAAACTGCTGGGTGTTGCTGTAGATCGATCTTCCCTCTTCGACGGCAACGGTGATGGTCGCGAAGTTGTCATCAGCTAGAACCATGTCGGCGGCCAGCTTGGCCACATCGGTACCAGTACCCATTGCGACACCAATGTCAGACTTCTTCAAGGCGGGTGCATCGTTGACACCATCACCAGTCATAGCAACCACGTGGTTAAGGGACTGAAGGAGATCTACCAACTTCGACTTGTGGCTAGGCTCAGTACGGGAGAACAGCCTCGCCGTCTTGACGGCCTCGAGCTTCTCACTCTCGGACAGACCGTCGAATTCGCGACCCGTGAAACTCTTTCCCTTGAGGTCCTCATCCTCACCAAAGACACCAATTTGACGGCAGATAGACTCGGCGGTGTTGCGGTTGTCACCGGTAATGACGATTACGCGAATACCAGCGGCACGGCATTTCTGAATAGAATCAGCAACCTCGAGACGGGGAGGGTCAAGCATTCCGACAAGACCGGTGAGAGTCATGTTCTGTTCGAGCTGAGCGTATTCTTCGGTAGATTGGGCATTGTGCAGAAGAGGGTTAGCAGCCACATCGTTAACACTGGCCAAAGCCATGACGCGAAGACCACGATTTCCGTATTCAACAAGCTCTTTAGACAACAAATCCAAGTAGTCCTTGGTGAGAGGCACGCGAGATCCATCGGTACCCAGGAGTACATGTGAGCAGCGCTCGAGGATAGATTCGGGAGCGCCCTTGACCAGAAGCTTCTGCTCCTTTGCTTCGCCGACGAGGACAGACATGCTCTTGCGGTCACGCGAGAATTCATAAGTAGCCTTCAATGGTAGACGAGCTTCGTAGTGCGCACTCGAAGCGTGAAGCTTCTTGGAGGCGGGAAGACTGAGCAACTTCTGGTTGGTAGCGGCATCATCGGTTCCAATCTTTTCAACCAAAACTCGCAGCGCACCTTCGGTTGGTTCGCCAATGTTAGAGAATGCACCGGTCTTCGAATCGTGAGACAGCTTAGCACCGTTGCAGAGAGCCATGATCTCGGTCATTTGGCGAACGGTCGACGATGTGGCAGCGAGGTTTTCGACAACCCTGCCATTCTGGGAGAGCTTTCCTTCAGGTGCAAAGGTCGTACCGGCGACGTCAATATCCTCAAGAACCTTGCCAGACTTGCCTAGGTAAACAATCTTCTCCACACTCATCTGGTTGGTGGTCAGGGTTCCGGTCTTGTCAGAACAGATGACACTGCAGCTACCAAGGGTTTCAACCGAAGGCAGAGACCTAACCACGGCGTTCTTGTTGGCCATTTTTCGAGTACCGAGAGCAAGACAAGTAGTAATTACCACAGCCAAACCTTCGGGAATGGCAGCCACACCTAGGGAGACAGCAATCTTGAGATAATAGATCGCACCCTTGGTCCAGCCACCAAACGACGGGTCGTTGAAGTGTTCAATGTTGATAACCCAGACGAGAATACAGATAACCGTGATAACCTTGGCTAGCATGTCACCGAAATCGTTAAGCTTCTGCTTCAATGGAGTAGGTTCCGAGATCTGGGAGGTGATGCTCTCGTGAATGTCACCAATGGCAGTCGACCCGCCAGTCAGGACAACGAGAGCAGTAGCATGGCCATTGACAACGGTTGTTCCCGAGAAAAGCATGTTGACCTGATCCTGCTTGACAGCCTTCTCGTCCTGGACAGGACGAGTGTCTTTGGCAACACTCTCACTCTCACCAGTCAGGATGGCTTGGTCAACACGGAAGCTGTTGCTGTGAATCGTAAGCACTCGGCAGTCGGCAGGAACACGATCTCCCACAGCGACGTGGATGACATCTCCAGGAACCAGATCCTCGGCTTTGATGCGCTGGGCAGTACCATCGCGAACCACCTTGGCCTCATTGGCCGAGTATTCTTGAAGAGCAGCAATCGCCTTTTCCGCACTGCTCTCCTGGGTCACACCAACGACAGCATTGAGGATGAGAATCGTCAGGATGACAACAGGATCCACGAATGCGGTCCAATCATCACCCTCTTCAAACAGAGCCAGGACAAAGGATACAGCAGCTGATCCTAAGAGGATAAGGACCAATTGGTCTTGGAATTGTTCCAACACGAGTTTCCATAGCGGGGTGGGAGGGTCTTCGGCGAGAGCTATAGGAAGAGAGGTTTTGTCAGCATGTTTTTCTACACCGTCATAACAATAGAGATCGATCTATTTTTGGCCCCATTGGACTCGGAGGAACAGACCATTTGGACCATATTTTTGCTTAGACTTGGAGACCTGGGTCTGCGATAGACCCGAAGACTCCTTGACAGCAAAATGCTCCAGCGCCTGGGCTGGAGAGTAGAGATAAGAATTGTCCATCGTCAAACACCAACGCGGCAAACAACAATTGTTTTGTAAGCCGGGAAGGTGAAGGAGGAAAGAGGAGAAAAAGAGAGAGAGAGAGAGAAAGAGACAGATAACGTGTTCCTTGCTTTTACCCTGAGCGATAATACATGAACGCCAAGTGGCCGGACGGGAAGCTGGTTGCTAAGTCGCCCCGGGAGGATGAGATACCCGAGCGAGTAGTCAAGCAGAGGGATGAAAGAAGAAGAGAAGGGAAAAGGAAGAAAAGAAAAAGAAGGATATAACTGGCGGCTACTAAAAAAGAGGAGAAACACAGAGGAAATCGGATCGAATCCACAATGAGCGTGGCTTTGAGAGGATTGAAGAAAGAGAGCGCGCGACAGAGAGCGAGACACAGAGAGGATGATGCAGCCAGTCCGATCCACCAGGAACTGTGCCTCAACGTGTTCTCTTTCGGTGTCTGGATACGCTACGGTATGGACCCCCGGTTCATTTGCTTTCCAAAAAGCGCAAAACAACCAGACGACACCCACAGGGCTGCAGGGCTGAGTTTGAAAGCCGGGAATAGGATCGTTTGTCGGCGGTTGTCGTGGAGGGAGCCCATTCCACTTTCTGGGGCTGTGTAGATTTGTGTAACACGCTGATCTCTTTTGATGTCATGTGGTATTTTGGACATGATGATAAAAATATTCTATTAATTTTACATAGCTTTTGATAAAAAAAAAAGGAATAATAATACAGAGTACTATTTTCTTCTCCAGACTCGTAAAATTTACCGCATTTCCCCTCCTCCGAAGAATAGAATGATGATGCCTTGTCCGAGACGAGACCCTCTTATGGAGTCATACTAGAGTAGCCCTACAGCCGAACCACGCAATATCATTCGTCTTCTGGCCGTGATGGGGAGAAGTGCGAGGCTGGGATGCGCGCAGGGAAATGAAAAGATCTTCACTATTTGTTTCCAACCATTTCTTCGTTTGAATCATTATTGTTGTGATTTCCTCCGGAGGGCATTGGATAGGTCAGATGACGAGTCGGAATATCAGAGTCGGTGAGAGGCTGAGGGGTTTTATTGATTATTATTATTCACCTTCTGAGATTCACTCGGTCAGCCAGAAATACTGCGCCGTCGATAATCCACCAGAAGTTGAGTCCAGGTTTATATATCAAAAAGAGGCCGTTTGATGACGGCGTTTTATGTGCAACTCATCTCGGGGTTGCATGCACGTGCCAGTTGTCTAGCTATTCTTATTCTTGATCTGAACCTGACTGGACTGGACGGATGAATCTGGGTGGATCTGGCCTGTGAGTGAGTTTAGGATAGGGTACTCTGTAAACTATTATTGAACAAGTCAATTGTAGCTCGAAAGCGAATTAAATGAATCTGTATACTGCTCCGGTGGAAGAAATGGCTGCCTCAGGCACAAACCAAACATCTCAAACATCTCGCTAAGCCCGCCTGGCCGTCACTTCACCGGTTCATCACTTGTTGCTGGGAAGATCGCATCTGCCAAACCTCCTGGTGATTATTCCATCTCCATCTCCATTATCTGCTAGTCTTCTATCCCCTTCGCATCTCTCTGTTCATCTTCTTTCCTCACCAACTCTCCCCCTCCATTTCTCCCTCGTCCTTGTACAACACCCTTTCCCATCATGACTTCTGAGGTAATGTTCTAGCCCAACCCCTCCTCCCTCCCCCCGTTGTTGTTGTGTCTGTCCTGTCATCTGTTGTCGCAACGTCAACAGTTGTCTGGATGCATGCATCTCCTTCTGTTTCATTCCCATTTCCTCTTCCGTCTTCCCTTCCAAATCAACATGGCCTTGTACTAACCGTCTCTCTCATCACTTGCAGCGTGAGAGGTAAGGATCCAGGCTGCCTTTTGGTCCACTGCAAGATGACAGTTCCACTAATACCTCCCCTCCAGCAAGACGTTCCTCGCGAGGCTCTGCGAGCAGGCCGAGCGCTACGATGGTAAGACCCTTTCTTGAGTTCTTGGATGATGGCTTTGGAAGTCGGACATGCTGATCCCTTGCGTCTTACAGAGATGGTCGGGTACATGAAGGTTAGTTTCTCCTCATTGTTATGATTGGAGATGATCAACGCTGACAAGTCGAACAGGAAGTCGCCAACGTATGCCTCTTATCTCCCTCTCCTCTATCCTCGTTACCGCATAACTGACCATTTGCATCAGATTGGAGGCGAACTTACCGTCGACGAGCGTAACTTGCTCTCTGTTGCCTACAAGAACGTGGTCGGTACCCGTCGTGCCTCCTGGCGCATCATCTCCTCCATTGAGCAGAAGGAGGAATCCAAGGGCTCTGAGCAGCACGTTTCGATCATCCGTGACTACCGCCAGAAGATCGAGACCGAGTTGGAGAAGGTTTGCCAGGATGTCCTCGACGTTCTGGACGAGTCTCTCATCCCCAAGGCCGAGACTGGCGAATCCAAGGTCTTCTACTACAAGATGTATGCTTAATTGGACTCTCCCCTCACCTAAACTTTGACACGAGACTGATCATTCTTCGATCAACAGGAAGGGTGACTACCACCGTTACCTCGCTGAATTCGCCTCTGGAAACAAGCGCAAGGTCGCTGCCACTGCCGCCCACGATGCTTACAAGGTACGTTTATCATTACGTTAACCATCTTTCTTCCGATCATCCCTATTCTCCTCCCAGCATCAGGGGCTAACTTCCATCGCAGAATGCTACCGAAGTTGCCCAGACCGAACTCACCCCCACCCACCCCATCCGTCTCGGTCTCGCCCTTAACTTCTCCGTCTTCTACTACGAGATCCTGAACTCGCCCGACCGTGCCTGCCACCTCGCCAAGCAGGCTTTCGATGATGCGATCGCTGAGCTCGACTCGCTCTCCGAGGAAAGCTACCGCGACAGCACCTTGATCATGCAGCTCCTGCGTGACAACCTGACCTTGTGGACTTCTTCCGACGGCAATGACGCCGACAGCGCCAAGGAGGATAAGCCCGAAGAGGAGGCCGCACCCGCCCAGGAGGACAAGGGTGAGGAACCCAAGCCCGCTGCCGCCCCTGAGTCTTGAAGATGAGGCGGCCCTCGGGACCTTTGTTGTAGCAAAAGCCGTGCTGTGTCCTCAGCGTGTCTATTTGTAGACGTTCGAATTCTTCCTGGGAAGTGATTATGGATGTCTGATCTAGCTGCGTGACTGTTTGGGACCGGCACATGTCTTCCACTTGTTCGGGATCGTGTGGGTCGGGCCGGCGGAGTTTGATATTTGGAGAGCGAAGGAAAAGGGGTTGAGCGGAATTTATCTCTCTTTTATTCTCTCTATTATCGCCCCAGCAAGATACAATGTGTTATTTCACCCCTTTTTCATTTTACTTTTTTGCCTCGTTTATCTTTTCTCCAAACATCTGAAATCGAAAGTAGTTGGTTCTGTTCCAGGTTTCCCAGCAACAAACCCTGAGAACGAGGAAAGAACGAGGGATGGAGCGATGGAATCATCCATTTGTTTCCGGGTATTTGTTTTTACTGTTCATCTCGATATCCATGTTGCAACCTCTATCCCCTGGTGATTACATACTGTATGCCATTGATTATTCCCCCATATTTAGTCAGAGCCAATACAAGTAGCCTTTGGTACAGTTGTTTTCTCGCGATGTATGCCAAATGAGTTACTTATATATCGAATTCATCTGTATATCTTTCAAGACCTGGGGTTATTGTGGGGATTAGGGATGAAGTGTATATGGCCAACTAGTATTCGTTAAAGTATATGGATTTATAGAATGTAGGTAATATAACGGAGGGTGGAATACAAAGTATGGTTACAAATCATAAAATTGAAAAAAACGGTGTAGATGATCTATTGGGACGAAAAGATGATATCAAGAGGACAGTAGGATAAAATGAGAAAAGAAGTTGTTGGACTGTCCATTCCAATTAGCATAAACATAGAAAACATAGGTTGTTATACTCCGCAGAGGAAAATGGGAAGAAAAGTAGTAAAAAAAAGAGAAACCCCCTTGCCCATAGACCGCATACGTGGGTGGGATCTTTGTTTTTATATCAATCAATCACATGAAGTCATCATCATCCAAACCATCATCGTAAGTGTTGGAATCGATCTGGTTGTCCCTAGAAGCGACCAGCGAAACCTTGGTCTTGGCAGCTTTGGTCTTCTTGCTACCCTTGTCGGCCGCACGCTCCTCCCTCATCTTCTCGTTGCTCATGGTCGTCAAAGCACTGGAGATCTTCTTCACCTCGGTACTGGGCAATTCCTTGACGAGCTGCTTGACAAACTCCTGCGCCCACAGGGCGTATTGGGGCTTCTTCGACTGCGCCGTCAGCAGCGGAGCGATAGTAGAGGTGAGCTTGGCGAACTGGTCCTTGGTGGTGGGCTTGAACAGCGGCATGGCGGACAGGTCGACGGCGTTCGTGGGGTCAGCCGAGTCTCCGACGACAACGGCCTTGGGGGCAGCGCTGCGGTTGGCCATGCGGTTGATGTCGATGTCGCCAATGAGGTCGGCAGCGTGCATAAGATCCGAGTCCTTCTCCGTGCGGCGCAGACGGGCCCTTCGCTCCGCCTCATCCTCCTCGCTGTCGGATTCGGCCTCAGCTGCCTGTCGTCGTCGTTGCTCCCGGTGTTCCTCTACCCGCTGTGCCTTGCTCTTCTTGTTTGCAGCGGCTTCAGCGTCGGCCTTAGCCTTGGCTTCGGCGGCTTTGGCTGCCTTTTCGCGTTCGACCTCGGAGTCTTCGGCGGCATCCCAGGAGTCGAGGACCTAATCAGTGTATCTCGTTAACTTTTAATTCTTCTTCTTGTCCCAAGACCAATGGAGAGATATTCATGTTGTGATAGTGCTGATGGTGGTGGTGGGTTCTCACATCTTCTTCCTCCTCGTCCTCAAACTTGTTACGTCGGTGGACAATAGGAGGAGGGGAGGAACTCTCCTCTTCCTCATCTGTAGATACCAAGATAAATGAATTAGCATTTAAACTCCATTTTAGGTAAATATGTATCCAACGAGAGCGCGTGTCGCATCCGAAACGGATCGCCCGCACGGAAATTCTAATGTCACAAGGTATACACAATACATACCCCACTTTGAAGGAGGCATCGTCAAAAAAAAAAAAAAGTTTGAAATTTCAGGTATTCAGGTGTCTCCAAAGACGGAGGATTCAATAGAAGAGTGTCTGACAATGGGGATAACCCAACAGATCAGCCGTCGTGATAAGGAGAGGGGGAGCGATGTCGGGGAAATTTTTATGTGGGCAAAAGATGCCTACTATCGCAGCGCTTCCAGTGTCACGCAACGAGCGTCGTTTGGTGGGGCAGAGGGGTATATCACGTGACATGGCTGCCGTCAATGCCCGATGAGGCCAAACTGTCTATTTTACATGCATTTGTTGTGATGCCTGCTTAATTCGTTCCCTACGATAAAAGGGACACGTGCTTTTCATTATGTGGTAAATATTTTGTTTAATTTGCCTATTAATTCATCATCATAACTCTTTATAATATCTGCAGATGCCTCCCAGGATATAAATGGGGGCTCTTTGCAGCTTGTTTCGTGCCCAAGACCTCATTTATAACCATGTGGCCTGGAACGTGCCAGGTAGAATCTAATTCAAACCGTCTGTTTCCTTTCGAAGACGTCCATGGTGGATTCTAAGACCTGCTTGTATCATATGCTTCGTAGCTGCATTTACAAGTTAACAGAGGTGCGGAACTTGTTGCCGGCGTAGACAGCGTTGGAGCCGAGCTCCTCCTCGATACGGAGGATCTGGTTCAGCTTGGCCAGACGCTCAGAACGGGCAGGGGCACCGGTCTTGATCTGTCCAGAGCGGAGACCGACAGCAATGTCGGCAATGGTGACATCCTCGGTCTCACCGGAGCGGTGGGAGACCATGACACCCCAGTTGTCGGCGTAGGAGTCCTTAGCGGCTTGGATGGACTCGGTCAGGGTACCAATCTGGTTAACCTTGAGCAGAAGGGCGTTGCAAGACTTGAGCTCAATGGCCTTCTTGATACGGAGAGGGTTGGTGACGGTCAAGTCGTCACTGTAGGTTCTAGGTTAGCCATTTGATTCACCGAAAAAAAAAAAAAAAAAAAAAAGCTGCATTTTATCACTCACCCAACAATCTGGAAGTCGGAAGTCTTGTAGAAGTAGCTCCAGGCCTCCCAGTCGTCCTCAGCGAAGGGATCCTCAATGCTGACGATGGGGTACTTGCTGGCAAGGGCCTTGTAGAGGTCGGCCAACTGCTCGTAGGTGAGCCACTTGGTGGGGTCGCTCTCGGGGTTCTTGAAGTCCAAGTCGTACTTCTTCTCGTCGGCCTTGTAGAACTCGCTGGAGGCAACGTCCATGGCAATGTTAATCTTGCCGGTGTAGCCAGCCTGCTCGATGGCCTCGGTGATCAGGTCGAGGGCCTCCTCGGCGGTCTGAATGTCGGGAGCAACACCACCCTCATCACCAACGTTGCCGGCAGACTGGCCGTACTTCTTCTTAGCCAAAGCCTTGAGCTTGTGGTAGACCTCGGCACCCTGGCGGAGGGCCTCGGAGAAAGAGGGAGCAGAGCTGATTTCATGTTAGCAAGTTTATTCAGCCTTTCTCGTTTACTCCACAAACTTACTCAGGAACGATCATGAATTCCTGGAAAGCCAGACGGCCACCAGCGTGGGAGCCACCGTTCAGGACGTTCTGGAAGGGCACGGGGAGAACGTAGGGCTTCTTGGTACCGGCGAGGTCGGAGATGTGAGCGTAGAGAGGGATACCCTTCTCAGCAGCACCAGCCTTGGCAACAGCCAAGCTGACACCCAAGATGGCGTTGGCACCGAGGTTCTTCTTGTTGGCGGTTCCATCGAGCTTGTTGAGGAACTCGTCAACCTTGGACTGGTCCTTGACATCGACGTTCTCCTTGATGAGAGCGGGTCCAATGGTCTCGTTGACGTTCTTGACGGCCTTCAGGACACCTGTTAAACATCTCATGTTAGTTTGCCTGCACAATAATCTCCAAGGTTAAGCAAAGAGTAGTGTCTTACCCTTTCCGAGCCACTGGGTCTTGTCACCGTCACGGAGCTCGTGAGCCTCGTGCTGGCCTAGATATTAAAATCAGCACTATGATTCAACGTGATTTATACCGGGGTCACAAACCAGTGGAAGCTCCCGAGGGAACAATGGCACGGTGAAGGCCGGTCTCGGTGACAACGTCAACCTCGACGGTAGGGTTACCGCGAGAGTCGTAGACGGAACGGGCGTGGACCTTGGAGATAGGCATTTTGACAGAACTGATGGGTATTGATCAGTGGATTGCAGAGCAGAAAGATCAGGAGATGAGACGGGACAAGAGAGCTAATAATATAGGAGAAGAGAAAAAAAAAATATGGATGATATGGTTGGGTTGTTGACTAACAACAGCGGGGGACCTTCACCGACGACCCAAAAAGAATGAGCGGAGGGAGAGGTCAAGAGGGACGAGGGGGAGAGGCAGTGCGTGATATCCAATCAATTGACGGTGCACCGGTACATCAGACTGTGCTTGATGAAACAGTGGGGAGGAGGAGATGAATTTGATGGTGAGCGGCTGATATACTGGAGTAGCACACCGGAGGCCTTGATGGATGATGATAATCTCCCTTCTCTCAGTGGTGAAGACGGAGGGGTGAAGCACAGTGGGATGGTGGGGTAGTGATGATCTCAGAGGAGCTCCAAAGAACCAAACAAACTGACCTGGTGATGCGTACTTGATGGAGGGGATGATGATGATGTTACAACAAGGGAAGGAGAAGAAGAAAAAACAATAAAGACACGTCTGGGGCTGGAATCGGCCCTACTTGTACCAGAGTATGAGATTCCCCCGCGGTAAAGCTCACTGTCGGGACTCCGAATCTTTCCAACGTGATGGTGGGGCAGCGATATTGTCCTCCTTCTCTCGCTGGCCGAGGACTGTCCATGGGAGTTGGGACCGTCTGAGGTGACGCTCTCCAGCGAGATCTCCCGCGTTTCTCGGCGGATGGCGGGTGAATACTTTGGCCATGGGGTTGGGGTTGTGATGTCTGACTTCATTTCTGTACTGCTACATATGGCATTCCTGCCTCTATCCAAGTTGGTCTCATTTCTACCTCTGTCAGGAGGCTGGATTGAGGGTTTGTAGCCCAGGCATTGCAAATCAAATATCATAAATCGCATATTAAAGATGATAGAAAATTATATGCAATTGCTGCATCCGAAATTTCATGAAACTTCATGTGTATGATGCTCGAAATCAAGGCACTCCAGAGCCAATGTCTGGAAACTTCCATCATTTGCGGGATAAAATACGTAATACTGGGATAGATGCCTTTATGCCTCAGGTGTCATATATGCCCCTTTTGTAAGGCAAACACAAACCAGACACGTGATACTGGGTACTGTCTATCTGCATCAGGTGACTACGTAGCCGGCGGCCTGGTGGCTCCCGTAAGCTCCTCGACAGCTCTCTTAGCTGGTGATTCAACCCCCAGATACCCCATTTCACTTATCCCTCGCCGGGAAATTTCACATTTCCAAACGCACCGAGCTGACTTAACATTCGCCTGTCATTCTTGGTTCCATATTCTATCGATCACAGTCCCCATCCCCTCACCCGCCATCCGTCATGAACAGCGCCAGCGATCCTGAGAGAGAGCAGGCGCTCGAAGACTACAAGAGGAGCTTGCTGGATCTACGAGAATGGGAGGCCAAGCTTAAGAACCTCCGACTGGGTATCAAGGACCTGCAAAGAGAGTTCGATGTCTCCGAGGAGAACATCAAGGCCCTGCAAAGTGTTGGTCAAATCATCGGAGAAGTGTTGAAGCAGCTGGACGAGGAGAGATGTATGTTTCGACTAGTTCCTGGCCATCCAGCTTTTTGGATGATTTTACATTGCTACTTTATCATCGGTTTATGAGAGCAGGATAGCTGATCCCGTCTAGTTATTGTCAAGGCATCATCCGGACCCCGATATGTCGTTGGCTGTCGTTCAAAGGTCGACAAGGCGAAGTTGAAGCAAGGAACCCGTGTCGCCCTGGATATGACAACACTTACCATCATGCGGATGCTGCCACGTGAAGTCGATCCGATGGTGTACAACATGTCTCTTGAGGACCCTGGTCAGATCAGTTTTGCAGGAATTGGTGGTTTGAATGACCAGATCAGAGAGCTACGAGAAGTTATCGAGTTGCCGTTGAAGAACCCCGAGCTTTTCCAACGAGTGGGTATCAAACCACCCAAGGGTGTTTTGCTCTATGGGCCTCCTGGAACTGGCAAAACATTGCTGGCACGAGCTGTTGCAAGTTCGATCGAGACCAATTTCTTGAAGGGTATGCCCATATTCGTGCTTAGATACTAGTACGTCTTTTGTTTACTGACTCATCTAGTTGTCTCGTCGGCAATCGTTGACAAGTATATCGGTGAATCGGCACGGTTAATACGAGAGATGTTTGGCTACGCGAAGGAGCATGAGCCTTGTATTATCTTTATGGATGAAATCGACGCCATCGGTGGTAGACGGTTTTCCGAGGGTACTTCTGCAGACAGAGAAATTCAGCGAACATTGATGGAGCTTCTCAACCAGTTGGATGGATTTGACTACCTTGGAAAGACAAAGATCATCATGGCTACCAACCGACCTGATACCCTTGACCCCGCTCTGTTGCGAGCCGGTCGTTTGGACCGCAAGATTGAGATTCCTCTGCCCAACGAGGTCGGTCGCCTGGAGATCCTAAAGATCCACTCCAGCACCGTTCAACTAGATGGCGACATTGATTTTGAGAGTGTGGTGAAAATGAGTGATGGTCTCAACGGAGCTGATCTTCGCAATGTTGTCACGGAAGCGTATGTCCCCCCTTCAATCTTATTTTGGGTTTCAAATTGCTAATGTTTCAATCTAGTGGTCTATTCACGATTAAGGACTATCGGGATGCGATCAGCCAGGATGACTTTAATAAAGCCGTCCGGAAGGTTGCAGAGGCGAAGAAGCTGGAAGGCAAACTGGAGTACCAGAAACTGTAATCGAGGCATACCAAGCGCTGCTGCATGTCCTCATTCTTCATGAATGACCGTCTCAGAATTAGCTATGTCGTCAAACTGTCATTGAGAAGCGTTAATGTCAGCCGGCATCTGTTGATGCTGTCCTTGTAGTCGGACTAGTCACAATAATTTTTATTAGACTTGCGTCTGCCAAGTTGTATTCACCGCCACAGCTATTTTCCTATGTCATGATAAGACGTGAATTGGGGCGGCGATCCACAGCAAGGATTAGACTAGCACCGGTATACCTAGATTTATGATATTCAAAGTGCGAGTCCTTACCGGTGATTTTAAAACTATATCATACTTCTAAACTGCATCGTACCGTAATGACTTGAGGCCGAGTGCATTCCAATTGCTGGTGCCAAGGCTTTTCCCCGATCGACAAGAAGCAATGTGGCCACACGTCTTCTCCTGTCTATCATTCATCTCAGCAGTTTTGCTGGTGAGCTAACCGCTGGTCATTGGTGCTGCTCTTCTCTTTTCTTTTTCTATATCTTTTATGCTCTATTTATGAGCAGTGAATACCATGAGTGAGTAGAACAAGTGATTGCCACTTGATGTTTACTTGGTTAGTTTACAGCTGCTTCAAGCATAATGCTCTGTTGGGGCCATTGGACTGTTATTTTCGTGGAGAAACCGCTGCTGACTGCATCTATGATACTATAAAACAGAGTTCTTATTGTTTTCCTAACTATTCCATCGATTCCTACTCATTCTCGTAAATAATAACGTCCGAGTACAATTCCCAATCTACGAAACGGATACACCCATCAGGGTTATTTCGGTGAAGCCTACCGGAGGCTGTCAACGGTCATTAATAGAGGAATAATATCTATCGGGACAAGGTGGTGGTGATAGCTATCCATGTCTTTCCAACAACCTCTCGAAAACAACTACTGGCGTGCGAATCGAGACACCGGCAGCGGCGCCCGCTTACCTGGATACGGACTTTCGAAGTCTCCTGGACTACCCAGCAAAGTGGACGGTTTCTTTCAAACGCAACCCACCCTTCCAATGTACAAAGATAAACCTTATTTTGCGCCGCGGCGCACGGGTCCGAGGAGTAGACGGCGGAAGCTCCTGTATTGGGGCGCTGCTCTGTTCACGTTCATTTGTTTGTGGTACTATGCGTCTGGATCCAGCAGTTGGGATGGGCTTAAAGTGAAGGTTTCAGACCACGCCAAGGGAGCGGAGCTGTGGAATTGGGTACAGAGTCTTGATGATTCGGCGTCAAAAGGCAAGCAGAAGTCTGTCGACTGGGAGGCACGAAGAGAAAAGGTCAGAGATGCATTTATTGTCAGTTGGGATAGCTACGAAAAGCATGGGTGGGGTAAGTGAATCCGTCTATCAAGCTAGTGTCGCAATGCTAAAACCAGTGTAGGATTTGATGAATATCACCCGATCTCCAAGAGTGGCAAGCATATGGTTGATGGTGGTATGGGGTGGATAATCGTTGATGCGCTTGATACGATGATGATGATGAACCTCACATCGCGAGTCCAGCACGCACGTAACTGGATCTACAATTCATTAAAATACGATCAAAACCAGGACGTGAACACGTTTGAGACAACCATTCGCATGTTGGGAGGCCTACTCTCGGCCCATTATCTGTCCACGACGCACCCGGAGCTGGCTCCGATCAGTGATGACGACAAGGGCTCACCGGGGGAAGACTTGTATATCGAAAAGGCGACTGATCTCGCAGACCGATTGATGGGGGCTTTTGATTCTAATTCTGGGGTCCCCTTTGCGAGTATAATCCTTAGCGATTCTAAAGGAGTCGTGTCGCATGCGGACGGTGGGGCATCATCAACAGCTGAGGCTACCTCAGTGCAGCTCGAGTTCAAGTACCTCGCCAAACTGACCGGTGAGGCTGAGTATTGGCAAGCTGTGGAGAAAGTGATTGAAGTTGTGGACAGACAGAAAATGGAAGATGGCCTGCTTCCGATCTATATCTACGCCGATTCGGGTGAGTTTAGAGGCAGGAACATTCGTCTGGGCAGTAGGGGCGATTCGTACTATGGTAAGTTTGCATACTGGTCATTGCTGGATTTCTGTGGCTTACAAATACAGAATATCTCATCAAGCAGTACCTGCAGACATCGAAGCAGGAGCCTATCTACAAAGAAATGTGGGACGAGGCGCTGATGGGTATTCGTAAACACTTGATTGCATACACGAAAAATTCCCGGTTGGCCGTCGCGGTAGAACGACCTAATGGTCTTCACGAGGGGATTTCACCGAAGATGGATCATCTGGTCTGCTTCCTGCCAGGTACGATTGCGCTTGGCGCCACTGGTGGAGAGCCCCTATCCGAAGCAAAGAAGTCGCCGGATTGGACTCAACGACATGACGAAGAGATACTGCTGGCCAAGGAGCTGATGAAGACGTGCTGGGCGACCTATCTTGCCACCAAGACCGGACTCGCACCCGAGATTACCTACTTCAAATTCGACGACCCCCCAGTCATGATGAGTGATATGTACCCAGACTCGACCATGAACACAGGAAACCGAAAGTCTCAGCAAGAGGATCTACCTCTTGCGTCAAAGCCACTTTATCCCCTGGATGATGAGGACCTGCGGTGGAGAAACGACCTCAATATCCGTACCCAAGATCAACACAATTTGCAACGACCAGAGACAGTGGAGTCTCTGTTCTACATGTACCGGATCACCGGCGATGAGACCTACCGCGAGTGGGGATGGGAGATGTTCAAGTCGTTTGTCAAGCACACGGCTGTGGTCGAACACGACAACCCAACCTTCTCATCGCCCTCGAGCAAAGAATCCGCATGGATTGTAGCATTCACCTCGCTGTCCAATGCCAATACCATCCCCCCGGTCAGGAGAGACAACATGGAGAGTTTTTGGATGGCCGAGACGCTGAAATACTTTTATCTGTTATTCTCGGATCGGGATTTCCTCCCTCTAGAAGGAAATGTACTCAACACTGAAGGCCATTTGTTCCCACGGTTTGAACCAGGGGGGGAACTCAAGACGGGCTGGACGCGGAAAATGGCCTCGTGATGATCAATGAATCAATCAATCACATTTGATGCTAGCATAGCGGGACTATACAGCGTCATGTCTGTGTGTTTATGTTTGTATCAACCAGGGTTTTGCGTATCCTGCTGTGTAGGAATAAAAAATTATTCTGTATTTATATTCATGTACATTCATTCCACATGAAGCGTAAATATGATAGATATGATCGCTGGCTGTAGCAACGCTAACAAGACAGTCAAAAGTCTTAGAGTATGTACTATAAACCCACTCACTGGATTCCAGGTTTACTGCTTCCGGTCCAGAGCGGCCTGGGTCAATGTCCGGTACCCTCGAACAGCTTCCTCCAATTGGTCGACATTGAGAGCTTCATTATCACCATGTGCAACATGGATGGTTCCCGGACCATACAGGTACCGCTTCACCTTGGTACCCTCCGGAGCATGAATTTCCAGGTTGGGAACATCAGTTCCGTAATTGGCAGTGGAAACGTTGAATCCCTCAATGTCCGTGTCCAAGTCCTGAGGGGCATACCCCTCGAGATGATTGCGGAACTCGGGGTAAACATGTTCATCTCCACCAGAAGCATCATGCACGGCCTGGCGAACAATGTCGCGCGCCTCCTCGGGGGTTCCCGCTGCAAGACGAACGGCGACATCCGCATAGGCCGCCTTGGGCACGACGTTGGTGGCGACCCCACCGTCCATCTTACCGATGTTGACGGTGGTCTGACCGTATTTGGAGCTAGCGGGGAACCCGCCCTCCTCTGCAGGGATGTCACCGAGGCGGTCGATGCGGGCCAGAACAGGGAGAATGGCGGAAATAGCACTCTCCCCCAGCCAGGGGTAACCCGAGTGAGCTGCTTTTCCAGTCGCCATGACCTCGAAACCCAGCATACCCTTGTGGCCGGCAATGAGGGCCAACTCGGTGGGTTCACCGAAGACGACGGTGTGGAAGGGCGAGCCGGAGGAAGGATTGAGCGGGGAGTTGGAGAAGAATTTCATGCCATCGCCGCCTGTTTCTTCGCCGACGACGAAGAGGAGCGAAACCGGGGAGGAGGGGTTCTCAGCGAGGATGTCGAGCGCGGCGAAGATCTGGGCGGCGACGCTGGCTTTGGCGTCTACGGATCCGCGGCCAGCGATGAGGGGGTTGCTGGCATTATTGTCGTTGGGGTGGAGCGCGTAAGGAATGAACGGGGGCACGGTGTCAATGTGACTGGTGAGGAGGACTTCAGGGTGAGGGTTGGTGGATGGGTAGGCGTAGATGTTGAAGCGGCTTTTGGCGGAGCTGCTGGCAGGGGAGACCTCTTGCTTGACGACGGTGAAGTTGCGGGCCTCGAGGAAATTGGCGACGAAGACACCAATGTCGTGCTCATTTCCCGAGATGGATTCAATCTCGACGATATCCCTGTGGAAGGAGAGGAAGGGAGAGTCGGAGATGATGCTGTCAGGGTTGTTGGATGAGGGGGAGCTCATGATGGATTGCGATGAACCTAGGGGCAATTGAGGAGGGGCAGCTGCGGCGAGGGCAGCGCCTAATAGAATATGGAGCAATTTCATCTTTTGTTGATTATCAGGTGGGAATTGTTGCATCAGTATGAAGTATGATAAATGTCGTCAGTTGAGGTCATGCCGACCGACTGTGCGGAGATACGATCACCTGACCGGACTTTATCTATACAGATCGAGACAGATCGAAGCTTTACTCGTTATGGTAGACACGTGACTGATTGGATATTCTTTCAGACTTTATCAATGTTATTAGTAGGTTGACTACTCCGTACAGGGGACAGTTTCTTGATTGACATCCATCGTCAACGCTATGGTTTGGATGTCTGCCAGGACAACCCCGCCATGCTAGGACATTGCGGTGACGCCCTTCAGGTGGGGGGGCATTGATAGGTTAGAAGCTTTATCAAGGATGGTAATTGATAGCTGTTGTTATTTTTGCTTCCGCTCAATATGGATCTGGGTGTCTTCGTGTTTTCCCTTTTGGACCTGCACAATCCTAACCCTGTATGTGCGCATGCTGGTCTCGTATATGTGCCTTCTTGTTTGAGGGTAAGGACTTGGTCAGCCATTTCTAAGCTGCTGGTATCAGGTATTTCAAGGTGACATATACCAATGAGATAATCACCAAGAGGTCTAAGCTTAGAAAGAAGGGGTTCTGTTGAGGTGAGGGGATTGTTGGGATATCCATTGATGCTCTGGAGGTTGTAAGAAAGCAGGGATATATTTGAGCATGGGCCTATCAAGGGACTCAGCATAAGCAGAGCGCAAGACTGGGACTTGCCTGCCTAGCAGCTGTACTAGGCAAGATCCCCTGTCGACCGATTCTCTTCATTTAATTTTCATTTTAAGAGCTCTGGATGAGATGGATTGAGAGATGGATTGAGGCATCATGTAAACAGTGAATTGAGTTTGCCAAAGTACTGTGATAGATAATGGAAATGACATCAGCGGCAGATCCTGAATTAATAATGAGAAATCACATCCGATGGATATACCGACAGTTGATGGTTTGGACGTCAAAGGCCAATGGAACCGTGGATGCAGATGCACATTCTTAGTCGGCACCATGGATGCTGTTTGTAGAAGGGATCTTCCATGGTTCTCTTACTGTGTATCCTATACATTATTATTATTATTATTATACATGAGAATACATATATACTAGGGTCAAATGAACCTGTCACTCCTGTCAGGTTCCAATGCATTTGTAAGAACCATAACAAACCATTTATTATGCGATTCACCCCCGCCGATTGGCTGATCTCAGCATTTCGTCATGGCGTGTCGTTTCCTGTTTTGCTGCTGTTTGACACTAAAAAGGCGGCGGTGGTCTAGACTCCGATTTCGCTGTCATACATACAATACATACCTTACAATACATTGGATAAATACATACAGACAGACAATACAAACAATACATGACTCACTCTGCCCTAAGATTCTCTCTATTAAATCCTAATCCTGTATAATATAATATATGAGGGGTACGGGGTAGAATATAATAAGATAAGCCAATATATGCTAAGACAATAGTATAACATAGTATTACATATAATATAGAAAATAGAATAAGAATAGAATAGAATAGAGTGGCAAGAACCGTCCATCCAACCCTGCGGAACCGACGGAAAACTTTTTCTAAGGCAAAAACCGTTGCCGATCCTCGCGTGTCAAACAATCCAAGATGGATAAATCCTTTTTTCTGTCCAAAGAATGAAGAATCTCCAAATAAGAAAATAACATGAAAGTAAAATAGTCAATATTATCAAATAGCCGATGCACGCAAATTCTGATGCATAGACAGCCCCATATTCAATCACATTCCACCTCGTCCTATTCTTCTTCTCCGGAATCCTCGTCACACTCTCTGACAGCCGGCATTTCATCTGCCTCCATCGTTCCTCTTTGCTGTCCAACCATCCGCCTCTCAGCAGTTTCATCTCTGCTTTTTTTTTTTTCTACCTCATTCACCGCGTTTCCCTCACGTCAGTCCTGTCAGAAGATCAGAAAGATTTTCTTCCTCTGATTGACTGCATCTGCTCTCCTGTCGGTAAGTCATGATCGTCTGTCGTGTCGCCTCAACCCTGCCAGCTGGTCCGCCATGCTATCCTGCGATTTGCCTTGCCTTACTTGCTTGGTCCACGTCTTCTGCCTGGTCCTTTGGGCTTCATTTTCTTTCCCCCCCTCCCTCACTTGTTCCTTGACTCGTTCTCATTCGACTAATCTCCGTTTCTTTTTTTTGCTGCCCTTTCTAGGATTATTCCCATCCCCAAAAGTCCTTTGCGCCTGCTCCGCCTGTCCGCGAACACCTTGACTTCTCTTCCTGCTATCAGCATCTCTCGTGCCTTTCACCGCCACGTTTCTTCCCTTCTCAATCTTACTCCCTCAAGTCTCACCCACCCCCCGGAAAAAACAAAATAATAAAAAAAAGGCGTTCGTCGTTCTCAAACACCTTTGGGCAATCACACTGGATGATGACTCTATCGCCTTCAAATTGATCCCCAATTTCCCTTTTCCGCCCCTCCTTCCCGCCAGGATTTCTTCACGGATTTGTTGTCTAGTCTGCACACGTGAAGTCAGAATCCATCATGTTAAAACTCTCCCAATTGCTCGACGCCAAACGGCGAGAGAGTTCAGAGACATATCCAGAGACATCTCCCCAGTCCCGCCAACCTCCTCAGTCGCCCTTGACTACCAACTCCTCCACCCCTGTGTCCCCTGCTGTCTCTCTATTCTCCGCCAAAGGCCATTCTCGTTTCTCTAGCTCCGTTTCCTCCTTGGTCTCCTCTCCAGGCCTTCGGACCTCCATGGAGTCCAAAAATCACTTGACGGATGTAAAGGAAGAACCTTGCGGCTTCGAAGCTAGGGATCTCGAGGACGAATACTTCCGTACGTTTTCTGCTGCTTTATCTTGTTTTATTTTCCGCCTGACGTACTAACAAACTTTAGAACATTTCGATCAAGGTCTTTCTGTTGTTGACGACTCTTATTTTTCCGCTGTCGATTATACCGACGGCTACGATCTGACCGATACAGTAATGGACATCCCACATTCGCCCAAGAAGAGGCGTTCTGATAGCCTCTCCATGAAGGGTATCTCGCGCATCAGCTCTCAGATTTCTACCATTTCCTCCCGTTTCAAAGCCAGACGGGCCTCTGGCAGCCCCGATGCGGACAATGCGACTCCGGACGAGCTACGCTCCCGAACCAACTCCACTACCTCTGCTATTGCTAGCCCAATGATGATCCCGGTCTCTCGCGCCGGCTCGTCCATCCCTCCGTCTCCCGCGAGAACCATCTTCGAGGAACGGCTCAGCGAGTCGGGAACGCAGCCAATCGACATTTGCAAAGCCAATAGCCAATGCTTCGAGGAGGACTCCGTACCAAAGGCTACCACTCCGTTGCTCCCCCCGTTTATGGGGGATGGCCCGATGAGCGTGGTCGCTTCCCGAGTTCACTCCCCGCTGCAATCGCCTTCCGTGGCCGACGTATCAGATGACGGCTACCCTCCAGATTCCCGTTGGATGGCTCCATCACCTCCCTTGTCGTCCAAGCCCTCTGTGGCATCGTTCAACCGCCCGCGGGCCAGCACCGTCCGAACTGTGTCGGTGGAACCCCCTCCGTTTCTCCTCTCAGACCCTAATGACGAGTGGGCAAACAAGCTCGGTCATGCCAACTTCAACATTCAGCCCGAGCCATACGTGCCGGAGGTCTATGATCTTGAATCTTTCCGACAGCTGCGCGCCGATTGGGACATGGCTCAGTGTAACTTTGCCAAGCACCTTGTTCGTACCGGTGAACATTACGGCGTCACGTCCAACATTTACAAATTTACCGAAGAAAAATGGGAATCGATCAACCGCGAATGGAGACATCACCACGAAGCCATGGTTTCCGAACTCGAGGCGAACCAGGGCCCCGTGCTGAGCCTAACCAAGTCCAACCTCGACCCATGCGAACAAATCAAGATTCCCCGCATTCACGATGAAAAGTTCCCTGAACTCGGGGATGGCGAGATTGTCGGTCCCATGAAAATCGCGCCTGCGACTGGCCTCTGTCGACGCCAGTCTTTGAAACGAAACTTTTTGAAGTTCTTCCAGGACCTGGTCGGCCGCTCCTAAAGTCGACACGATGATTTTTTTCTCTTCCTCTTTTCCGTTCTCATACCCCGGGGCATACCCTTCTCTAATGACGATAGACATTACCGAGCGGCTTTCGATGTACAACATTTATGATCATTGGCCTCTCTTATGATTGATTAAGCGTGTGACGACTGATGTCTTTCTTTCTTTCTTTCTTTTTTTTTTTTTTTTTTCGTTTGATAATGACTTATGACACCTTCATGTACCTGCGACTACTGACTCGCAGTGAAATACACTCCTTTTTGTCCTTTACATTCTCATTTGTAACCATTTACTCTATCAACTTGAATTTGCATGATGGACGACGATATCCCTGTACCCACCTGTTAAAGCGCTGTATCTTCATGACAAGTGTCTAACCCTTTGTTTTTTTGCTCCTTATTAGCGATGTATTCACTACATAATCCACCGTGACGGAATTGGTTGATTCGGATGCGAGTTGATGCAAGGAAGAAGAGCTGGAATCGAAGAGGATCGAGGGTGCCGGCTATGCATGGCCGGGCCATTCCGTTCACTAATATACCCCCCCACGTTGAATATTTCATGTATCTCATAGACATATTCCCCACATACCAAAAAGTATTGCTAGTTCATCGTGTGTATGTATATATCTCGTGTTTGATAATACATATTATAATCTTTTGATTTGATTTGAGATGGTATCACGACGCCCATAAATACAGTATCTTTTGTCACACATAGCACATGGAACGGATCAAATCCAGTATTGGCTCCACACCTTCTTTGCATCCTCGTTCCCGCGGAACCGAAAGTCAACACGAATAATATCCTTGAAACCTTCATCTAAGGACGGTTCCTTGAATCGACGAGAAAAATCGCCGAACGCAATGCCAGGGAGGAGGGTCCGGGATTCCGGGTTCTGGGGGATCGTTAGCCTGCATGCACCACCACCCCCTTGCCTTTGTATAACATGAATCTGCATCCCCGTGAAGGAATGAAGGGAAAGGGAGGGAAGGGAAGGGGATAAACAAAGGACAAAAGAGGGGAAGAGGGACATGAACATGAACATGAACATGAACGTACCAAGGCCTGGTTCGCAGCACGAACGGCATTATTATGCCTGCATAGTTCCGGGGTTGTAATGAAGTAGACGCAGCGGATGGGGATTTTGAATTCCTTGGCTACTTCGATCCAATGGGACCTTGTTTCCGGGTCGGCATTTGTATTATCTTATCATGTTAAATTCATTCCAGGTGGTAGATGTTAAGCAAGGGAAGGTGGGGAACATCAAATGTCGAATAACCTACCAACAGCAACGGATTTCCCATCCGAGAGAAACTCTTTGGCAACCTTGATACATTTTGGACGCTAAGCAGGGAGGTTAGGTTAGTGTTGGTGTTACTTGTTATCTCCTGTGTACTGTGTGCTGTATGTACTTGAGTGAGGGAGGGTGTAGTACATACCGTTTTAAGAACGTCCTGGTTCACACGCTCGTAGCCTAGAGGTTCGAGATGGTTCCAAAAGAAAGTCGATTTCCCGGCTCCCGGGCTGCCGCAGAAGATGACTAGGTCGAGGGGGCTTGTGCAGACGAAGGCTATTTATTTTAGGTATGAGTATGAGCATCATGTTAGGGGAGGAGAGGAGAGGGCAAGTACCGGGTTCTTTTGCTTCATCGTCCAAGTAGGTCGTAGGGTCGAACTTTACTGTTGGTGCTTCGGGAGCTGCGTTGAGGAAGAACTCTTCGGGCGTTTTGAATGGGATTCCAACGTTTGCTGCGAAGCCTCTATAAGCCTGTTAGTCAAAATAACCAGGTGGGCGGGGCAGGTGATAGCTCACCGATCCGAATGAGAATGATCATTCGCCCGTCCAGCAGCATCACCGACAAAGAATGACCCCGCCAAATCCACCCCTCCAACATCTAGATCATAATCCTCCATAAACTCCCTCCACATACCGATACGCGGTTTTCTATTCTCGTCATCTTTTGTTGCAGCGTACACACTCAACGGAACATCGAGCTGCGACATGACAGCGGCGACCTTTTCCTTGAAGTTGGCGAGGCTTTTGGAGTCGCTCCGGCCGGCTTTGATGACTTTTTGCAGGGCCACCTTTTTCTGGTTGGACACAATGACGAGTTGGTACCTGCGACGGTTGGAATCAGTCTTGTCTGGTTATTGGGCGCGGACGGACGAACCCTTCAGTGTCGAGCTCTTTGATCTTCGAAGGCACAGTCGCATCCCACCATTTCCAGTCTGAGGGGTTGCGGGCGAAAGTGTTTCCCGACGCTGTCGATATCAATGTAGAGTCCTGCATTTCACTCCTCCGTCAATACGATTCAAAGCATTCAAGTGACGGACAGGCATAGGGAAATCGAACCAGGTCGAATGCAGCGATCTTCCTTTTTACATCTTGTTTAACGTCTGTCTTTTGTCCGGCATATTTCCCAATCACCAGGCTATTGTTCAGAATCCGCCATGTTATCGGCTCGGGCTTCTTCTGCGACGCAGGTGTGAAGAATGAAGAGACTGCTTTTTCTATGGCCCAGTTAGAGATAGATTGACTGTTTATTTTTCGTGCTGTACTTACTCGTCACCGTCGACTCGACCTTGCGCTTTAGTGGAGGCGGGGAGATTGGTCGTGAGGGGGAGGCTGCCCTCTTTGTTCCCCCAACACCGGCCATTCTGAGTCTAGTTAATTGGAAAATCTCGCTGGTATCTCTTACGAGTCTGTAGACTAGAGTTGGTGGTGATGTTCAGCTGGTATGGGGTAGATTTTAGCTGGCAGTAAATGGCGATGATGCGGAGCGGAAGGCGGCGTCGACGCGCCGGTACGCGTTGGCTTCACGAAGTCACATGCTTACTTTATTTAGAGATGGGGTCTACAACTTCACGCATGTACTACATAATCATTATCATTATTCAAGTCTATTGGGAAGATTCCCGGGTATAATGCTAGATCTAAAAGGCTCAAAGCTCAAAAGCAGCAATACAAAAGGCTACTTTGCCCGTGTATCTAAAGACAGTCGGTCAGCCTGCTCTAGGCGAACGACCGATTTCAGCTGCTCTCGAAGCCCAAACAGGTGCTGTGAGGCAGTCTTCATCGTCTCCTGATTGCCGCCATCCTGGACCGTGATGGCGGCTTGCAGAACATAACTCCCGCTCGGTTCTAGAGGGGACATGTTCTGAAAAGCAGGCAACTGCCGTCGCGGGTCATGGGCCTGCTGGCCGTCAACCGGATAATGCAGAACACGATGGAGAAAGATGACAATATCATTGTGGATAAAAAGATCACCCTCGACAACGTATTCGGTGACAAAACTAAGAAAGACTAATCAGTACACATCAGGCAACTTGGTCCAACGGTCTACTGACCTGTAACCCCATGCGTCCATGGGCACCATAATATCACCCTTGGGCAGACCGGCACTGGCCATTAATCGTGAAGTGACTGCGGACCGAGTTCCTGCTTCAGGAATATCCTTAAACTCCAACCGCCAGGGTTGGCGGTCATACTGATAGGAAGGGTCATTAATCCCGGGCATATTGTCACCTGTGCCCGACATGAGAGCATCCTGGTCTTCGCCGACAGAGGATTTGGCACCAAAGTCCTCTTCGGAAACGGGCCCGACGACTTGCGTGTAGAACATGCCACCATTCAACATTTTGTTCAAACGTTGCATGTCGGCGCCACCCTGTAAATCCTGACTAGCACCGACACGCGTATTGATCAACCCTGGCTTCCGGTAGGCCTTGAAGATCAAACGCCTTTCCAGTCGGTGGCGGGGTTGCATGGCAGTCAACCCTGTCAGTTGTTGGAGCAGCTCATGATGCTGGTGCGCTGGAACCGAGGCGAAGAGCAGAAGCTCATGCATAGTTCTGTGATGGAGGGTATGAGATGGAGGGGCGGGTAGAACAAGAATAGTAAGATAGCCTGGTAGGGAAGCAAGCTTTCCAAGCTTTGGGAGGTGGTGACTGGTCAGAGCAACAGCCGGGAAAATCCGGGATGGAGAATGCGTGGGCGGAAAAGGAAAAGAAAATCGAATGACAACAGGCTTGGGGACTTGATGGTGTGTTGCCAGGAATGCCAGTTTCCCGACCGGCGAAAAGTTGGCGCACACAAAGCCGTTCAGAGACCCACGTTTATCAATGGAAACCCGGTGGTGTGATAGACGGTTGATGATAATGAATAATAGATAGTCAAACGCAGTAGTAATCGGAGGCAAATAGTGTTTTTTTCTTCTGTGTCTTCAGGCTTGTGGAAGTCACATGGAGGGTTTGTGAGGTCCGAGTCACCGATCTGCCAAGGCTATACAATAGGTAAGGATCAAGCGTCTCTGATCAATAGACGAGGAGGTATGAAAGATACAGAGTAGCCAGGATACTGAGATGCACTCCAGACTGGAAGATGAGGGGAAGATCGATGGTTGGACAGACTGACAGCTAGTGAGGACCATGGCTTAACCTGTCAATCAGGAACCAGATCAGTTTCACCGAAATGCGGGTTTGGAAATCCGGATGGACAAGGTAGATATTCTGGGGTGACAATAGTTACATATGGACGATGCATGGATATCCAGGACACTGATAGGACGTATCACGACGATTGTCTCCACGGTGAGGGGAAGCCGTGAAGCTGGAAAGGGAACCAAATCCCATCTGGATCGCCCAAACTCTGGGCGGAACGGCGTCGGCACTTTGCAGCATCAGGAAATGGAGCCGCCAGCGCGAATATCGAAGATGTAACAGAAAAGCGAAAAAGCGAAAAAAAAAATTGGAGATGGCAATTCGGCGATGTTGGCCGTACGCCGAATCCGGTAGGGAAATCCAATGGCTGCGCTGGATGAATAATGGATAGTGCTCGTGGATGGCACCACCGCGACTGAACATCACCTTTCGCGAAATCCACCCGCTCCGCTCGTTCGCTTCTCTCCTCTTCCCTTCTTATTATCCCTCCTCCCTCTTCTTTCTCTCCTCCATCCATCTTTCAATTCCTCTCTCTCTCTTCTGTCCTTCCCATCCATCCATCTCTCCCCCATCTGCGAGTCTCCCATTCTTTTTGAGACCCCTAGCCAAAGAATCTAAAAGACATCAACCGATTAATCCACACCCCTAGCTACCGAGCTCTTGACGGTCGGATCGGACGGTCCCGGGTCCTGTCGAATTTCTTCCACACTCTTTGTGGATTGTTATAATTTTTAATACAACATCACTACCACTCTCTCCTCGCTCGAACACCTCTTTCACAATGCGTGCTACATTTGCTCTGCAGAACGCCGCCCGGACTCCCCTCATCCGGTTCCTCGGAAGGCGTTCCATCCCTCGTATGTTGAAACCTTGTCAATTCTGCCATTGATCTCGTCTCGGTTGTCTAACTTTGCCATGGATAGAATCCATCGACCACACTCCTCGTGCTCACCCCGCGTCTCCTTCTGGAATCCTTCCTGACTCTTTCGCTGCCTACCGTGCTAAGGCTCAGCAGCACGGCCCACTTGGCCGTGCCTCTTTCACTCAGGGCGCCATCGGTCGCAACCCCGGTGCTTCTTTGGGCCCTGTTCAGCCTCAGGAGGGTCAGTTCTTTGACCGTGCCGAGCTGCCTCAGCGCTTCCACCGTCTGCCTTGGACCGAGGCCGAGATTGAGGCCATCGAGACTGGCGGTGCTAGCCTGCACGCCTAAATGCCTTTAGGTTATACATGAGAGATGACATGAAAAAATGGCCATGATCGGGATAGGCGAGACGAATGATTTATGTCATGTTGACGAGTAATCGGTTGCTGTTGTTATCCTTGTACCATAAGGGAAGGACAAAAGTTGTGCGAGTGGATATTCACGATTGTTGTCGCCATACCCATCAAGGTCAAATGTCGTCTACCGGTGATGGGTTTCCGTTGAACGAGCAACGTCACCTACAGTCAGAGCGCTATGCTCGGCTGATTGTTCTTTATTTTCCTTGTTGAATCCGGGCGCTGGTGGTGCGAACTTAGCGGTTGTTTTGTTTCTATTTTATTCGGGCGCGTGACATTGGGGATTTACTTCTTTATGTCTGATTTGGGGAATTCAGGGATCACGTACATACTAGCCCGATCCCAGTTACCAAAAGTCTGCCAGAAAAGTTGACTCGTTGGATGGGAGGGCTTTCATTTCTTGATGTTTTGCTGTTTATACCAGGGGCTCAGAGAGTCGCCATACAGTCATTAGAATAACAGGCTTCAGACACCTTATGATCGGCCAGTGCATGTAGTAAGCTTATTCAGTGTGTATGCATGATTGTATCATCGTGATCTCGACTTAATTGACGTCGGCCACGTGCTTCCCGTCTGCACCTCATCTCATCCACTTTGTCCACTTCCACCTGTCATTAACCATCGAGGCCCAATGGAATTGTCCGACAGACTTGAAGAAAAAAGCAATGACACCCAATTCCGATGGTGACACCATAACCTTGACCGAAACAGACGAGGTCAACCAGCCTACCGCGACGTACGTCTACTCGGAATCTCTGGTGAAGTTGTCGCCTAAGAATAAGGAGGTCAAAGGAAGAGTGGATGTGATTGTAAGTGATCAGACTTATCATGTCATATCTGAATAGAAGCTCACTGACATTACCAGCATCCTCAAGCCTCACCATCATCATGGTCTTCAACTGCACTGCTCAATTCCCTCGCTGATGTCTTTCTTCCTGCTGGATATCCACACAGCGTAACCAGTGACTACCTTCCGTGGGTTCCTTCCTATCCTTCCTATCCTTCCTATCCTTCCTATCCTTCCTATCCTTCCTATCCTTCCTATCCTTCCTATCCTTCCTATCCTTCCTATCCTTCCTATCCTTCCTATCCTTCCTATCCTTCCTATCCTTCCTATCCTTCCTATCCGTCTTGCCCTAACATCTTGCAGATATCAGATCTTTGTAAGTATCAATTGACTTCAATTCATGTGTCTATCCTCAATACGCAGCTGTTAACACGGCCAGGACTCCCTCCAAGCTTTCAGCAGCTCCATCGCCGGTCTTCTATCTTCAAGAGCCGTACTACAAGGTATACCCTTCCCTATACCATAAATCCAACATCGACTAACCAACCAGGCGTCGGAGTCGGCAACGCAAATGCCTCCCCAACCTCAGCTCTCCTCCTCAACATCTTCCAAGACACCTCCGGCCGCATCGCAACCATTCTCTTCGCGCACCGCGTCGGCACGGCCCTCGAACCAGAATGCAAAATGTACCGCTTCGCAGCGGACATCTTCAACGACCTCGCCATGGTCCTCGACTGTCTGTCGCCGCTAATCCCGGCGGGCATCGGTCGAGTTACTGTCCTCAGCGCGGGGGGTGTTCTGAGGGCTCTCTGTGGTGTTGCAGGAGGAAGTTCCAAGGCGAGTTTGAGTGCGCATTTTTCGAAATGGGGGAATTTGGCTGAGGTTAACGCTGTGCGCGTCCATTCGTCTATATGTCCATGGAAACCCAATGCTGATGATGTTGATAGAAAGACTCATCCCAAGAAACCATCATCTCCCTAATTGGGATACTAGTAGGTCTTCCATGTACCTGATCTATGATATACTAGACTCACCAAGTAAGGTCGGTTCATTCATAGTCTCCCACATCACAGCCTCGACAGCAACATGGATAACCCTCTTGGCCTTACTCGCCCTCCACCTAACACTCAACTACGCAGCCGTCCGCTCCGTCCAAATGACCAGCCTCAATCGACAACGGGCAAATATCGTCTTTTCAGCCTTGCTCGAATCAGATCCGGATCTAGTACATGTCAGTCTTGACAATCACAATCACACCCATGATAAACCAGGAAGCAGCAGAAAAGGAGAAATCCTCACACCAGCAGCTGTATCCTGCCACGAAAGAATTTTCGAGTCAAGCGGTATCCTACGATGGAATTCCTCTCAGAAACTTGGATCCTGCCCGTATCGGGGTTCCGCTACATCAATTCCTCTCTCCCTCTTCTTCATCCGACACCACAGTCCCCTTCCCAGCCCTAATAACCCTGTTCGCCAATGAATCATACATCCTCTCCCTCTCCCCTACTTCCTCCGGACCAAAAGCATGGCAAGCAGCGATCATCCTAAAGACGAATTGCACGCCTCAGTCCCAGCTGAAAGGATGGGTGCATGCATTGCTCGCTACACGTATCTTATCCATCAAAGAGACTGGTTCTGATTCTGAAATTGAACTTATTATGGATGTTCTATCACGGACATTGGAATTTTTGAATCAGGATTCTCGGTTTGATGGGTATATGCTTGCGTTGGAGGGGGTGGGATGGAATTTGGGAATTGCTGCTTTGGAGACGAAATCCGGGCGGAGGGTTTGTGATATACAGAGTACAAATGTGAATATAGACTAGTAGACTACGAGGCAGATAGTTTCACTATTCTGTAATTGGGCTAAAAAGTACCTGTCTGTGCTACCCAATCAGCGAGCAGTTCAATGCCAGTGTAGACATTGTTTGACTAGATCGACTCCTAAAATTACCAAGAACTCAGGAACATTGTGAGATGTGAAGATGAGGGTATCTATCGTTTAATAATATAACAATGCTATGACACAAGTAATGTATATGCAAGTACATGATGCGAAGCGGTCTGGGATCGTAACATTCCACCGTCAGAGCGTAGACGATCTTCGCCGGCTAGACAAGACAAAATAACCAACGCCTAGCAAAAACAAAACCTCCCAATCCATTTTGGACCATGGTCTATAATTCTTTTTCTTTCAAATCACACCGAAACAGGTCATAAAAAAAAAAAAAATAAAAAAAACGAATCATCACAAGATGCTCGCTCGCTGAGCCACTCGAAACGCCTGCTGTGAAAAATGCATCCAAAAATATCAAGATGCTCGTTGCATTAAACCATCCACGTTCATCCAAGTCAATGCATAAGAGTCGCTGAAGAAAATCGAAAATCAAATCGTATGATGCAGTGAGATGCAAAACAAGTCGTGCCTGTCTATGAAGCGTCGAAGCATTAAAGGTGAAAGGTGGAGAACCGTTGGGTTCTCTAGTTGAGGTGAGAGGTCTATGAGAAAACAAAATGCACTCGGGTGACAGTAGTCTGGAGACAGACTTGGAGGATTTACTCTTCCATGCCGGAGAACCTCAAGTCTCGGTTTCCGTTACTTCCATGGGTCGATCGCTTCTTGAATCCCAGCTTCATGCCCATCTTCTTCCACGGGTTCTCTCCGCGGGTCTTGGGGCTGTGGCCGAGTTGCATAAAGGGGTCGCTGGAAGGCGGGGTGGTGGGGGGAGTCATGGGCTCGCCAGTGCTGGCGTTGGATCCCGAGTCATCAGTGAGCGCAGCCGATCCGGAGTCACCGCTGGCGTTGGAGATTTGGCCCGAGGTGCGACTGCCGGCCTTGCCCAAGGAAGCCACTGCACTCAACGAAAAGTTGGAGCGACCAGTGTGGCTGCCATGACTGCCGATCGAAAAGTTGGAGCGACCAGTGTGGCTGCCATGACTGCCGATCGAAAGAGGCGAGCCCAACTCTTTGCTCGATGACTGAGGCGACAGACGTCTGGCTCTGGACTTGGATCGCACGCGCTTGACCGCATGCTCGTCCAGGCTCGAGTTCGAAACGACGGTAATGCCTTCGCCATGACCCTCGTGTTCCCCCAGGGAGAGAACGTGAGCCGATGAAGACAGGCTGTTGAGAAAGGGGAGAAAGATGGACTCCTCCATCAAGTCGTGGATGAGTTTGACGGCGACGTCCAAAGTGTTGGGCGAAGGAGGAGTCACCACGCCGGCAAGGCGAAGAATATCGTCACGGACGTCACTAGAGAGGTTGATCTCGCGGGGGGATCCGGGGTAGATGTACGAGGTAAGCAGGCGTTGCCAGAGCATCAACAGACGCTGGCTCTCCTGAGAATCGGCCGGGATGGGCGATTGGTCCGATTGGTGGATCGAGTCATAGGTCTCACGGTACCGCTTGGCCTCCAAGGTGAACTCGAGGGTCTCGAGGCAGTGGTTCTGCGAGAGGTATGCCATAAAGGCACTGAGAGTGTATGGTGCCGGAGCGGTGTTGGCGAGCACCTCATCAAGCGACGGTCGCATAGGACAGAAAGTGCCGGGGGGGACGGAAAGACTCAGCGGCCTAGAGCCAGCTGAGTATTCCATGTCCTCGTCCGAGTCACTATCGGAAGACGAAGTAGGAGATAATTCTGGAGTAGAAGTGGGGGTATGATTCCAAAAGAACAAAGGCGGGTGAAGAGTCTTCTTGAGCATCGCGTACAGCGTTGCAGTGCCTGGAATGTTATTCTGGAAAGTGATATAAAGCACCAAGGTCCACCCCTTGACCGTGGTGTCGAATTGTTGATGCTTCCACGATGTGGATGTGCAGCTGCAGTACGGGTGAAGTGTACTGCGGGTAGTCCTGTCAGGTACAATGTAGGATGGGAGATATGAGACTGAATTGGACGGTCGGAATTGACAGCCTTTTGAACCCGTTTATCCCAGCGCGTAGTTAAATGGGGATGAAACGACTAAAAGACGATCCCGAGTAGTTTGGTAGGTGATTGATAGGCGAGATGGCGAAATGAGACGGGCGGCAACGAGAGGGGATCTCAGGTACGGGTACAGATAAGTGTGTGAGAAAGTGAAGTGAGAGAGAGAGAGAGAGTGTGTGTGTGTGTGTATGAGGAGAATATTATTAATGCAGGAAAAGCAACGGAATTATACAAGAGAGCCAAGAGATCCAAAATATCAAAAGAGAGAAAAGCAAAGAGGACGGAAACGGGGAGGAAAAAGAGGAGTTGAAATAATAGAAGAGGAGAAGAAGAGTCAGAGAAGGGAGACGGAAGCGTCGAAACCGGCAGGGAAGCAAAACGCGGCCCACACAGCCAAAAGCGCCCAGAGAGTCCAGGCAAGACGCACGTTCAGGCCACACACTAGAGCGAGGCCACTCCACCCACACCGATGACGATACTTCCCGGCAGATCGTAGCAGGGTATTCTGTCTGTCTTCTCTGATTTCTCGTCAATTAGCTGTTCAGAGATGCAGAATTCTAGAAAACAATGAGGCATTTGAGAATTGCCCACTCGTCCAGCACACACACTCGTAATGCTACGAACCCACAGACAACCGCGACAACACACAGTGGATCACGTCATGTCTCCCTGAACAACACAGGCAATGAGCATCCACAGAAGGAGCGCCTGCGAGCCCAAACAGAATCTGGAAGCCAGTGGGCCCAGTGCTACATGCTGATTGGCGCACGCGATGGATCTCCGGCCACAGTTAGAGACGAGGGCCGAGGAGGACCCGCAATTCTGCAGTAGTGGCTGGGCCAGGGGGTGGAGCCCTGCGATATGGACTGTGATTGGCCAGCAGAGACCAAATCAAAATGGAAGGTGCAGGTGGAGGGGGGAGCGAGTGGAGGGAAGGTGGAATGTGAAAATGCTTCAGATTTTATCATCAGGTTTTGCGGGCAGAAATCACTCTCACACTGGAGAAGATGTCATTTCCCTTGACTCGCCTGCAAGGGAGGACAAGCACCACGCAGAGAAGGAAAAAAGAAGGTCTCTATATTATCCTGCAATGATACATCACCTTGTGGGAGTATGGGGTAAATCCCTAGATAGGATAAACTATGCATGTCGTACATGATCCAATAGAAGGGGGATAGAGTTTTTTTATTTTTTATTTTTTATTTTCCCCCCCCCTCAAGAGCTTGGGTGATTCCCTGTTTAGCCTGAGGATGTCGAACCATTGCTACGGATACATAGTGGTAAATATTGAAGAATAGTAGGGGCAGCTACTGAAGATGATTTGACATTGTCGTCTTCTCCCAACTCTTAATTGCAAGACGGCCTGACGGTCATGCAGGGTCGATTCTGGCCTCTGATTGGCCTGCCTGGCTCGGGATCTGCGGTTGCCAAGCAGGCAGTGCAGTAGCAAGGGATGAACTGGAATCATGGGGATAGGGGAGAGAGAGAAAGAGAAGGGGAATCAGGGAAGGACCATCAGACCACGATCTGCAGGTGGTATCGGAGGACAAGTCTCCTGAGTATCTGAGTATCTGAGAGACTGTCTGATGTTGTACTCAGGAAATTCCAGAAAGCCAGAAACAAGGAATGGAGGAAGATCATATGCTGTGTCCACAGCCAATAACACCTTGGCCCGTTTTCTGGAAGGGGAGAAAAAACGAGGGCCTCTCCGGTTGGCCCAAAGCGGACTGATTGCGTGTGCAACCTGGCGAGTGCGTGGAGATAGGCAGGATCGAGTGCTGCGAAGGACCCACTGGGTTGCCGCATGATAGAACAAGGTTTTCAGTGGTTCACGAGATCGATGGAATATTTATAAATTATTATTGCCACTGATAGAGTACCTTGTTGTACTACGAAGACAAGTGGAATAGGACAGTAGGACAGTAGGACAGTAGGAGTAGAAGGACAGTAGGAGTAGAAGGACAGCAGAATGAGCGATATATTCAGTTACACAGCATCAGACTCGATAGATGAATCCCTTACTGGAGAATGATGATGCCTGCAGATCATCATGATCTGTCATCCAAGTCAGTTTGTGTTTCTATTATTTCATTATGATTAATGAAGCATCAGCCCTAGATAGATTCTAGAACTTGTACCGAAACAGCCATGTTGCCACCGGGTATCAGCGGCAGATTTTTTCGCTGCACTGTAGTATCTCAGACTCTCGCACTGCTTGCCACTTGGGCAGACAGCGATCGGATATACTCGGACTGGCCAGTCCTAGCCATTCCGATATCACCAGCGCAGTTTATCAGATGGTGTTATCATTCACCGCAAGCACGATAGGAATAGCTTCACTAAGGAGCTGCTAAGATCAGACTACGCGATCCTTTCAATCCATCAGTCATATGTAGCCATATTGCAGTCAGACCACATGTCTTGGCAATGCTATACATCCAATCTGTCCACGTGTCTTTTCAGCCACGTTACTCTCCTATTTTATTTGAATCATTATTATTCTCATAATCATATCATTATTCAATTCAATTCGATTCAATTCAATTCAGTTCAATTCATTCTGTTCCTGATATCGACTATATCTGGTGCTAGTACTAGTAGTGCAAAGTAGTTCCACAATTTCTCCGTTGTCGGCATCTTCTCTCCACTGCACAAGGATTGTGTGATCTGCCGTCTAGACTTGATCGACTCGAGGTCATTTGAGACACGGGGAGTACTATCAAACATAGTGTCCTCTGGAGTAGTGCAATGTACATAATAACTGGGATATGGTGTGATCTGTTGCACTGACCTCTTGCTGACTGATTAGTGTACACTGGTTTCCATTCTCATCCTCCATATTCTCTACAAACTATCTCTACTCTCATAACCTGAATACTGAGCGCTAGTCAGCCTGTGGAGACGGAAACTAGAGATGAAACGAAAATCAAGGAAATCAAGGAATCAAGGAATCAGCACAAGATGATCTCATCTTCTTTCTCCACCCACGGGATAAACTCAACCGATCAGCATTATCAACTTCTTCAATTCCATCTGAAATTGAGATTAGCCACCAGGGGTTTAAGCGGAGGTCGCCTACTTCTTCTTCTTCTACTGCCGCTGAGGTACTCGGACTCTCACGTATTTATAGCCCCGCTTATTCATAGTATTTATGCTTCCCCACAACTCTGTTCTTTTACTGTTTTCATCTTAGTTCTTACTCTGTATCTTCGATCAGACTGATCAGGGTGTAGTGTAGAGTAGAGAGTGTATCTCACTGCATACTACGTCATCAATCTATCCCAAACAATTCAATCCAATCTAATCATCTAATCCCCTGCTAGACTGGTCAAGCGGGGTGTACTTTGGCTATTCAATGCGGGGATATCCTCAACCACCACCTATACAGTAGAAGAGCAAAGACAAGGATCATGACTAAAAAGTAACCGATCTGCATCAACGCTGAACTGGCCAGATGAATTGCATCCAATCCCGAATAACCGAGTCATGCTTTGACCCTACGACGGATTCCCATCCCGTCTGTCCATCTTCTTCTTCCCTGTCAATATCAGGGCTCTTCATAATGGCCTTGTCTTGACTGTCTTCCCAGTCGGGCTATATCACCGTGGGTTCTTCCCACCATCTTTTTTCATTCTCGTTTTTCCATCCCTGTTTCGACAGCCTGCATGGCATGAACACTGGGCTTTGGACAAGGAATGGGTGTGAAGATGATCGTCTGGTCGCTATGCAGCTTGTCGCTTCCGTCGTGCTATCCTTACATTAGCCCGTCTTGTCACAGTCGATACCCTACTACTATGTAACTATGGGATCTCCCTTTCTTCACCTTATTTGGCAGGTCTCTACTCTCTTTTGCGCTCTCTCTTATATAATTATTTATTATACCTCCCCCTGACCACCCAAAGATCAGGCAATGGCTATTTAACACGCTTCTTGGCTTTTCTTCTGTATCAATTACTCTACGCCGTTTTCCCGACTTCGCCTTTTCAGGAATATACGCTGTGAGGCACCAAAAAACAAAAAAAATCACAAACGAATGCTGTCTTCAGTCCCTTCTGTCTTTCGCTGCCCAAAACATCAATACACACATCGACTAGGTAGATTCAACAATCAACAACGGGGGCACTGAAGCAGAAAACATATATCGAACATGTCTCTTTCCAATGCCCTTCTCCCAATATCCCACCACAGGGGTATCGAATGACTTGGGTCGGAAACACGAAGAGGTGAAAAAAAAAAAAAAG